ACCTCCTTTGTCCTCCATGGGCACCCACACATGCATGACATGTACTCACAAACACATATGCACAGCTAAAACAAACAAATCTAGCACTTAGGAATTACACAGTAATTGTACACAAGATAAATTCAAGCAATTCCAAAATACTAAGACATTTTAAGGGTGCTTGCATACAAATTATTCCTAACAGTGAATTGATACTATTGTGTAGAGTTGAAAATAGCTCACTTTCCCAAGAACAACACTTTTCTTTAAAAACAAAAAACAAACATTTATTTATTTCTTTTATGGTGCTCTATCTGCATGCTAGAAGAGGGCCATAAGCCACCATGTGGGTGCTGGGAGTTGAACTCAGGACCTCTGGAAGAACAGTCAGTGCTCTTAACTGTTGAGCCATCTCTTCAGCCCCCCACTTTTATTTTTACATTTAAAAAAATTAACGGTGGTGGCGGACGCCTTTAATCCTAGCACTCCAGAAGTAGTGACAAGCCGATGTCTTGTGAGTTCGAGGCCAGCCTGGTCTACAAGAGCTAGTTCCAGGACAGCCTCCAAAGCCACACAGAAACCTATCTCGAACCCCCCCCCAAAATTTAGCTGGGATTTGACAGTGCACTCCTTAAATCCCATGACTCGGGAGCCAGAAGCAGGAGGATCTCTGTGAGTTCAAAGCTAGCCTGGTCTACAGAACAATTTCCAAAACAGCCAGGGCTACACAGGGAAACCCTGTCTCAAAAAAAACAAAACAATTTTTATTTTTAATGGCTTTATGTCTGTAAACACTGATTAAAGTTTAATTTTCTATAAACCAAATTGTACATAACACATACACAGGCACACACGCTATTATTTCAAAAGTTTCATATGTACTAATCATCTTATTCTCTCCTCCCCCACAATATTTTTGGTTTTAAAAATTCAGAACATATTTGAGTTTTCTCTGTATCTTTTCACAGCTCTGGCTTTTCACAGCTCTGGCTGTCCTGGAACTCTCTCTGTAGACCAGGCTGGCCTCAAACTCAGAGACCTGCTCTACCACTGCCCGGCCAAAATAACTAACAAGGCATTTTTCCTTTGGTGACTTATTTGTTGACAGGGTTGCCTATAACCCACAGCTACCTCAAACTATGTAGCTGGGGCTGGCTTTGGACTCTTTTTTTTTTTTTTTTTTTTTTGGTTTTTTGAGCTTTGGAGGCTGGCCTAGAACTAGCTCTTGTAGACCAAACTAGCCTCCAACTCACAGAGATCCACCTGCCTCTGTCTCCCAAGTGCTGGGATTTAAGGCGTACGCCACCACCGCCCGGTTTACAAACTGTTTGAGTAACACAAGCAATAAGAGAAAAATTCTACACGTGGACTCATGTGACAAGGTATGGTAAAAATGCTGGCCAGGCAGTTCAAGCCAGCTCCAAAGCTACAGAGAAACCCTGTCTCTAAAACAACAACAAAATGCTGGCAGTCAAAATACTATATGATACTATCTTCAGGCCATGAAAATAAAGTATAGATGAAATATAAGATGGAATTCATATTTTGGGCTCAAGGATAAATACACTTGCTTTGCAAACCTTATGACTAGACTTCAATTCCAGCTGCCACAAGGGAGGACAGAACTGACTTCTGAAAGCTGATCTCTGACCTTCGCACATGCACCAGGCACATTTGTGCATGCACGCACACACACAGCAGCACACCATCTGTCTTCTCTCCCATTCCTGTATACTTGCTCCTAACACAGACATGACTCAGCACCATGAAGTCATATGGGCAGCAAACGCAGGACCTTGTGCACACGAGGCAAGCATTCTATGTCTGATCACACCATAGCCCCCCTCGGTTTCCGTGCTCAAGAGCAGTGTGGCATTGCATCCATTCCTTCAGAATACAAACATGGGCTTTCTGCTGCAGTGGCTCAGGGTGCATAGATTCTGTATCTAATATTTAAGAAGTTGTTCTTTCCTCTTTTGACAGGGGAAATGTCCCACCACGATGTTCTGGATGCTGCCTCCAAAGGAATAAATGTTATTCTTTGTGAACATAGCAACACTGAACGAGGTTTCCTTTCTGATCTTCAACAAATGCTGGGTGTTCACTTGGAGAATAAGATTAATATTATTCTGTCTGAGACAGATAGGGACCCTCTTCATGTGGTTTAAAATGCACATCATGGTGACACAAGATACACATCATTTGGATTGAAGTAGGAAGAGTTGGTGTCGTCTTTCTGCACAAGTATATTCGAACAACATTTTCAGCTCATCGGTCTGGCTCATTAATGTTATAGTTTATAATGTAAAACCCATGTGTAAAGAGTACAATAAAGACAAATACACATTATAATCTTGGAAAAGGTGACTAAAACCTGTAGATAGCCAGGTATTTTTTGTTTGGTTGCTTATTTTTGACAAAACCTCATGTAACCCTCTACCTCACTATTTAGCCTTGGACTTTTGATCCTCATGCCCACCAAATGCTGGGGTTAATAAAGACATTCACTTGACATGCCTGGGAAACAGATGAGGTGTATCAGTCTCAATGGCCTCTGCCCTTTGCTTAATTCTAAACATTGTTTAAAAAAAGATTTGGGAGCCTGACGGTGGCGCACATTTTTAATCCCAGCTCTCGGGAGGCAGAGGCAGGCAGATCTCTGTGAGTTCAAGGACAGTCTGGTCTACAGAGCAAGTTCCTGTCTCAAAAAACCAAAAAACCAAAACCAAGAAACAGATTTGGAACTGGCTGTGGTAGTACACAAGTATAGTCCTAGCTTAAGCTGGCCAAGCTTGCCTGGAACCCTCTATCTCAAAAGAAAATGCAAACAAACAAACAAACCAGCCGCACCCGGAGAGATGGCTCAGCAGATAGACATACTTGCTGCTCTTGCACTGGACTGGCATTTACTTCCCAGCACTAACATGGTAGCTCACAGCCACCTGCAACTCCAGCTCTAGGGCACCCACACTCACAAAGACAAGAAAAACAGCAACAAAACATGGATTTAGATTTAGTTCTAAGCAGCATTTTGGGGTGATGAAATAATTCAATGTGCTTTTAAGTTAGGTATCAAATTTTTATCAAGATTTTAAAAAATGTATAGGTAATCATTATCTACATTCCTATAATTCTGTTTTATGGTAGTGTAGGGATCAAACTAAGCACCTCATGTGTTTACTGCTCAAGGTGACAGCATGAACCTGGGAGAGCAGGGCCTGAATATTCTCATCTAATAGCCAGCTTTATTCAGAGCATCAGACATTCATACTCGGAGTGTTAATCAGAGTCACCTGAGGGACAAGTGGCACGTGGCAAAAACGTGTTTTTATAGAGCGTATGAACAAATAACAAGAGCCAGTAGTAGAGAATAATCTAAAGTGAACACACTCATTTGCTACACCTGGGAGGGACATGAGAGCATGTTCCAAGAACAATTTTGTGTTTTTAAAGAAACCAAGGTCACTAGACTTATTTTCTTGGAGTTTTCTCACACACACTCAAAATTCCTCTTGTACAACCTTTTTGTTTGTTTTTCGAGACAGGGTTTCTCTGTACAACAGTCTTGGATATACTGGAACTTGCGCTGTAGACCAGGCTGGCCCATAACTGAGAGCCTCCCAAGTACTGGAATTAAAGGCATACGCCACCACCGCCCAGCTGTATAGTTCTATTCTTGGACTATGTTCCTACACTGTGAATGGAAGTCCAAGTGTTCTACATTTCCTGCAGGTATTCTACAAGCCAAACTCAGAAAGACATTCCTCTCTTATGAAGAACCTAGAATACATTTGTGTGTATGTGTGTGTGTGGGGGGGGAGGGGTGATTACAGGTCATAAAACCAGAAGAGGAAGAGACAAGATGAGATTTTTTCTAAGGAAAAGGGGGGTAATGGGATAACAAAGCAGAAGAGGGAGAGAGGGAGGAGAATGGAAGAGGACCAAGAATAAATGAGTATATATACATATATTCGCCATAAATGAACCCATTACCTTTGCACACTAACCTAAAAATTAAAAGCAATGGGGCTGAAGGGATGGCTCAGAGGTTAAAAGCACTGGCTGCTCTTCCAAAAGTCCCAAGTTCAATTCCCAACAACCACATGATTCACAACCATCTGTAATGAGATCTGGTATCCTCTTCTGGCCTACAGGCAGAACACTGCACACATAATAAATAAATAAATCTAAAAATAATTAATAAAACCAAAACAATAAAAGAGCTTGCTTGGTGAATCACACTTCCAGCCCAGAAACAAATTAGCCAGGAATTATGGCTTTAAGTCACCATAACTCCTAGACATTAAGGAGCAATGCTGCTTGAGAAGTAGTGCGTATACAGTAGTATGCCATGGTACCCGTTAGAGCTGTTAGATGCACTCAAAGTCCTTTTCAAACACTTCAGAACAGCTAGCACTAGAAAATAACTATACACACTGGTCTTTTCTTTATTACTAGTAACATCTATTAAAAAAACAAAAAACTATAAAGCCAGGTGGTGGTGGTGCTCACCTTTAATTTCAGCACTGGGTAGGCAGAGGCAGGCAGATCTCCAAGTTTGAGGCTAATCTAGTCTACAGAGTGAGTTACAGAACAGCCAGGACTGTTACATGGAGAAACCCTTGGTTCAATAGTACAAAACAAAACAAAAAAGAAAACTATAGAACTTTATAGGGCAATTGCAAAGATATTTCCTTTATAATGTGGCAGTTACAATAAACTCTAGATATATCACAAAAACACAAGGCTTACAGAATTGGGGAGATGGCTCATTGAGTAAGAGTGTTTGCTCTGAGAACATGTGGACCTGAGTTTGAATCCCAGCACCCATGGACACAGCTGGGCATGATCATGGTGCCCTCACACTGGTGGGAAGTGACAAGCTGACCCTGATAGGAGCCTATGGTTCAGCGAGACCTCTCTCAAGGTCCTACGGCATAAAGTGGTGCGCATCTCACTCTGACCTCTGCACAGTTGCACACACTCACGCACCACATAAAGCAAAATACAAACCAGCAAGCTTCATGTTATCACCGTGCATTTATTTAATGTTTCTTGTTTTCTGAAACAGGGTGTCACTGTAGCTCAGACTGATCTAGAACTCATTAACTAGTCCAGGACTTGATCTCATGTTTCATCCTGCCTCAGCCTTCTTGGTGTTGGGATTACAGATGTGAGCTTCTGTCTTGCTACCATTGTTTTGAAAGAAGAGAAGCAATCTGCCTACCTCTGACTCCTGAATGGTGAGATTAAAGGGGTGTGCCATTTATACCTATGTATTTTTTATGAAAATAAAAAATATCCATGTACAAGAATAATGAAATGCTTTTTTATCTGTTGCCCTGAAAATAATTACTAACATGTAAATTAGGATTTTATCTTTTAGCCTGGCTTCTCATTTCTATCATAAAAATCAAGGTCATGGTATAGATATTAGCTATTTTAAATATGCATTCTAGATTAGGCACATGCCTTATCTAGTCTTTATACTTCTCCCACTATCTCAGGTTGAATAGTACTAACTGTCCCAAGTATGTGTAGCCTAAATCCACACGGAGAAAGTCGGGCCATCTTAGCCCACTAAATACCTTTTATCATTTCAGAAAAAGCAAATGAGGCTCCTCCTTCCTCATTGTGATCCCATCTTTCAAGATCGGAAACAAGTGCACTTGTAGTGATTCAGCTTGGGCAGTGTTAAACTGCCCTCAAAATTAGAGATAGCATTCAGTATAAAACAATCCCCAAACACCAGTTCCAAATAATCCCTGAGCACACTGTTCATCCAGCAACAAGTCTCCAGAGAGGTAATAAATTAAAGGCACATTTTTTCCAACTTGATGACCACTTCATAGTATTAGAGACAGTACACCAGCCAGGCTAATCCAAGTTCAAATTGATGATATGCCTTCAATAGTAAAAATTGTATGCTGGACAGAATGATCTAGTGTTGGATGTAAGCCAGCACTCTTACTAAGGGAGCGGCAGCTGGGGTGCAATGACTCTTCACCAAAAAGTGACAGTCTAAGCCTCTTCCTCTTCCTTCTCCAAGAAATCAGCCAATGTTCCGCTGTCAACAGGAATTAATAAATATTCTACACCATCAGTTCCCTACAAGATAAAAGAATACTCCATATGTTAATCCTTAGTAATAGCGCTTTAGAACTTTCTATTGCTGATTAAACAAGCAAACTAGACTTCTAAATTATTATTATTATTATTTCTCTGTGTAGACCACGCTGTCCTAGAACTCAAAGATTCACCTGCCTCTGTCTCCTGAGTACTGGAATTAAAGGAGTAAACTAACAATGCCGGGCTTGATTTTATTTGTTAATGTATCTAAGTAAGAAGAAAAATTAAGGCAAAAGGAACATGACGGTGAGTCTAAACACTGAGACACAGCCAAGCACGTTATAACAGCAGTCTAGTTTTCTTCACAGTGCTTTCAGGTATGTCTAACTCTTTGACACTGTCATAAAGTTCACATAAACAAACAAAATCAAAATTTCCTGTTTTCAATACACTTAGAGCTTGGACAACATTCGCTGGTTATCCAGAGGCTGTGGCTAGACATGCCTTGCCCTTTCCAAATTGTACAACAGTTATTTGCTGTTCTACCTCTCTCATCTCAAAAAGTGTCATCTTACTGACTTCTGTTGTTTGAGACAGGGTCTCACTATGTAGCCTGGACTGGCCTGGATCTGACAGACATCCACCTGCCTCTTCCTCCCTAGAGCTGGGGTCAAAGGTGAGCGCCACCACCCCAGCTCTCACTTGATTCTGAATACATCCAAGTAGCTCTCACCTACAAATATCTTTTGGGGTTGGAAAAATGTCTCATCAGTAAGAGCACTGACGGTTGAATTTCCAGCACCTACATGGCAGCTCAAACCATCTAGAACTCCAGTTCCAGGGTATCTAATGCCCTCTTCTAGTTTCCACGGTACCAGGCTTGCACACACGTGCAGATACATACAAACATGCATACAGGTAAGACAGTGATTAGAAATAATTTATTAGAGTCATTCCTCTTTAAGCACTGCCGCACACATCGCCTTCCTAGAGTTGCAGTCCATCTGTAGCACCGGAGCAAGTGCTGTCACACCATTCATCCACAACCCCAGCTATTTCCAGTCTATGGCTTCTGGTCTTTCAGAAGCGTCTGGCACTACAGAGTATCATTCATTCTCTCGTCCCTTGGTTTTTGTGACATCATTTATTGTTTTTTTATTTTTATTTTCTCTCTTGCTGTTTCACCTGCTCTTGTCTTCAGATTATAATAAACACTAACTCTTATACCCAAAGCTATAATAGCAGTCTTACCTTCTTTGTTTTTATGAGTTTGTGATCCCTAAATTCAGTTAGCTGGGCTCGGAGTGTGAGATCACTATTAACAAGGAATGCCTCCCGACACTGCTGGTAAAAATCTTGAAAAGAAAGTCCTAGAGAAATGAAAAGATTAAAGTAATCAATATTTTGCTAGCCCCCACACACCCCCACCAAGAAGACAGGGTATTGCTACATAGCTCTGGCCAGCTTGGAAATCACAGAGATCTCCTTGCCCCTGTTTCCTGAGGGCTGAGATGAAAGGTATGCATAATCAGTATTCTTAAGAAAAGATTACTTTATCGTGTGTGTGTGTGTGTGTGTGTGAGTGTGTGTGCGTGCGCGTGTGCACGCTATATCCTTGAAACAGGCAGTTGTAAGCTGCTCACTGGGTGCTGGGAACAGAACTTGGGTACTCTGCAAGGACAACAAGGCAGGCTCTCAGCTGCTGAGCTCTCTCTCCAGTTTCACGATCAAACACTGAAGACATCCGCGGTACAGATAGCCGTGTAAATAACACTTCAATGGTGCACATTTTGGGTTACAGATTTTAAAGTGGATCAACATATCAAAGAAGTCACTTGTGAATAAATAGGGTGCAACCCTGTGGGCAGTTTTATGAAGCATAAGTAAAATTGACGTTTTAAAAAATTTTAATAATTTATTTGCTTTTATTTTATATGAATTTGTGTTTTGCCTGCATGCATGTCTGCATGAGGGTGTTAGATCCCCTGAAACTAGAATTACAGACAGTTGTGAGCTGCCATGTGGGTGCTGAGGATCAAACTTGGGTCCTTTGGAAGAGTATCCATTGCTCTCAACTGCTGAGCCAACTCTCCAGCCCCCAATAAAAATGACTTTTAAGGGAAGTGTTAACTTAGAAACTGTGAGCATTAAACTTTTTGCACACACTAACACATTTCTGCCAAGGGGATGACAAGTAAGATGCCCCGTGTGTGAAAAGGATGGACTTGGCAGACACACATCCACAGTTGCAGTAGTGCACAGGACTCTAGAAGCGAGTGGGTCGGCCTCCCAATTCCCACAGCAATCTACTGAGCGGTACATCTGCAGAGATGCTGAGGTTGGCGAGAGGTTTGAACAGACACACCCACCACAGAGCAGTCACTTGTCTCTGCTGTGAGACATTCGAGGCTCCAAAGGTACTCTAGAACAGTGAATATAGAAAGACACATTAAATATCACAAATATCAGATACCAGTGTAGGAAGGGCTGTCCTGGTTTTCCAGCTGGTACTTTATAAGTAGCCTGAAAATCCCCCTACGAAAACAAAACAAAAAATCAAATAGAGAATTACTCCGTAGCAGTAAATGCAAGTAAGAATGTCAAATACTTAGCTGGGCTTCATTGTTTTTTGTTCTTTCTCCAAGAAAATCACATTCTCACAGGAAAAAGAGGCTTTTCTTATCTAGGAGCATGTATGTGCAAATGCATACTCACACACACACACACACACACACACACACACACACACACACACACACACACACACACAGAGCTTTCTACAATAAACCTGAGAAGGTAGGTTTGCTGACACTTGCGTAGTTTCAGGTGCTCAGAATACTGAGACAGGGTTGCTTGGACACAGTCCCAGACCTCTATCCTATGCTGGGCGTAGTAGCACAGGTCTTTAATCTCAGAACCCAGCAAGCATAAGCAAGTAAATCTCTGGGTTTGTTCCAGGAAAACCTGGTCTATACAGCAGGTTCCAGGGCAGCCAAGACTACATACACAGTGAAAACTTATCTCAAAAAAACAACAAAACAAACCAAAACCCTCTAGCTAACAGCAAACACCCATCTCACACCCACAAAAGAAAATACAGCAAATGCTCTTCAATGTATTCACAACTTAGACATTTTTGTTCAGAAACAAGAAAGTTGCCTCCGTGCATATATGAGCATCATGTATGTGTCTGCTGGATTCCCTTAGAACTGAGGTTACATACACCTATGGGTCACCATGGGATCCTAGGACTTGAAGTCCAAGAATGCTTTATTTCAACTCTGAGGTATCTCCCCAGCCCCTTACATTTGTTAAGGAAATACTAAAATAGTTTTTGACTATCTTATTGACCAATAAAATAGCTTCCTTGGTCAATTTCACAGGCGAATAGTGGATACTTTGCCTGTTATGTAATCCAGTCCTGGTCACTGTTTTTATTATCTTTCTTAATCCTTTACAGCAAGTAAAGGATTTGTCTCTGTCCATTATAAACTATCAAGTTGACACAGTCCAGCTGAAACTTACTTGAGAAGAGACTCCTAATTGGGGAAATCATCAGATAACACTGGTGCATGGGCATGTCTGTGGGGAAACTGTCTGTATTGTTAATTGATGTAGCAGGGCCAAGGCTACGGTGGGTGGCACCAACCTTAGCAGGTAGAACTGGGCTGTAAGACATCTAAGCAGGACCCATGAGCAAGTCAGCAGACAGCATTCCTCCATGGCTTCTGCCTTGAGTTCCTGCTTGGAATCTTCTCCTGACTTCCCTCAATGATCGACTGTGACGTGGAAGTGTAAGCCAAGTAAATCCTTTTCTCCCCCAAGTAGCTTTTGATTACGATGGTTAGCACAACAGCAGAATCCAAGGACAGCACTACCACTGGTAAACTTAGGAGTACATCCTCGGAATGTGTTTTGCTTTTTTGAAGAGCTAGGATTGAATTAAGGCTTTGTGTATGTGAGCCAAGTGCTTGCTCTACCAACAATCTTCACTCCTCGTCCTCGAATGTACAGGGCCTTTCTTTGGTAGTGGTGCCAGGAAGCACGGGGTTGACCATCAAGCTACATCTCTAGCCTTAAACGTGTGTATATATATGTATGTGTGTGTACTTCTATCTTTATACCTTTATATATACATAACTATTTTATTTTTAATTTTCACTCTTACCTTGCATTGGGGGTAAGGCTTCGTAAGACATGAATCAGAGAACTAAGTGGGAGAGATCCAGACTGTTTAACCAGAAGGGAATTCTCATAGGATGTTTCTTCAGTATAAGGACTATATGTAGTAGTTTCATACCAAAGCCAATTATAAAGACTCTGCTTTGCATGATCCCACACTACAGAAGACGATCAAACAAAGAATTACAAGTTATTGCCATGCCACCATGCTCCATGAGACGTCGCTGCAGTGAGAGTGGAGAAGCACTTAAGGGAGGCACCCAAAGGCTGGGGATGCAGCTCACTGACGGGGCGCTGGCTTCACACCTTAGTACTGACGTGATTTTGTTATTGTTACGTAACCTGTAAATCATAATCTGCTTCCTCTGTCAATCACTGTCCTACTCTTTTTGTTGTTTTGAGACAAAGTCTCCTTATGTGGCCCAGGCTGGTCTCTTGCCTCAGCTTCCCAAGTGCTAGTATGGCAACTATGAGACTTGGGTAACATCTAAATCTTTATTTTTACATTGAATACAAGTGAAATTATCTCAGCACCATCAATAATTTTTTTAGAACATTAGTAAAGCAGTCGGGTGTAGTGGCATAAATCTTTAATCCCAGCACTTGGGAGGCAGAGGCAGGTAGATCCCTGTGAGTTTGAGGTCAGTCTGGTCTACATTGAGACTTACACAATGAGACCCTGCCTCCAAAATTAAAAATAAAATACAGCTAAGCAGGCTAAAGAAATGGCTCAGCAGTTACGAATGCTGACTGCTATTGCAATCACCTATACTTTCAGTTCCAGTGATCGGCTGCCCATGGGCCTCTTCACCATGTGGTATAGCACATAAACTCCCACAGGCAAAAATCACATGAATAAAATAAATAAATCTTAAAAACTTAACAATTAACCTTCTGTTATATCATTATCACAAAATCTTTGAATTTACAAAATAAACATTGCAAGCTGGGTGGTAGAGCAGTCCTTTAAATCCCAGCACTTGGGAGGAAGAGGCATGCAATCTCAGTGAGTTTGGGAGGAAGAGGCATGCAATCTCAGTGAGTTTGGGAGGAAGAGGCATGCAATCTCAGTGAGTTTGAGGCCAGACTAGTCTACAAAGCAAGTTTCAGGGCAACATAACACAGAGAAACCCTGTCTCAAAACAACAACGACAACAAAAAAGCAACACGGTAATACCACAAAGGGTAGGATAAAACCAGAATAACAGGTCTACTCTTCCCCGTGTTGACTTCAGATATAAACATATTTCTTTAGTGTAGATCTTTATTTCCAATAAATTGAGACCACCTTTTGACAAGCTGAAATTTACTAGAAAACAGCAAGAAAATTTTGTGAGACTACTCTCTCAAGGAAAAAGAGACTAAAATGCAACTTACTGAGAGGAGCATGGAGGTGATCAATAGATGCTATAAGGTACACGTTACGCAAAGACGACAACTGTCCAAGAATTTGCTGGCTATTGTCTCCTCTCAACATTTGACTATCCAAATTGTGGATAAGAAGGAAGAGTTCTAAAGAAGAATCTAGAAGGAAAGGAAATTCAATTATTATTTTCAGAACGGATTGTCAAGTCCTTAGCACAAACAATGCCTAAGCTATATCAAAGGAAGGTGCTAAGCAAGCCTCCATACATGAGCAACAAAACCCAGCCACAAGCGCAGATATGATTTATAAAAATTACTGAACAACATCTGGAGCTGGGAAGATGGCTCCGTTGGTAAACTGCTTACTGTACGAGCATGAGGACCTGAGTTCAACCCTCAGCAACCATTAGTAGAACAGAAAAATAAACACACAAACACTATCAAACAACATAAGTGTCAGACAAAGATGCACGAATGTGTTACAGGCACTTCATACTGACAAAACAAAAAGTAAAAATTATTCTGAAGCCGGGTGCTGGAGGCGCACACCTTTAATCCCAGCACTCGGGAGGCAGAAAGAGGTGGATTTCTGTGAGTTCGAAGCCAGCCTGGTCCAGGGCACGCTCTAAAACAATACAGAGAAAGCCTGTCTCAAAAAACAAAGAACCAAAAAAATTCTGAAATAAAAGGCCATACAGAGTGAAAACAATAGGAGTAACTTCTGTTAGGAGAAATTCATAGAACAAATTAGTATAACAGGAAAGACAAATTATTTTAAAGAAATCTAACTTGACACTGACTAGAGTATCCATATTAAAATAATATTCATCTTTTTGTCTAAAATACCATAAATACAGAGATGCAGAGTATAACTTCATCCTAAATGCTGCAGATGATTTCCTTTATGTTACCTTCTTTAAATTTGTTTATTATCCAGTCTCGCTGATCCAGAACAGTCTGGAAAGTACCCATATGACTGAGGACATCTTCAGTTATAGAATTCAAGATCTACATCATAGAAGTGCAAGAGGTACCATATCAACTGCAATGTATTCTGTCACATACGATAAATACAATTAGCAAATTAATCTTTTTTCATAAATTAATTAAAAGTTATTTTGAGTTTGTCATAAAGTTTAAAAAAGTACTTAAAATTCCACTGGGTATTTAAGTATATCTAATTCTTTTAAAAAAAATACATTAAGGCTAAAAGAAAAAGAGAAGAATAACACAGGCAGAAAAAAAAAAACAGTAAAAGAAACTTCAAATTATGAATGTGCTGGGCACACACCTTTAATCCCAGCACTCAGGAGGCAGAGGCAGGCAGATTTCTGTGAGTTCAAGACCAGCCTGGTCTACAGAGTGAGTTCCAGGATAGCCTTCAAAGCCACAGAGAAACCCTGTTTCAATCCCTCCCCCCCAAAAAACTATGAATGTGAGCCAGGAGCAGTGGTGCACACCTTTGATCCCAGCACACTGGAGGCACAGGCAAGCGGATCTTTGTAGATTGAAAGCTAGCCTGGTCTACACAGGGAGTTCCAGGACAGTCTGGTCTACATACAGAGACGCCGTCTCAAAATAACCAAAGGTGGCCCAACTATGAACACATCTCAAGAAACAATAGTAAAAACAGGATACTACATTGGCTAATATCCAATATCCAAAACCTTGATATAATTCACAGTTGAAGTAAAAATAGCCTATGATAAAACTATCTGCTGTTTATATTTTTATTATTTGTATACCAAAATAATACAAAATCCTAATAAAATTACAGATTCTATAAGCAAACTCTCAGCTGTTCCACTAGTAACTTGGTGTAGTAAATGAAGGCAACATTTCCTTAACGTTTAGACAAGCCAGGCCTTTTGTGAATGTGCTAGCTAGTTTTATGCCATCTTGACACATGCTAAAGTCATGAGAGCAGTGAGCCTCAATTAAGAAAAATGCCTCCTTACGATTCATCTGCCGCTGGGTGCTAGTGGCACATGCCTTTAATCCCAACACTCGGGAGGCAGAGGCAGGGGATTTCTGTGAGTTCCAGACCAGCCTGGTCTACAAGAGCTAGTTCCAGGACAGGTTCCAAAGCCAGAGAAATCCTGTCTTGAAAAACCAAAAAAAGATCCATCTGTATGAAAGCCTGGAGGGCATTTTCATAATTATTGATCAACGGGGGAGGGCCCAGCCCATGGTAGGTGGCTCTATCCCGCTGGTGGTCCTAGGTTCTATAAAAAAACTAGGCTGAGCAAGTCATGAGGAGCAAGCCAGTAAGCAGTGCCCTCTATGGCCTCTGCATCAGCTGTTTGAGTTCCTGCCCCAACTTCCTTTAACGATAAGCTAAGATGTGTAATCCAAATAAGTCCTTCCCTCCTCAATTTGTTTTTGGTCATGGTGTCTCATTACAGCAACAGGAACCCTGACTAGGAAGTGACTACCTATGTAGATGCTTATCAGGGTGAACGTTTCTGTGTGGGTACGGGTGGGGGCCATGGGACAAACTTGGGTGTTGTTTTTAGGTGCTGTCAACACAAATTTTTATTTATCAATTTTTTTTTCTTTTTGGTTTTTCGAGACAGGGTTTCTCTGTATTATTTTGGAGGCTGTCCTGGAACTTGCTCTGTAGACCAGGCTGGCCTCGAACTTACAGAGATCCGACTGCCTCTGCCTCCCAAGTGCTGGGATTAAAGGTGTGCGCCACCAACGCTTGGCTTTTATTAATTATTTTTAAAAGGATTTTCTCCATTATTTTTTGTCTTAAAAGTGTTTGCCTGGTGTGGAGAAATGGCTCAGTGAGTAACAGCACCCACGTGCAGCTCACAACTGTAACTCGAGTTCCAGGGATCTGATGCCCTCACACAGACATACATACAGGGAAAATGCCAACGTACATAAAATAGAAATATATTATTTTTAAAAAAGTGTTTGCCTACATGTATATGTGCATCATGTGCATGCAGTGCCCATGGAGGCCAGAAGAGGGCATCAGATTCCCAGAACTGGAGTTATAGACAGTTGTGATCTGCCATGTAGTCTAAAGTAAAACCTGGGTTCTGTACAATAACAGCAAGCATTCTTAACCAATAACCAACTCTATACCCCTATTAATTTATTTTGAGACAGGGTCTCTCATTGGCACAGAGATCATCTAGCGGTAAGGCTGGTTGACTAGTGAGCCTTGGTGATCAGGGACCTCCTTCCCCTGCCTCAGATCTTATTTACAGACCAAGCCATTTCCCCAGCCCCATGTCAATTTCACAGTAATAAATTCAATGATAAAAACTTAAAGCTAGACTGCTCTGGATTCAAACATATGATCTATACAGGCCAAAATAAAATCCTTTATATTCAGGGTTCAGAGCAGAAATTCCATCCTCAGCCCTGTGGGGCCACCATGACATAGGGACATAAAAAAGACATAGTATCATTCCATTTAACAGTTTTGAAACTTACTGATTTCACACTGATTCCAGGAAAGAAGCCATTGATGACAACATGAATGGAATTTTGAAGCATGGTGACTCGAAATTTTTCTAGTAAGTCTCTCTTGGACCCCAAACCATAGAGCACAATGTTGAACCCAAGGCTGTAAGGCAAGACAATATCCACAAAATTAAAACTTAAGACTTCTGACTGCCAGCTTCATTATCAAACAGTCTAAGCTTATATGGACTGCACAAAGAAAAGCATAAAAGGGTAAAAATAAGAGTCAGATACTTGGCATATATCTATAATCCCAGCACTTGGGAGACAGAGTTAGAATTACTGTTATCTTGGAGCCAGCATGGTTAACAAAGCAAGTTCCAGGCTATATAGTGTGACTCTGATTCATAAACACAAAAATAAATAAATAACATTAAAAGTACAAAGAGTACTGAAAGAACTAAGGCAGCTACACAGTTAAATTGTTGGTTCCCTAGAACATAGTCAAGGCACCATTCACCACCTACGAGAGACCACAGTTCCAACTTGTTTGGCAGCTTTCTCTGCAGGCCTGAAGGTAAGAATGACTATGGTCAATACTGTAACATTTAAGACAGGCTAAAGGAAAGTTGAAATTAACAAATTAAACTGGAACAGTGAATCATACTATAATGATAATTCAACTTTATTACAATAATGAACATCTGGAAGTTGTATTAGCTAGAAGGTTTTCCAGGAAGGTAGCATTTCACTTTAGAAAGACCACAATATTTGGAGTAACTAGGGAAGAGGAACAAAAATGCCAAAGAATTAACTGTCATGTAGAAAACTGTAAGCAGCCAGGCGTTGGTGGCGCACACCTTTAATCCCAGCACTCGGGAGGCAGGCAGATCTCTGTGAGTTCGAGGCCAGCCTGGTCTACAGAGCGAGTTCCAGGACAGCCTCCAAGATAATACAGAGAAACCCTGTCTCAAAAAAACCAAAAAAAAAAAAAAAAAAAAAAAAAAAAAAAGAAAACTGTAAGCATATCAAAATAACAGAATTTAGAGACTGATGAATGCAGAAGATGAAGGAAAAATGTAGTTTTCTGCTCTAGGTAACTACATGGAATGGTTGACATGTCCCATGCTGGGAAGGAGGCAAGTGAAGAGACTGGTTTCAGCAGGGCAGCCAAGTGAGATGCTCAACATATAGTCCAATAGTTATGTCTACTGCTGCTGCTGGGTAATGTCAGCATTGGACATTACAGTGCCAAGAGTCACTCATATAAAAAGAACAGCTGAAGCACAGTGAGAGAAAGAATGGAACCAAATCCAAATTCATAATTATCTACAGAAACCCATCAAACCAAACAACATTTATACGAGGTTCCTCAACATGCATGACAGCTAGGATGGAACAGGAAATATATTCCCTGGGAGATTCTGGCAAGGCCAAAGTAGCAGGAACAGCCAAGGAAATTCACAGAGCTAGTTATGCCACTCAATTAGGGACTACAGGTCTAGACTGGGAAGCAAAGCCAAGCTTGAGCTGACATACTGGAAGAAGGGAGAACTGGTAGGCTGAAAGACGGGATTAAAAAGCAAAGAGCTGCTGTACAAGCATATATAGCTATACGAATATAGCTACTGAGAAAAACCGAGGTCTTTGCAGAAGAGATAACTTCTGTACCTGCAGGCATGGTGTCTGATTGCTTTCCATGTTTGTTCCCCCCCCCCTCCAATGACATTTCCTCCATGTCCTCCTCTCCTCCCTCCCAATGAATTGAACCCAATGCTTCACAAATGCTAGGCACACACTCTTCCACTAAGACACAGCCCGGTCTTTGCTGTTGTTTCCAATCTGAAACAGGGCTTTGTAAAGTTGCTCGGAACTAACTTCACACTGACTTATCTTCCTCGGTGGTATTTGGTTTTTTGTTTGTTTGCTTTGGTTTTTCAGGATAGGGTTTCTCTGTAGCTTTGGAGTCTGTCCTGGAACTCACTGTGTAGACCAGGCTGGATTCAAACTCAGAAAACCACCTGCCTCTGCCACTCGTGGTGTGTGCCACCAGCACCCAGCAACTTTGCTATTTGCTAGCGTGTAGGTATATTTTCATGAGTATACAGCTTAAAAAGTGAACACCTATTTATTTTTGAATTTGTGAATAGGCTCACATGCCCATAGTAGTAGTATAGTAGTAAAGAGTGACCTTGACATCTGTCTTGATCCTCCTGCCTCTTCACATCAAGCGCAAGGATGACAGGTGTGTGCATCACACCAGGCTAAGATGCTCCTGATATACGTTTTGAAAATTATGAAGATCTCATTAAATTAGTCTCCTAGATATTTTTTCCCCTTTTTCTTTTTTGGTTTACAAGACAGGGTATCTCTGTGTAGACCAGGCTGACCTCAAATTCAGAGATCTGTCTGCCTCTGCCTCCCAGATACTGGGATTAAAAGCATTTGTTACCACCACTCTGAGTCTTCCAGACATTTTAATGGAAAGAAAATTATAACTGAAGCATATGAAAAGTAAAATTAAAATAATATTTTAAGAAATCATTTTAAAAGGTAAATGGTCAGGTAACAAATCTCACCACGCTCTAAAAGTCCATGTATACAGAATTACATTAAAATAAAATATATTCTATTTCTTTTTGAAACAGGGTCTTATGTTGTGGAGGTTTGAGTAAGAATAATCCCCATAGGTTCATATATTTGAATGCTTGGTAACAGAGAGAGGCATTATTTGAAAGGATTAGAAGCGTGATCTTGTTGGAGGAAAGGGCACTGGGAGTTAGACTTCAAAGTTCCAACGGCCCAAGCCAAGTCCAATGTCTTTCTCTTCCTGATGTCTACAGACCCACCACGATAATGAACTAAAATTCTGAAGCTGTAAGCATTCCTAATTAAATGTTTTCCTTTATAAGAGTGCCTTCGTCATAGTGTCTCTTCACCACAATAGAAGACACATGTAACATAGGCTGCTTTGAACTTGTTAAGTAGCTAGAGATGACCTTCAATTTGTGGTCTTTCTGCTTTCAGCTTTCAAGTACTGGGATTAAATCTACAATCTAATTGACACGTTTATTGATTTTTTATTACAATTTTTATTTTATACGCATTGGTGTTTGCCTACATGTATGTGTGTGTGGTGGGGGGTGGTGTCAGATCTCCTGGAATATGAGTTACAGACAGTCGTGAACTGCCATGTAGGTGCTGGGACTTGAACCTGGGTCCTTTAGAAGAGCAGCCAATGCTCTTAACCACTGGGCCATCTTTCCAGTTCCACGCTTATTAATCTTTACAACAATAATTTTTCATTTTTTGTTTGTTTTTCCAGACAGGGTTTCTTTGTGTAGTCCTAGCCGTCCTGAAACTCACTCCTGTAGACCAGGCCGACCTCAAAGAGAGTTCTGGGATCAAAGTTGTGCACCACCATGTCTGGCTCACAAGTTTTTAAAAACACTACAGATTTTCATAGTGCTGAGTCATCTTACAGATGGTGAAGTTCAGTTTCCAGCCCTTACATGATGGCCCACAACTCTAGTTCCAGGGGAGCTAACACTCTCTTCTGACTTCTGTGGACAGTAGGCATACATGTGCAGCATATACATACATGCAGTTAAAACACACACAAACATAAAATAACTCTATAATTTCTGAGAAGACTCATATAATAAAATGACATTTCTATATCTAAGTTGTAAAACTGGAGAAAAGCCATATAATTTGTTGTGCTCTTTGAATGTGGTCTTATAAAGCCAAGGCTGGTCTAGAATTTGCTTATATAGTTCCAGGCTGGCTTCAAATTCACGATACCCAACTCAGTGCCACCTTACCCACAGACTCTCCAGGTTACAAGAATGTGCCAGGGCAGTTGGTCTTGCACCTGTGTGCATGCCTAAGCTGGGTAGTTTTTGTCCAACTTGATGCAAACCTAGACATACTCAGACAGAGGGAACCTCAATTGAGGGACTGCCTTTATCAGACTGGCCTGTGGGCTATCTATGGGGACATTTCCTGTCTTTCTTTACATGCATGCCTGGCACCTACAGAGGCCAGAAGAAGATACTGAGGTACCTGGAACTGGACTCACAAAAAGTCATGAGCTGCCCTGTAGGTGCTGGGAATTGAACCCCGGTCCTCTGGAAGAATAACCAGTGTTCATAACCTGAATCTTCTCTCTATTCCTGCCACTGGACTTTTAAAATGTTGAAATCTTTTCAAGACTAAGACTTTTAATGTGTACGTCAGGTTGATAAAGGGTGGACTGTGCTGGTTATTTTGCCAATTTAATATAAACCTTGACACCAGGAAGACGGAATCTCCTCTGAGGAATCGACTGGGTCAGACTGCCCTGCAGGCATGTCTGTGGGCCATTTATGATTTCTGATCGGTGAAGTAGGCTCTAGCTCACTTAGGGTGGTGCTACCATGGGCAGGTGAGCCTATTATATAAGAAAGGTAGCTGAGCCAGCTAAGGGATGCAAGCCAGTAAGCTGTGTGGTTTTGCTTCCAGTTTCTGCCTGAGTTCCTGCCTTGACTTCCCAAAATGATGTCAGATAAACTCTTTACTCCCCAAGTTGCTTTTGGTCATGGTTTGATCAACAGAAAAGCAAACCACCACAATAACGTGTGTGTGTGTGTGTGTGTCTGTGTGTGTGTATGCAAGTGTGTATGCAAGTGTGTATGCAAGCGTGCACGTGTTTGCGCATCACTATAAAAATAAAATCAGAGGGATGGCTAGTTGTATTAGTGAGTAAAAGCACCACACATGCCTGATAACTTAAGTTATATCTTTAGGACCTACTCCTACAAGCTGTCCTCTGACCTCCCACATGCCCTATGGGAGGCAGAAGCAGGTAGATAGACCCCTGTGAGTTCAAGGCCAGCCTGGCTTACGAGAGTTCCAGGACAAAGCAATGAAAGTTTGTCTCAAAAGCAAAACAAACAAAGGGAAATGAAAAGAAATATGCTTTGGGGTTAGTACTAGATAGTAAATCTAAGGCCTCATATATGTACAGTATACAACTGCTCTACCACTGAGCTATATACCTAACCTGAAAATCAAATATAGCAAATATGTTTTTTGGTTTGTTTTTTGAGACACAGTCACTCTATGTATTCTGGCTGTCCTAGAAATTCACTGTGATGACCAAGCTGGCCTAGAATTCACAGAGATCACCTGCTTTTGTCTGCCTCCCAAGTGCTGGGATTAAAGGCACATACCACCACAACTGGCTGCAAATTATATTTTAACACAGACATATACATATACATATTACTCTTCATTGTACCAGGGTGTACAATGATAATACTTACTGTAACTGTAGCATCCATTTACGAAACAATTTCTCATGCTGTTGATTTAACTGTTCAATTTCAGCAGAAAAGGAAGGTGAGAATTTGCTCAATAAGTTACGTAGCGTTTTCTTTAAAAAGAGAGAGGAAGGTATTAGTGGAGATACTGACTTAAATGAGGTATGGAAATAAGTAAACCAACTGAATCTAAGAAATTCCTCAAATATAACTTAAATGCTTATTTAATTAAAAGCTGTTTTATGTGTATTAGTGTTTTTTTATATAAATGGTGCCTGTGGAGCTCAGAAGAGGTTATGAGATTCCCTGAACTGGAGTTATAAATGTTTATGAGCTACCACATGGATGCTGGGAACTGAATCTGGTTCTTCTGCAAGAGGAAGTGCTCTCAATGATTGGACCATGTCTCCAGCCTCTTTTAAAGTTCTTTTTTATTTCAAGTGTATAGTAACAATATAGAATTTTGCTAAGTTTGCCTAGAACCATTTAAACGATTACAACAAACTCCAAATATACAGCTTTAATTTCTAAAAATATAGTTACTATAAGATGATCAACTCCGCTTCCCAGTTTTTACAACAAATTCAGGCAGACAAAAACCAATTCAAAGATAACAAAAACCAATAAAATGTCTCAAGCGAGTGGGTTCGGGGCTGCTGATAAGAAGCAGAGCGCTTGTCAAGTATGAGGCCCTGAACCGAATTGTCAGCACTACAGTAACAATACAAAGAAATACCAAACCTGCAGATCTGAAAAATTATAAAAACTGAGGTAGCAATTCAATAATTTTTGGAAAATATTCAAGTTTCTTTATAATTCACCATTAGAATGAGGCACAAGTAAGATTGCCAGCTTTTTATTTCCTTTCCCTTTTTTCAAGACAGGGTTTCTCCATATAACTTTCTTGGCCATCCTGGAACTCACTCTGTAGACCAGGTTGGCCTTGGATTCACAAAGATCCATCTGCCTCTGCCTCCCAAGGCTGGGATTAAAGGCGTGCGCCACCTCTGCCCAGCAGGATTGGCAGTTTTAACCCTAGGCCGTAAGAGGTGATCTGCTTTCCTACTCCCTATGTCTATCATCATCAGCTACCTGAGTGGTCCAACAAGGAAAACAGACATGGCGTGTCTCCTAGATCTGCTAACCTTCAGCTGACCCACAGACATGAGAAATAAATGCCAATGCTATGCCTGGAACGTCTTACATTCTTGCAGAGATTATTTGCTCAAGTCTTTTTACCCATGTTGCTTAAATAAACATAGATGGCAAATATCAGTGTTGTTTCTTTCTAGGAAAGCCTTTTCTTTCCTTCAATCAATCAATCTATCTATCTATCTATCTATCTATCTATCTATCTATCTATCTATCTATCGCATGTATGTGTTCCTGTTTGTGTGTGAGTGGTGGTACATGTTTCCACAAGTAGTGGTATCTTCCTCAATCACTCTCAACCATTGTATGTTTATGTAGCACCTGTGCTCATGGTGCCCAAAGAGGCCAGACTAGGACATCAGATCCCCTTGATCTAGAAATACAGATAGTTGTGAGGCAACTAATATGGGTACTGTAAACTGAAACAGGGTGCTCTGTAAGACCAGTGTTCCTAACCATCGAGTCGTCTCTCTAGTTCCTTGTCCTTATTTTCTGATAGGGATTCTTTTTTTTTTTTTTAAATTTTACTTTATTATTTTAAATGTGTATATGACATTTATATATATGAATGCAGATACATGGGACTGTGGCACACTGTGGAAGTGAGCCAGTAACATTCTCTGCTGGGTTACAATTATTAACCCCACTTTCCTTTTAGATTTTTATTTTGTCTTTAATTATGGGAGAAGGTATCTGGTAAGCTGCCCATGGAGGCTAGAAGAGAGTCCTGGGTCTCCTGGAGCTAGAATTACAGGTAGTGGTGAGTCAAACGGGTGCTGGGAACTACACTTTGGTCCTCTATAAGAACAGTAAATACTGTGAACTCCTGAGGCATCTTTCCAGCCCTTAAGCCCTACTGACAGACTTACAACTCAGTGGCCACGTCCTATGTTAAAGGAGGCTAGTGGTCAAAGTTCCAACAAGGACCGATGTGCTGGACTGTTTGTAACAGGAGCTAATGGGAAGATTGAGCAAGGTCACCGTGCTACCTCACTGCACTCTGCAACTTTCCAAACAGCTAGGAAGGGAGGCATCCCCCTCACTTCTGCAAAGTTGTATCAGGGAGCAGTCAGGCTGTAGATGCTATACAGACCAATGTGAAGTCATGAAGAGCACGTGCGTGAAGTGAGGAGCACAAAAAGCTATGGCTCAATAGTTATTTTAAATTCTGAGAAAAAAGGAATAGAAGAAAGTAAAATTATGTGAAATAGAATTCTCATCAGTGAATTCTTTAAAATTTATGCAACTTGTGTTTAATGACCACAACACATTAACTTGTGCTTTATTTTGTGAGGGAAAGTATTCTGCTCCTGTTCATGTTTTCCAATGCACTGCTAATGTATTTGAGGTCACAATTAACAGAACACTGATAACACCATTATAGCCTACCTGATCCAGTTTGGCTCTCTTCACCTTCTGCAGGGTTCTATCAGATGTCAAAACTTTGGAACTGCTATGGGCTTCAAAATATTCTTCCACCAAGTCACTCTGAAATGGACAAAATAACTTCAGATATCCATATTGCATAAAATGTAGACAGTAACTAGTTTAAATTGGGCTCAAGAAATCCTCATGCCACACCTTTGAAAACAGGTGGAAATACAAGTGTATATTAACACACCTAACTAAAATACTGTATCTTTCTTTTTTCCTTTCTTCTTCTTCTTCTTCTTCTTCTTCTTCTTCTTCTTCTTCTTCTTCTTCTTCTTCTTCTTCTTTTATTTTTATTTTTTTTTGAGATAGGGTTTCTCTGAATTGTCTGGAGGCTGTCCTAGAACTCACTCTGTAGACCAGGTTGGCCTCAAACTCACAGATTCACCTGTCTCGGCCTCCTGAGTGCTGGAATTAAAGGCGTGTGCTACCAACACCCGGCTTGTTTTTGTTTTTCAAGACAGGGTTTCTCTGTAGCTTTGCAGACTGTCTATAGACCAGGCTGGCCTCAAACTCATAAAGATCCATCTGCCTCTGCCTCCTGAGAGCCAGCTTTGACAGTTAAAAAAAAAAAAAAGTATACAGGTCAAGGATCAAAGATATTTAATGCCACCAATACATTAATTCTGATGAAAATATGAATTAAAAATAACTGGCAGGGTGTGGTGGCTTATATTTTTAAATCCCAGAACGTGGGAGGCAGAGGTAGGTGGCTCTCTGAGTTTAAACCCAGCTCAATCAACATACAGGACAGGCAGAGCTGTATAATACAGAGATCCTATGTACGTTACAGTGCTGATCGTAAATAAACATCCAGAAATGAAGAGAAAGTCCAAATACAGAAACAAGTATGTATGGGAATTCATGTGTAAAACTAAGAACAAACAAACAAAAAGAACTATTTTGACCCAACAAAATTATCTCTAAATTATAATATATAATTTTACTTTTATGTTAAAAAGATTATAATTTATCAGGGCCTTTGCTTCTCCTCAGACAATCTTAGTTATTCCTTAACTATTTAGTGCTCATGAAAAAAAAAAGAAATCAATATCAAGGTTAAGAAAAATAGATCACTGGTTATTTTTCTGATTTGAGGCAGGATTAATCTCTGGGTTGGCAAAAAAGTTGACAACTACTGAAATAGTATGGTACCTACTGTCCTGAATCTTCACAGACAACAGTAGACAATGAGCCCCTTGTAAAAACAGCATGAAGTTGAGAGAGGAGGAGCCTAGATTTACTGCTCTGCACTCAAGGTCAGCCTGTGCTTACAATACTCCTGCAAAATCATTCAGCATGGACTGGCAGTCGGATACACATCGCCGAGCATCCCTGCTACAGCAACAAAACTACGTGAAAAGGAAGTTCATGCACTACTGAACTGGAATGTTACTTTTCGTGCTTATTACAGTACTGAGCATGAATAACAAGGATGTGTGGGAATTCATGTGTAAAGACAATATAGAAAACTAAAGAAAAGAGGGCTGATCTCTGTTGTAGACCTGTCTGCTTCAGGCAGCCTTCCAGGAAGGCATTTCTCAGAGTTCTCCTTAGGCTCAAGTGCCCCTTCACTCACTGCTTTGTCTCTCTTCACTTTCTTAAGCGGTGTCCCTTGGGAAACAGGAGCTCGACTCTTTTGAGAGAGCCCAGCCACGTCAGTGTCGTCTTCGTCATCTCTTCCAACCTCTCTATCATCCTCAGAGTCAGAAGCAGAATATTCACTTTCACTGTCACAATGAAATGTTGACACTGTAGAAGAATAAAGAGAACCAGGAAGATTTGATGCTTTTAAAGAAAAGCTATTTGAGGAGAATCAAGAATGTGGGCTTTGAAGTAAGAGATGCTTTTCTTTATTTTTATTTTATGTGCATTGGTGTTTTGCCATGGGTGCTCAGTTCCCTGGAACTAGAGTTACACAGACAGTTGTGAGCTGCCATGTGGTTGCTGGGAATTGAACCCAGGTCCTCTGGAAGAGCTGTCAGTGCTATTAATTGCTGAGTCATCTCTCCAACCCCCCAAATAAGAGGTTTCTAATTAGTTTTGTCATTACTTGCTCATGATTTCACAGCTAGTTATATTCATTCTCTAAGTACTAGTTTCTTCAGTTATGAAATGAGGGTAAGCATACCTAACTAACCTGCTGAAAAATGACATTGGAATGAATCATTTGTGTGTATGTAATGAATACTCTTCTTGTATACTCTTGTGTGTATGTGTGGGGGTGGCATGTATTTGTTTAGGTGCCCATCTATGCATGTATACATGGAGGCCTGCAGTTGATTTAAATGTCTTTTTTGTTGTTGTTGTTGTTTGTTTATTTCAAGACAGGGTTTCTCTGTACTGTTTTGGAGGTTGTCCTGGAACTCACTCTGTAGACCAGGCTGGCCTCAAACTCACAGAGATCCGCCTGCCTCTGCCTCCCGAGTGCTGGGATTAAAGGCGTGCGCTACTACCACCTGGCTTGATTTAAATGACTTGATCACTCCCCACCTTATATATTGGGGCAGGGTCTCCTGCTCAACCAGGAGCTTGCCAGCTTGCTCAGGGGATTCTATCTTAGCCACCCTTACATGCTGGAATAATAGATGAGTTCCACATTCACCTATTTCTTTATGGGTTCTGGGGATTAGAACTCATATTCTCATGCTTATGAAACAAGCACTTTATCTTGTGAGTTATCTCTCCAGCACCTGAAATGTATCTAAAGCAACTAATAATGTCAGTTGTACTTCATATTATTCTCTGTTATTTTCTCTCACTAACAGAACTCCATTTTTTGGATAGGGTAGTAATGGGCCCCACTATATAGTTAAAAATTGTGATAGTCATCTTTTCCCTCTGCCAAAAACTTGCTTTACTTCCTACCCTTGCAACTATGTTGACTATATAACACTTTGACCACCAGACTGAGGGAATTTAATGAAAGGTTCTAAGAAGGATTTTGTTTCCACAGGGAGGACATTATAGTATTAACTGTTATACAGCATGTATCCACTAACCCTGATTACACTTAGACCAAAGTAAAATACTACTTAAGTGTGTTTAATGTTTCTTATTTCAATTAGTCTTCAAAACAATTCTAAGGCTGCTACCAACATTACACCTAGTATATAAATGAAGTTGAAGACAAAGAAAAGAACCAGTTAAGTGGCCATCCAAAGACTGAAAACTAAGTACTTAATAAGTAGAACTTGTATACTTTACCATTATTGACTGATTTAGTTGCTAACCTTTGTAAAAACTTCATGTTGTTAGGCATGCTTGCAATCTCAACATCTGGATGGTAGAGGTAGGATGATGATGAGTTCAAGGCCAGCCAAGTCCATATAGTGAGAGTGAAGCTAGCCTGTGCCAAATTAGATCTGGTCTCAAAAGACAAAGCAAACAAACAAAATATAAAAAGAAATACATACCTATTATTCTTTTTCTTAGACAACGAGTTGGTGTTGACAGAGATTCAGTTTTGTTATTGTTCCGCTTAAAATTTAAAAAGCATAGTAAGTAATATGAATAATCAATGATATTATAATGAATAATTAATTCCAGAAGTAAAAAACAAAAACAAAACTAAAAAAGAAAAATATGTTGTTTTCAAATAACATTAGAACTACATGAGTCACTAATTCCTATCACCAGAAGACAGTAACAAATGAATTTGCTAAAATAAAAAAAGGGGACTGGAAACTGGAAATGCTGGTTCTGCAGGGTCTTAATGCCTACTCAAAAACAAAACAAAAACAAGAACCAAAACCCAAAATACCATAAAAAGAGAAAGGAAGGAAATTGGCAGACTTCCCTGACACACAAAATTCACTACTTCAGTTTCTTTGTCTTTCGAGACAGGGTTTCTCTGTACTGCTTTGGAGGTTGTCCTGGAACTTGCTCTGTAGACCAGACTGGCCTCAAACTCACACAGATCCACCTGCCTCTGACTCCTGAGTGCTGGGATTAAAGGTGTGCACCACCAACGCCTGGCAATTACTTTTTTTTTTTTAATAGATGGTAGATTCACTGCTGGCAGACAAAACTTAGCCAGACAAAATACAAAAACTACTCGTCAAGGTCATAGGGGATGGGAAGACATCAACAATGGTGGTCTGTCTGTCTTCAAAGGGTCTGTCTTCCACCATGGACACATGAAGGAAGACCATCATGTCAGTGTTTGAGGCTAGTCTCCTGATCCTTTTTGCCCTCATAGTCAATTATAAGGGGTGGGAAGCAGGGGAAAGATAAGGGGAAAACCAATGACTGGTCTACAGAGCGAGTTCCAGGACAGCCTCCAAAACCCTGTCTCAGAAAACCAAAAAAATTTAAAATTTAAAAATTTAAAAAATAAAGTATAAAATAATGGACCAATCCTCCAAGAAATAAGAACACATTATATATCAACAGAAAAACAAGCTCCTAGTCAGTTCTACTAAGATAAAAATAACCAGGATAGTTGTGACAGAGCACAAAGAACACATAACGGCTATATATGGGAAAACCTGGGCTAATTTTCCAGTTTTATTCTAAGTGAGGTAAACTCAGTAAGTCATTTGATCTTTCTGAAACTCAAATTCTTCATTAGTCAGGTATATAACTGATGCCCATGAACTATAATGCTCAACTTATATGAGAGGAAAAGTTATTGTTCATCACGTCTTGCTTGTTATGTCAATTGCTTACCTCCAGTTGTACTTTCTCTGAAGTTGAATGCCCTAGAGGAAACAAAACTCACATTTATTACAAATACTTCATTTTAGATCATGACCTAGTTTTGCTGAAAGCCAGAATTCTTATTTAACTACAGGCTAATGATCACTAAGAACTGGACGACTATGTCGACCAGTGACAACATTTTGCAGCATTCTTGCACATCTGTAGCACTCTAGTAAGGAAACAAACAAAAATCTGAGCCTTTTCCATTTTGATTAGAAAGTATATTGTTTATGTTAATTGGAGTAGGTCATTCAAAAATAGAAGCTCCCTAATTTACAACAAACCATTCAACTCCTAAACTCCTGTGGAGCCTTATTTCATAGCATGTGCCAAAGCCCAAGCTCCCATGAGAAACTGGCTAACACAGACCAAAAATTATGGGACTTGATGATTATTTTCAGGTGTGCCTGTCACCCCTCATAGGTCAGAAACATAGATGACTGTTGGGGACTGCTAGAACCTTGAACAAAACGGAGTCTGTCAACCGTTTCTTGGCCTTCTGACTACGTGACTGTGAGCACACATGCCCTTGAGACAAAGGAAAAGGCTAACCATAAAAGTTAAATTTACACAGGGCAGCCCACCTGCCTAGCCAGGGGGAAGTAACCCTTACAGAGTAATTGTCTTTGTTAACAAAAGGTTAAAGTGTTCTGTTGTATACTTCCTACCCCTCCCTAATTCCTGCACCTGACTTACGCTGACAAGCATTTGTGGAATGCGACTGGTGACTGATGGAAAATTACAGCTTTGTCTTTACCGTATTTGGTGTATATTTGAATTGAGACTTGATTGACATGCTTGTACCACCCCCTGAGGTCCTTCCTCTATAAGTTCCAGCACACCCCAAAAAATAAAGGCTCTTGATCAGCAAAAGTTGTCTTGAGCCTGCTTCTATTAACCTCTTGAAGTTCACTTTCCAGATCGGATCTGCTCGTGAAGGCCCACCAAATTAGTAGCGACCCTCATCACCTCATCCCCGCGGGTCGGGGGTCCCTTCCCGGGGGTCGCAGATGACTTTCTGCATCTGATATTGATGTTTTATTGACTGGTAAGTATAAATACATTAAAATAAATGGAACTCTAAAAATTATATTCTGTTGAATGAATTTTCAGAGTAGAAATGAATACATGAAAACTCACTAAAATTAAAATAGGAGAAGAAATAGCAACAGCACAGACAGGGTGATGCAACTATGAAAGCTCTTCAACAAAATGGGACGGTGTCTTACCCTTGCTTTTTTGAGTGACGTTTTTCATAATTTCAGGAGCAGCCTTTGAGTCAAGCGGAACAACTTTTCTTGGCGTTTTTGCTAGTTCTAAAGCTGTAATCAGGGGAAAAGCACCTTTTTGAACATCAGGTACAGAGGGAAGTAGCTTTCACTTATATGAACTCTTTAAAACAAAATCCTGCATATTACTTTTATTAGAAAGCTAAATAAACCTACCCATATTAAGAGAACTGATAGCCAGGCAGTGGTGGCGCAAGCCTTTAATCTTATCACTTGGGAGGCAGAGACAGGAAGATCTCTGAGTTCAATGCCAGCCTGGCCTACAGTTCCAAGACAGGCTCCAAAGCAACACAGAGAAACCCTGTCTCAAAAAACATTTTTTAAAAAAAGAAAAACAAAGAGTACTGCTTTTTACAAAACTTTTAAGCTGTCTTCCCAGTATCTTTTTTGTAGTTGGAGATTTCTCTTTCTGCCCGCCAGTTCCCAAACAACCACTCTAACACATAATAATTGTCTGGTCAATGGCTCAGGCACATTACTGACTAGCTCTCACAATTAAATTAACTCATTTCTATCATTCTATATTTTACCAAGAGGCTTGTGGCTTATTACCTAATATCTCCTGCCCCTGCAAATACAAGGTGTCTCCCTGACTCCCCTCCAGGTACCTCTGTTTGGATTTCCTGCCTAGCTATATTCTGCCTATGTATTTGCCATTGGCCAAAATACCTTTATTCATTAACCAATAAAAGCAACACGTATTTGCAGCATACAGAAGGTCACACCACATATAATTTTTTATCTTTAATTACTCACGTGTTTATGTGGTGGATATATGCATGCCTGTGTGCATATATAACTCAGAGAAGTCAGTCTGTCTCTCCCAGTAAGGATACTGGATATCAAATTCAGCTTGTCATGTTTCATAACAAATGCCTTTACTCACTGAGCCACCTAATCCCCTCCTAACATCTCCCAATTATATACAAATTTCTCGAACAGCAAAATAGAAATAATTGCCGGCATCTCTACCAACAGCTTATATTCCTTCTACTTCTTTTCCCTTTGAGGTGTTTATTGTGTTTGCCCTCCATTTCTTTAGTTTGCTTAAGACGGGTTCTTATACAGCTCTGGCTGTCCTGGAACTCGCTCTGTAGACCCAGATTGCCTGGAACTCACTGAGATCCCGGCCCCTGCCTCCTGAGTGCTGAGATTAAAGGTGTGTACTATGCCTAACTCTGCTTCCTTTTCTTATATATATTGTAGCCACAAACTGAGGTGATGCAAGGGCATGTTAGGATCTAAAACCCTAGTGAAAACTGTATGTAGTTAAAATTTTAAATTCTCTACAAAGTGTGGTGCTCTTGTGTAAAACTTTACATATGAATGATTCATAAAATATAATATGGTGTGGAGCAGATGGCTGCTTCTTTGCTGAAGCACCAAATGAAATAGTTGGCTTTTAGGTGACTTTTGTTGTTGTTTTGTTTTGTTTTTGAGACAGGGTTTCTCTGTGTTGTTTTGGAGGCTGTCTTTAACTCTAGACCAGGCTGGCCTCGGAACTCACAGAGATCCACCTGCCTCTGCCTCCCAGGTGCTGGGATTAAAGGCGTGCGCCACCAACAGCCAGCTTTAGGTGACATTTTAAATAAAACATTTATCTAGTCTTTATTTCAATGGTGACAAGCATGTGGAAAATGAGCCTGAGGGAATAGACTTATATCCCCTTAAGACTCATACAATTTGCATAGTAATCGAATCGCCTTACTTCTTCCATTGCTTTAAGATTTATCTTCATCATTTAATTATATATGTATGTATGTATTCAAGCACAGATGCCCACAGTGGCTGGGGAATCAGATGCCCCACAGTTGGAGTTACAAGTGGTTGTGAGTCACCTGCTGAGGTTGCTGGGAACCAAACCTGGGTCCTCTGCAAAGACAGTACACACTTGTAACTACTGAGCCATCTCTCCAGCCTATTTTTTATTCTTTAAATGGAGAAAAGTATAGCTGTATATAAATCCTAAGCCATTTTACTGGCCCATACATCCTAACTTAGAAATTTTATCTTCTGGTCTTGAAGGTTAGCTAAGATACTCACAAGCTCCACAAGCACTTCCTTTCCTTTTGTTTTTTCATTTTCTTGGATTTATTTATTTATTAATTATATATACAGTGTTCTGCCTGCATGTATGCCTGCACACCAGAAGATGGCACCAGATATCAATACATGGCTGTTAGCCACCATGTGGTTGCTGGGAATTGAACTCAGGACCTCTGGAAGAGCTGCCAGTGGCTCTTAACCACTGAGACATCTCTCCAGCCCTGTACTTCCTTTTCTTAATTCCCTGCTCTATATAAATCACTGGGTGTTTGTTGTTGATATTATAGTTTGTTTTACATGGTCTTGTTTTTAAGACATCCTTTGATTTTGGTCAGGATTTTAAGTAGACAACAGTTACTACAGAGCCCATAAGCGGCCTGAGTGCTCAGAGTAAGTGACTGCTGAATGCTCAGCCACAAAAGTATCAGCACCCCCAAGGCCAGGCAGCACCTCTGAAGAGGAAGTAGAAAGAAGGTAAGAGCTGGAGGAAGGGGGTGGAGGGCAGTGCAATGCCATCATCCGCGCATGACCTGAGCTTTTAGCAGCTGTGATTACTTCCACATGGCCAGCATAAAACGGAACCCATCAGTATTCTGTCACAAAGCAGTTAGGGGCTCACAAGTCCTGACTTGTCATGGGGATGTATAGGCAGTTAAGGGTGTTAGTGTGGAGAGCTCATAAGGCCCATCTGCCTTGAGAATCTACAGCAAACTGCTAGGGGAGGAAGACACTGTTTTTCCCAGTGCTGCAGCCACTGGTAAGCTGCCCAGTCCTCCATAAACAATCCTTCACCCATGTAAATAGTTATTAGTGGGCGAGAAAGAGGCAGAGAGAGACTGACTGAAGCAGAAGGGAGGCTAACTGAAAAAGAGGGGGAACCAGCAGGGGTGGAAAGAGGACAAGAAAGGGCAATATGGGCGGAATGTGATACACACGCATGAAAACGTCATGATGAAACCCATTATTAGATATAACCATGCATGCTAACAGAAAAGCTTAAAAGGAGTGCTTTCCTTGGAATCCAGCCCCAGCTTGGACCCCACTGACACTGTCTTTCCTGGATCCCGGCAGCTCTCGTGCTGTCCCGTCTTCTCCACTGCCCTCATCCTTGGCAGTGTTCCAGGCATGCCTATGGCTCAGTCTCTGGTCCTCTCTAGATTGTTGGATTAAAAGACTCTGATCCACAGGATGTGGGCGGGGGAGTGTCACACAAGTTCATACAATCAGCTGAGATCATTGTGATTTTATATTGAAATTTTATTTTATTTTATTTATTTATTTATTTGGTTTTTTGAGACGAGGTTTCTCTGTATTGTTTTGGAGGCTGTCCTGGAACTCTCTCTGTAGACCAGGCTGGTCTAGAACTCACAGAGATCCGCCTGCCTCTGCCTCCCGAGTGCTGGGATTAAAGGCACTCATCACCCAATGGCCAGCTATAAATTATTTTATTTTTTAATGTACATGTGTTCTACCTGCATGTAGGCATACATGCCAGAAAAGGGCATCAGATCTCATTACAGATGGTTGTGAGGCACCGTGTGGTTGCTGGGAATCAAACTCAGGACCTTTGAAAGAGCAGCCAGTGCTCTTAACCACTGAGCCATCTCTCCAGCACAAAATTAATTTTTTTTAAGGTAGTCTTTCACTATTCTGTTCAAGATAGCCTTCAAGTCTCTTGGGCTTCCTGTCTCAGCCTCACAAGTAGCTGGAATTACAGGTATATACTACCACTTCCAGCTTTCTATCCAATAGTAAGTATTAAATGCAAAGGAAACCCTGAAAAGAAAAGTAGAACACCTCGTTTTTTTTGGAGACAGGACTTCTGATCATCTTGCCTCTAACTAGTGTTACTAGTAGCTAGAGGAACTAGTATAACCAGTTCTAGGACTACAAGGATGCATTACCGCACTTGGAATACAACTGGAGAGGCAAATTCCTCTTGGGTGACTTAACTCCAACATGTACAATAACTTTACCAAGCACAATGGCCAGTACAATTATCTTCCCCTGCATCTTCTTTCTATACTCCCCACTATAATCCATAATACATCTGCCTATCAAAATGTTAACTCCATAAACCACTGGGCCATTCTGGAACCCAGCTTCCCCACCATGACCCATTCTTTTCTGACTCTAGATCACCAGAGCTGTCTGTCACTTTCACTCCGGCTCTGCCACACCTATTTGTGCTCCAAGAATACTCAGTTCACACTACAACAAGCACTTCCTAAGTTACAAATCTGCTCAGGTAACATCTTTCCTTAAAAGCATCCAATGACTGGGCCTACAAGATGGCTCAGTGAATAAAGACACTTGTCACCAAGCCTGATTGATGACTTGAGTTGATTTGTAGGACCTATGTTGCAAGAAAGAATCAACCCCAACAGGTTGTCCTCTAACTTACACATACATACCGTGGTACTCAAGTGTCCATATATGCACAGCCCAAAACACAAATAAATGAAGCCATTAAAAAGAAAAACCATCCAATGACTTTTCACCTCATTAAAAAAATGAAATATATGCACCCTTATTTGATATACAGGCCCTTTATCTCCCCTGAAACATCTTCATAGATTCCATTCTCCAATTCATTTTCCATTCATACTCAGTGATTTGCAGAAATGTAAATGGATCATTTTTAAATTCGATGTCCTGTATCCTTGACAAATTTCTATTACTTCTTCAAAAATTGGCATTCCCATTTTCCATGATTCAATCTCAAAGACTGCCTTTCTACTCTAAGAAACCACTGCAGCTTACACACAACTCTATGGAGACTGGGTAAGAATAGAACAGTACAAGCTTTGAAATCTAAACCTGGCTCTGTTATGTATCTGCAATTGTAATGCACACGATAGGCTCCTGTAAACAGATAGACAGATACATGTATATACTGAGCACTGCAACAATCCTGGCATGCACTACTTGGTCAAAAATAACTTCTATCGTCATTATTCTCTGGAGTTTAGAGACCATTTATTCCAAAAGGCTTTTTTTTTCCTTTTTTTGGTTACCAGACAAAATGGTAACTTAGCCAAGAGAACCCCTGCAAGCGATTGTGCTGTGATGCTTGGACCTCTAACCTCCCTCCAAACCTGTGTACTAATACTCCCCTCCTAGTTTTTTGTTGTTGTTTTTCAAGACAGGGTTTCTCTGTAGCTTTGGAGCCTATCCTGGAATTCTTAGACTAGGCTGGCCTCAAACTCAGAGATCTGCCTGTGTCTGTCTCCTAAGTGCTGTGATTAAAGGTGTGCACCACCACCACCAGACTTATTTCAACTTTCTTTTGGGAAATATAATAATCATGAGGATGTGGTGTTAGTCTACAATGACTATAGCAAACAGAAAAGTAACATACCTAATTTAGCCATTTCTTCAGAATGTTTTCTATGTTGAAAAGAATAAACTTTATTCCCACCACCTACAGCTTTTTTCAAGGGATCTGAAAGAAAATGTAACACACATTGAAGAAAAAGCAAGAAGGTTAAGAAGAAAGATAAAACTTTAAATAGCTAAAATCTAAAAGTTATACCTCTCACTATCTGTCATAAAAATTTACCAGCAGATATTTACATACGAAATATTTTCATACAGACAAGGAAAAAACGATTAAACATTAACACAAGAAACATGTTATTTATAGATACAATGATTTTTCTCCAGACTGGAGAAATTAATAGCCTATGAAAATTAAACCAAGTAGGTAAAACGGTGAGTTGTAAAAGGACTAATAATGCGTGTGAGGCTATCTTCACTAGTTTTCTGTTATTTTAGTAAAATAAAACCTCTGGGCGTTAGAGAAATGGGTCAGTGGTTAACAATGCTTCCTCCTCTTCAATTCCTAGCACCTGCATCAGGCAGCCCACAGCAGCCCCCCCCCCCCACATACACATAAATAAGTAAATCTTAGAACGAAAATAAAATCCCCAAGGCAAGGAACGTTATAAACAAAAGGTGTTCATTTTTCTGGACATGAACTAGCATGTCATGTGGAAAGTCAAGAAATTTGTGAGCAATCCAGGGGACAAGCTTACTTTTTTCTATAACCAGCTCTTTCAAGCAAGAACTATCTCAATTCATTCTAATGGTCAGTGTGACACTGTTCAATCTAATGCTGTGACTCCTGAGGTAGCATGACTCAGGTGGTTTAACTCCTATTAGGTCTCATCAATTCTCCACATCACCACACTGAGTACCACACTTGTAATGCATGAATCCCTGGGGACAAACCGCAGCAAATGTTCTTACTGGACAGGCTTTTTTCTTTTCTACCCTTCCTAAAGATTCTGTGTTAAAGCCAGATGTGGTGGTATATGCCAGCAATTCTAGCACTTGGGAGGAGACAGGATGGTCAGTAGTTCAAAACCAGCACAGGCTACATAATGCCACATCTCGAAATGACAATGTAAGACAAGAAAAGATCCCTGAATGAATGCCCTGTGTTCTAAAACTTAGGCCAGTGAGATGGTATAGTGGGCAAAGGCAACCTACTTTAAAGTATGACAACCTGACTTTTATCACTGGGACCCACATGTGGGAAGGAGAGAATGAACTCCTCCAAGTTGTTCTCTGATCTCCACATCTGAACACACACAAAAGTTACATAAACTGTAACTTTCAAAGTTTGTGCCGGGCATTGGTGGCAACTCCTTTAATCTCAGCACTCAGGAGGCAGAAACAGGCAGATCTCTGTGAGTTGGGTCAGCCTGGTCTACTGAGTGAGTTTCAGGCAACCTCCAAAGCAATACAGAGAAACCCTGTCTCGAAAAAAAAAAAAAAAACAAAAAAAAAGTTTGTTCTATTGGGCAGTGGTACTGCACACCTTTAATCCCAGCTCTTAGGAGGTCAAGGCAGGTGGATCTCTGAGAGTTTGAGACCAGCCTGATCCACATAGTGAGTTACAGGACAGCCAGAGCTATAACAGAGAAATGCTGTCTTATAAATAAACAAATAAAATACAAAAAGTTGTTGTTTTTTTTTTTTTGGTTGTTTGAAAACAAAAAAAGACCCCACCCTGATGGGAGATGTCATTCTGAAATCTGTCTCTCTCTTTTTTTTTTTTTTTGGTTTTTCGAGACAGGGTTTCTCTGTATTGTTTTGGAGGCTGTCCTGGAACTAGCTCTTGTAGACCAGGCTGGCCTCGAACTCACAGAGATCCGCCTGCCTCTGCCTCCCAAGTGCTGGGATTAAAGGCGTGCGCCACCAACGCCCGGCCTGAAATCTGTCTCTTATTGGTTGTTGAATAAAGCACTGTTGACCAATAGGGAAGCAAGATAGGTGGGACTAGGAGTCAAGGAGGACTCTGGGAAGGAGAAACACAGGGAGTCATGATGTAGCCGCCATAGGGGTAAGAAGTCCGGACCCTTTCTCCGGTAAGAGAAATACTTAGATTAACAATTATGGAGTAAATACTTAAGTCAGAGATAGCCAGTAAGAAACCAAGCAAACAGCCAACAGCTTCATAATTAATATAGCCTCCTGTGTGTTATTTGGGGACTGCAATTGTGACAGAGCCCAAGCGGCTGGCAGGAGGGAAAAGCCAAAGCGGCTGGCAGAGGAAAACTACACATTACACCACCCTCCAAAAAAACCCAAGCTCAAAACACTAGCTTGTTTTCTGTTTATGACAAAAGAGGGCTGGAGAAAAAGTTCCACAGTTAACAATGCTTGCTATGTAATCATGAGGATCGAAATTCAGATCCCAGCAATCTTGTAAGAAGCCAGGTGTCGGCTGGACCGTGGTGGGGCATACTTTTAATCCCAGTACTCAGGAAGTAAAGACAGGTGGATCTTTGTGAGTTTGAGGCCAGCCTGGTCTACAGAGTAAATTCTAAGATAGCCAGGGCCACACAGATCCTCAAAATCACCAAGCAGCAGCCGCCGCCAGGTATTTATTACCTGCACTTGTGCGTGAGCATACCTGAGTACATACACTCACATATTTACACAGAAATAACAAAACAAAAAGGTTATTTCAAAAGCCCTCAAATCTGTTTAATGAAAATAAATAAATTCAGAAAAAAGATAAATTCAAGCCGGGCGGTGATGGCGCACGCCTTTAATCCCAGCACTCGGGAGGCAGAGGCAGGCGGATCTCTGTGAGTTCGAGGCCGGGCTGGACTGACAGCCTCCAAAGCAATACAGAGAAGCCCTGTCTTGTAAAAAAAAAAAAAAAAAACAAAAACAAAAACAAAAGATAAATTCAGAAAACACTTTCTAAATCTTACCTGGAACACTATTCCCTACCTCTAAACTGTGTTGTCAGGGGGAGGAGGAGGAAGGGACGGAGGGAGGGGAAGGAGGGGGAAGAGGAAAAAGAAAGAAGGGAGAGAAGGGAGGAGGAGAAGAGAAGGAGAGGAAGAGGAGGAGGAAGGGGAGGAGGAGGAGGAGGAGGACAATCATGCCAGGTGTGGTTGTGCACTCCTTTCATCTCTGAACTTGGAAGCCAGAGGCAGGTGGATTGTTCTGAGTTCCAGGTCAGTGGGGGCTATACAATGAGGCCCTGTCAGGCAGGGGGTGCAGAGAAGAAAGTAAGGTAAAATAGGTGGCTGGGGTCTAGATCAGTGGAAAAGCACCTCCCTGGCATATACAAGACCTTGTGTTCTTATGTCAAAATTAAAAAAAAAATATTGATTTCACCTGGGTATGTTAGAACAATATCCTCTTTAACCAAGTTTCCTAAAGAAAGAACGAATGTATTAAAGATTTAGCATGTAAATATAGCAAAAGACTGGAATAGCCACTTGTCCAACAATAGGGAACAGGTTAATTAGTGTAGACAAATGATGACATAGTCTCTGTAGTCAGAAAAAGAATGTTAATAAGGGCTGGTGAGATGGTGCAGTCAGAAAAGCGTCTGCTATGCAAGCATGGGACCTGAAATCAGGTTCCCAGGACATATATTAAAAGTCAGATACTGAAGTGCACACCAATACTCCCAGTGCTGGGGAGGGGGATTCCCTGGAACTTTGCTGGTCAGCCATTCAAGCCATATAACCATAAGGTCAGTAAGCTTCTGGCTTAGTGAGAGACCTTGCCTTAAAAAGAAAAGTGAGGGCTCTTTCGGGTCTTGGCTCCAAGATGCCCAAAAAAAGACGGAACAACAGACACGCCAAAAAAGGCCGCGGCCACGTGCAGCCCATTCGCTGCACGAACTGCGCCCAGTGCGCGCCCAAGGACAAGGCCATTAAGAAGTTCCTCATTCGGAACATAGTGGAGGCCGCTGCTGTCAGGGACATATCCGAAGCGAGCATCTTCGATGCTTATGTACTTCCCAAACTCTATGTCAAGCTGCATTACTGTGTGAGCTGTGCAAAGTAGTCAGGAATTAATCTCGTGAAGTCCGGAAGGACCAAATACCCCCACCATGATTTAGACCTGCTGGTGCTGTACCACGACCTCCACCAAAGCCCATGTAAAGAGATGGCTTCATGAAGACAAACACCTTGGAAAAATAAAACAGTACTTTATGTAGCAAAAGAAAAGAAAAGTGAGGATGGCTGGAATGCAGCTCAGTTAATAGACCATTTACCTGGTCTGTGCAAAGCCCTGGGTTTTGTCCTGAGGACTGCATACAACCAAGCATGGTAGCAACACAGATGGAAAAAGATCAGAAGTTCAAAGTCATCTTCAGTTATGTAGTAAATTCAAAGCCACCATGGGCTAGAAGACACCCTAGCTCAAAAAAATATGAATGAATGAATGAATGAATGAATGAATCTGGTGGGCAGGAGTTGTGGAAAATATCTAACACTGTCCTATGACCTTCACATATGCACCCAACACTCACACACACACATGAATAAATATAACTAAAAATTAGGAGGCTATGTACTGCTTCTGCAGAGGACTCAAGTAGGGCGGCTCACAACATCTGCAGTTTCACCTTGCAGAGGGAGCCAATGGTTCTGGTTTCTGTGGCTACCCACACTCACATAGGCGCTTGCACACATATAAGCACAAAATTAAAACCAAAAACTCAATCTTTAAAAATTCAAACCACACCGGGTGTTGGTGGCACACATCTTTAATCCCAGCACTCGGGAGGCAGAGGCAGGTGGATCTCTGTGAGTTCAAGACTAGCCTGGGCTACAGGAACGAGTTCCAGGACAGCCTCCAAAGCCACAGAGAAACCCTGTCTCCAAAAACAAACAAAAAACCACAACAACAACAAATAAAGGGAATGCTTTTGACATATAATTATAGGATGCGACTTTCCAGACTACCAAGTTATCTTTGTACACCCTGAAAAGCAAGCAGTTCATGCTACTAGCCAAAAGTTGAGTGTACGTTACCCTCACTGAGTACCTTGAATACTTCTTCCCAAAACTTCCACATAGTTCTGATCCTTTAAGACTTCCTGGTCACTCTTCTCCAATTCACATTCTGACTTCTTTATTATTTTCTGGGGGTTGACCAAAAGCTGAGCTTTCTCCTTCTTTAATTTAGTTCCTATAAACATATACAAAATAAGAGGTATGAATTTATTTTTTATTAATCACACACACACACACACACACACACACGTACATTTTTGGAGACAGGAGTTCACAGTTCTGGTTGTCCTGGAACTCTCTCTGTAGACCCAGGCTGGTCTGGAGCTCACAGAGATCCGCCTGCTTCTGCCTCCTGAGTTCTGGGATTATAGGCGTGCGCCACCACTGCCTGTCGTGAATTCTTTCTAAATATTTCATTAGAGTGATCCAGATGGTTCAGCAGATAAACTGTGGGCCATGCCAGCCTGATGGAAGGCAAGGGGAAGAAGAGAACCATTTCCAGAGTTCTCCTCTGACCACCATGTGCATGTTACATGTCAGTAGACAAACCACACTAAATGCATGATTTGTACGTAAAACTGAGGAGTCAATGTTTTACTTTCATTAAAAGTACTAAGTCAGAGGCTGGAGAGATGGCTCAGCATCTCTAAGATGTGCTCTAATAGAGGATCTGGGTTCAGTCCCTAGCACCTATATATGGCAGCTCACACGGCCTATAATTCTAGCTGTAGGGTATCCAATGTGTTGTTCTAGGCACCAGGCACACATGTGGTATATAGGCATACAGTCAGACAGAGAAGAAGAAGAAAAGAAAATTTATAAAAACCAAGTTAAACACACACCCCTTGAAAGTGTTAATTTCGGGTGAATGAGCAATTATTATTTTTCCACCACTACAAAGCATTTCATTTTGGATAAGACTTTATACTGACTTTCAGTTAAACTTCAAAAGAAGTAAACTAAAAATCAGAGCAGTTTTTATTCAGTCTTACTAGAGTGAATACTCTGTATTATAATGTTTTTAAGAATGATGGTAGCTGCTAAGCAGTTGTGGTGCACACCTTTTAATCCCAGCACTCAGGAGGCAGAGGCAGGTGGATCTGTGAGTTTGAGGACAGCCTAGTTACAGAGTGAGTTACAGGACAGCTAGTGCTACAGAGAGAAACCCTGGTTTAGGAAAACAAAGACAACAAAACAACAACCACCCCAAAGATGTGATCATAACCGTACAATCACACATACCTGCTTCTCTATCAAAAATGTGATTGAGAACATTTTCATCTCCCACAAATTGAACATCCAGCACCTTAGCTTCCTTTAACGGCAGAGTGCTCATCATGGCTAACCTAAAAAGTAGGAAGTCAATGTGAAGAAGAATTCATACCAAACAAACATTTGTGAAATAGTTATTTAATATTTTCAAAGGTAGAATCATACTATGCACTGTTTTATTAGGATGTCCCTCAATGATGACTTCTAACTGGGACATGGAAGCCAAGCTCTTTCCTTCCCAAATTGCTTTTGGTCACATTCTTTACCACAGCAACAGGAAATCAAACTAGGACATGCATTCATAAACCCCATTTTTGCCTTTTCTTCTGGCAAAAGGCAAATAAGCAACAACAAAAGAACTAATGACTATCTCTCACAACTTATTTATTACAGGTAGCTAAATGTTGCGAAATTTTGCTTAATAACCAGTACAATTAAGTGGGTATTTTTCATTTACCTTGTAAGGTGTTATGCATTCTGCAGCTTGAAAATTCAGACACCTGTAACTAGAAGTCAGTCAAGATCAGCTAGGAGGTAAAGGAAAGCAACCAGGGTAACCCTGCCCCCAAAGTCAAGCATTTTAACAACATGATATGTAGATAAATGTCCCCAAGAAACTAAAGCTACTACAATGGCACAAAGAGGACAAAATAGTAACAGGCTAAAGAAACCAAGACTGAGAAAAACAGACTGCCAAGAGGTAGGTCAGAGGAGAAAGCTAACCACTTACTATGAGCTACATATAGTTTTCAGTACTTTGTTTTCCATTGTGGTGAAACAGAGTCTTGTTATGTAGCCAAGGCTAGGCTTGAACTCAATTCTCCTGCTCTGCCTCTCAAGTGCTGGAAACATAAGCAATTACCACCAAGTCCAGCTCTTTACATTACTCCAGTGTACCCTTCAGAGCTTCAAGAGGTTATATGTCATCCACAGGGTTACAACCACATCCAGTAAAGCATGTCCTTCTTGGGTCATTTTATAGTCGCATCTCTGGTTTCTGTTCCAGAGAATCCGAGTACATTAAAGAAAATGTGAAATGCATCTACACAGACCTGTATGAAGAAACTAATCATTTATATTTGAATGAAAAGGGCTTTTTGTTTTATTTTTAAAGGGACTATATGTAAGATACTGTATCAGGTATCTTTAGATACACCAGAAATTAATCAGACTCAAGTACATGTTTGTGCATGTGTGCAATTACTCTACTTTACAAATAAGCTGTCAGTTAAATATTAAATGAATAAAATTCACACAACTAGAAATCAGTTTTAACAGGGCATTGGTGGCACACACCTTTAATCCCAGCACTTGGAAGGCAGAGGCAGGCAGATCTCTGTGAGTTTGAGGCCAACCTGGTCTACAGAGTGAATGCCAGGATAGGCTCCAAAGCTACACAGAGAAACCCTGTCTCAAAAAAAAAAAAACAAAAAAAAAACAAAAAAAATAGTTTTAACTGACTGCTAAATTCCTGACACTTGATTATAAAGCTTGTTTCTTTCTCATTTACCTTACAAAGCATTTCCTGCCACTGAATAAAAATCCTACCCTAATTGCTGGTTCTGCTTTGAAAACTACTTATAACATGTCATCATAAAACAAAACATTTGGCTCTGAACTCTGGACAAGGAGAGGAGAGAAAGGGGGACACGACAGAGAAGACTGGTACATAATTTTCATTAGCAAAGCTAAATAATTTCTGGGAATGAATTTTCAAGGACTTTTATAAAAATATTCTAGGTAACTAAATATTATCACAGGCAATTTTCCCTATGGTAGTTTATTGTGTATGTATAAGTGTGGCGACCAGAGGACATCCTCTGACGTCATATTTCTCAGGAGCCATTCATCTTATTTTTTGAGACAGGATCTCACTAACCTAGAGCTGTTGAAGTAGGCTGGTTGACTAACAAGCCCCAGGAATCTACCTGTCTCTGCCTCCCCAACAGCTAGGACTGCAAGCTCTCAGGCCACCAAATCTTTTGGAGTTTTTTTTTTTTTTTTTTGCTGTTGCAGTTACTGTAGGTTCCAGGGATTGAACTCAGATCCTTATGGTCAAGCACTTTATTGACTGAGTCATCTCTAATACTTATTTTTATTCTCTGTGTGTGTGTGTGTGTGTGTGTGTGTGTGTGTGTGTGTGTGTGTGTGTGTCAGAGAGAGAGACAGAGAGAGACACAGAGAGAAACATGATCTTATAAATTCCAGACTGGTCTCCAAGCAAAGACAATCTTGAACTTGTGATTCTCCTCCCACCTCCCAAGTGCTAGGTGCCTGTGTCACCACACCTGGCTTAAACGGTGCCAGGAATGGAGCCAGGGGCTCCATCAATCGTGCTATATCCCTAGTCTCTTTTTTTTTTTTTTTTTTTTGGTTTTTCGAGACAGGGTTTCTCTGTGGCTTTGGAGGCTGTCCTGGAGCTAGCTCTTGAAGACCAGGCTGGCCTTGAACTCACAGAGATCCGCCTGCCTCTGCCTCCCGAGTGCTGGGATTAAAGGCGTGCGCCACCAACGCCCGGCCCTAGTCTCTTAATTTACTTATTGTGATGGTCTCACTTTATAATACAAGCTGGCTTTGAACTCATGATTCCACTGCCTCAGTTAAGAGTAGTGGGATCACAGCCGCCATACCCAGAGCTAGTATTTATTTATTTGTTTGTTTGGTTTTTCAAGAGACAGGGTTTCTCTATGTAACAGCCCTGGCTGTCCTGGGACTCGCTCTGTAGACCAGGCTGACCTCAAACTCACAGAGATCCACCTGCCTCTGCCTCCCAAGTGCTGGAATTAAAGGCATGAGCCACCAATGCCAGCCAGAGCTAGTATTTTAATCACCTACTAGGTGAGCTGCTCCATATGGTCAAGGATAGTCATGAACGCAACCAACACAAAACTGTAAATTCGAACATTTTAATAAAGGTGACATGACTCAGTTTGTCAAGCTCCCCCCCCCACACACACACACAGGGTTTGTCTGTGCAGCTTTGGAGCCTGTCCTGGCACTCCCTCTGTAGACCAGACTGGCTTAGAACTCACACAGATCCGCCTTCTTCTGCTTCCCAAATACTGGGATTAAAGGTGTTCCCCACCACCGTCCAGGGCATTTTTTTTTTTTTGGTAACTTTGTGAACCACAGCAACATTGTATCGAAATGTCAAAAAGGCTGGATATGCCTTCCATTAAGTGGCCTGACTCAGACATGTTTGCATTCAAATGCATTTATTTATTCATTTTTAAGATATTTGATGCAGTACAAACAAAATCACCCCAATTGAAATATTTACCAAGATCAGCCGGGCGTTGGTGGCGCACGCCTTTAATCCCAGCACTCGGGAGGCAGAGGCAGGCGGATCTCTGTGAGTTCGAGACCAGCCTAGACTACCAAGCGAGTTCCAGGACAGCCTCCAAAGCCACAGAGAAACCCTGTCTTGAAAAACCAAAAAAAAAAAAAAAAAAAAAAAAAGAAATATTTACCAAGATCTCATGAGAAGACTCTTTCCAACAATTCCTGAGAAAAACACTAACAAATACACAAAATATGAATATGGGTACGGGAACACCGCTCAGTGGATAAAGCACTTGTCTCACAAGTGTCAGAATGGGAACTGAGATCCTTGTCGTCATTTAAAAGTTCTGGGGAGCTCAGAACTGGGGAGACGAGGAAAGGGGGTCCCTGAGGCAAGCTACCTAGCTGGGCTCGCCAAATCAGCAAGGCTGGGTTTCAGTGAGAGACTCAGCTTCAATAAACAACGTAAAGAGGAATCGAGAAAAACATCTAAAATTAACCTCTTCCCTCTACTTACTACCGGCACCAACAACCAAATACACGCGCATGCACACACCACACACCCACAACCAACCATTGAAATACAGATATCCAAAAGTGAGCATCTACGGTGTGAAAGGGTCAGCTCTCCCTCCACAGACAACAAGGCAATACAGCAGCACCTAGAGTCAGTAGCAACGCGCTTCCCTCTGGAAGTAAACATATTTTACAACTAAGCACCGCTCCAAGGCGACTGCGGCCATAGGGCCCCCGGCAGCGATGACAGTACAGACTTCAGCAGTGGTTCTATCCCACGACCCCTTGGGGCCACGTTCCTCACAGTTCCCTCTCCTCTGGCAGAGCGCTTCGCTACTTTCGTTAGAGGCTCTGATACTTCTCCTACCCATGCAGAGCCGGGTTAGCCGGGAAGCAGGCGTGCTGCGTGCAGATCTCTCGCCACCAGGCAGACTGACGCGAGCCTGTCGCAGATTAGTGTGTCTCCGGGGTGAGGCACCGAGGGGCTGCTCTCAGCGTCGCCCAGCCTGCGCTCCGCAGCCTCACGCTGTCCCGCCGCCGGTGGGCGAGCAGCGAGGCCGGCGGCTCTGCCCGGTGACCGGGAAGCGCACAGAGAGCCGAGGCTGCAGTGGAGACGCACCCGGACTCACCTTACCGGTCCAGAGCCTGCGGGAAGGAGAACGGCCGCGAAGCCCACACCTCGGTCAGTCAAGGCTCCCGCAGCCCGAGACCGCCCCGCGAATCCCTGGGTGGCAGCAAAATTCCAAGCCGCACGAGCCGGACCCGGAGCCCAGCAGGGCCGCCAGGGGGTGGTGCCCTAGGAAACCAATCAGGAGCCGAATCGGCAAGAGCGACGGCCCCGCAGGCCCGTTACACGAGCCAGAGGTCCTCGCTCACCCGGAAAACAGATCCCCAAATACTGGGTTCCGGGGCTTTCCTCTTCTCTTCCGTTTCCGGGGAAGGAACCCGAGGCTCTCGCGCTGCCCAACAGGGCTGTGTGTTAGGTCTCTGGAAGCTTAGGGGAACGTTCTGGAACATTTTTTATGGCAATCTTTTTTTTTTTTTAATATTTATTTATTTAGTACATATACAGTGTTCTGCCTGCATGTATGCCTGCACGCCAGAAGGGGGCACCAGATCTCCTTATAGATGGTTGTGAGCCACCATGTGGTTGCTGGGATTTAAGCTCAGGACTTCTGGAAGAGCAGTCAGTGCTCTTAACCACTGAGCCATCTCTCCAGCCGGTTTTATGGCAATCGTAAATGCTGTTAGTCACCCTGAGGGAAAAGATAATGAAAATGGATTCGCTTAAAGAAGAGCACACACTTTTTCCTATTTGATGCAAAGGGATCTCAAGGGTTTGTGGACGGAGGAGCCAGAGCAAGAATGTGAAGATAGGATCACACCACTAATGAAATGAAGAGACGAGGTGGAACGGGGCGTTTATACAAAAAAAGTCCGGGAAAGGAATCAAACTGGCTGGGATAGATAACAGTGTTTGTTCACTAACAGGAGTGCATCATTCGGACTCATTTCAAACTAAGCAGCGCACTTACTATACAGCAGTAAGGATACAATATCAGGTAGATAAAATATCCCTCTGTCATCCGATAATTGAATAAGATACTGAGCAGACAATATTGAGAAAAGTACTACAATAAGGCACCCGGAGTCCTTACTGAGAGCAACGGGTCTATGAGCTGTTAGATGCTCGGCAATTAGGAGTAGCAACTAAATTAGAATCGTAGGAACTAAAGTGACTCCATTTTGGCCAAAGCAACCATGGCTCTCACCAACTTGAGTTTGTTAAGACCGTACCAGGAAGTTAATTAAGCCTGTTAAATGAGTCCAGGAAATGCTGACCACTAAAGAAAACCCCTTTGCCGGGGCTGTGTAACTTTTGTAAAACGATTAGCTGCTTGTTTTGTCTTCTGTAAGCAGGATGTCTGCCAAATATGTTCGGTTTATTCACGCAAACTTTTTTTGGATGGAGGGGGCGTTCAAGACAGGGTTTCAGAGTGTATCACTGGCTATCCCTGAACTCTGTAGATCAAACTGGCCTCCAACTCAGAGATCCGCGTGCCTTTTCAGGCTTATGCTGAGATTAAAGTCAGGTCCCACCACCCCTGGGAAATTTTCTTCGGTAAGGACGACCTGGATGCTTATAGGGTGGGAAGAGGGTACTGGCCGAGGAAGTTCAGCACTGACAGGAAGGCCCATGTGGACCCAGAGACGGTGCCCTAGTTCAACCATCTCTGAAGCCAGGGACACGCAGTCTCAAGTCCTCCTGCCAATGGGCACCAACACTCTGTGTCTAGGGAGTATGGCAGCGCAGTCCTAAAGAATATTTACAAAGTTCCAATTTTTGTATAATTTTACTGGGCTTTGTGACATCCGGGCCCACAACTTGTGAGGATCCCTCCCATCATGTCAATATCACCTTAGGGTTAATTTTTTGTTTTTTTTTTTATTTGGTTGTCTGTTTTTGTTTTTCCGCATATAAAGGCCTGTCCTTGACTATGTTGGTAGCTGGGCAGCCAGGTGGCCTGCTTCTAGATCTTATCAGAGCAACCTGGTGGCAAACTTCAACTCACATTCATTACATTATTCCAAGTCACACAAAATAGTTTCTAAGTTACACAGAATAAATTTTAACTTGTGTCCCTAACACTGGAGCAGAAGAGTATCTAATTAAAAGACAAGAGAAGCTGGGTGGTGGTGGCACACGCCTTTAGTCCCAGCACTGGGGACAAATGGCTGAGCTACCTATTTAGCACAACAAAGTGGAAGGCTGCCAGGTTCTCTCAGCATCCCTCAGTCCTGGAACAGGGTCCTCCTGGCTTGCATTCATACTGCTGCAGGAATTTAGCAGAATCACTGTTATCTAGGATTAAAGTTAGAATGGGTAAACATTAGAGTGAATAATTGTTTTATAGAGGTACTCTGTCCTTGAAGAATAATTGTGGAAACAGTAAAGAATCTTTGTGGAAAACAGAGAATGTTTTCCATGACTGGTCACTAGGCACCTCTGGCACACCCGAGGTTCTTGGATTATTGTGGATACTCAGTAAAGCACTAAGTCTTGAGGGCATGTGACGCTCTCCTCTAGAGAGACGTACATTAGATAGGACCTTGGCATGAGGAGACACTTTACACAACAACTCTGTGTAATAATAAATATGTGGCAGCTGGACCTTCCTGCTGCCACACAGGCCTTGAAATTGCATCTTGATCTCTTTCTTTGACCAACCAAGAAACACACAACACCCTGACACCTATTCCTGAACTCTCTAGCCCAGGTGGCTGGGGGGCTCTTCCCTCTATAATCCATTCATTTTGGTTACCCATCCTTTTTGTAACTTTGCCCTCGTGGTTGCTGTACCTGGTGCCCCTCTCTCTCCTCTCCTTTCCCTTCTCCCACATGGCCCAGCTCAGTCAACGTCACTCTGGACTCTCCCAAATGTCCCTGTCTCTTCTTATGCAATCCCTTGTATCTACAATAAGCATTTCCCCTCCAGGACACCTAGGAGCAGTCATGCCCTTCCCTTTTTATTTCTTTTTTCATTCAGTGTCAAAACTTGGCTCTGGGGACTGGAGAAATGACTTGGTGGTTAAGAGCACTGGTTTCTCTTCCAGAGGTCCTGAGTTCAATTCCCAGCTCACACCATCTTATAGTGGGATCTGATGCCCTCTTCTGGCATAAAGGCATAAATGCAGATAGAGCACCTATATACTCTGTGAGTTCAAGGCTAGCCTGGTCTACAAAGCAAGTTCCAGGACAGGTGCCAAAGCTACACAGAGAAACTGTCTCAATAATAATAATAATAATAATAATAATAATTTGGCTCTGTTATTAAGAATTACAAGTTGGGCCGGGTAGTGGTGGTGCACACCTTTAATCCCAGCACTCAGGAGGCAGAGGTAGGCAGATCTCTGTGAGTTGGAGACCAGCCACAGAGAAACCCTATCTCAAAAAACAAAAAACAAAACAAACAAACAAAAAAAAGAATTACAAGTTGGTAGTTAAGGCTTTGGTCACATTTGTATTGAAAGATTATCTATGGAATATAACAGTAGGAGGGAAGAAATGGAATCAGACTATTTTGAAGCTGTTTAGAACAGTGATTTTCAACCTTCCTAACACTGCGACCCTTTAACACAGTTCCTCACATTGTGGTGTAAAATATTTTTGTTACTTTGTAACTGTAATTCTGCTGCTGTTATAGATTTATAACATAAATATTTGGAGATAGAGGTTTGCCAAAGGAGTGGTGACCCACAGGTCATGAATGCAACAGTAAGAAGAAAAGGAAAACAGCCTGGGAATGCTCCCTCATGCGGTATGTATGTTAAGCATGTGCAAAGCCCTGAGTTATATCCCCAATGTAGAAAAAGTAATTCTCTGTGACTAATAATTTGAGTGGCAAGCAGAGAATAAAGGAAAGACAACACAGGCTAACAGTTACCTGAATGTCTGAAGGGTGCTTAAAACATGGACATCCAGGAATATTGAAGAGATGTGCTCAAATAATTTGTATTCTGTATGTAAACTATTCTCACACATTTCATCTTCAATAAAATCTGAAACACTGAGACCTTCATGTTGAAGAGTGTGTGTGTGTGTGTGTGTGTGTGTGTAGTGGGAAACAGAGTGGACACACTAATTTAACATTTAGCTTGATACTAGGGTAGACAGAAACAATACCATACTATTCTGAATGGAAATGCAGGATCCAAGAGTGGCAGGAAGTTGAAGTTAGAACAATAAAATGGCAACTCTCCTGTAGTCACAGAAATTCTGGATAGGACATTATATTGTTCTAAGGGAAAAACAGAGGATCAAATTAAGTGTCATTCTATATGTGGTTCTCCACCAGGACTTCATGTATGCTAAGCAAGTGCTTCACTGACCTGCACCCTTGACATGTGTGTCTTTTTCTTTTTTGTTTTTTTTGAAACAGGATTTCTCTGTGGCTTTGGAGGCTGTCCCGGAACTCGCTCTGTAGACCAGACTGGTCTCGAACTCACAGAGATCCACCTGCCTCTGCCTCCCAAGTGCTGGGATTAATGGTGAGCGCCACCACCGCCTGGTGACATGAGTGCCTTAAAAGATTTCAAACACAGCCGGGCAGTGGTGGTGCACGCCTTTAATCCCAGCACTGGAGAGGCAGAGGCAGGCGGGTCTCTGTGAGTTCGAGGCCAGACTGGACTGACAGCCTCCAAAACAATACAGAGAAACCCTGTCTCGTAAAACCAAAAAAAAAAAAAAAAAAAAAAAAAAAAAAGATTTCAAACACAAGATGCTAACCCAATTATAGTTTGAAATTTAAGAGCTGCCTTAAAAATCTCCAATGTAATCAGATTTAAAATGGTAAATTGAGCCCTCTCTTGAGATGTTTCTAAATTACCAGAACCAGACTTTTCAAAAACTAGGTAAAAGTAGCTGCCACAAACCTGATGACCTGAGTTCAATTTCTAGGACTCATAGGTTAGAAGGAGAGAACCAAGTCCTAGAAGTTGTCTTCTGACTGCTACAAAGGAACTATGTCATGCTCAAGCATACACTTTTAAGGATACTCCACCCCAGCACACACTAAATATTTTTATATAAAAGGGAATGAGATGACAAAATTGTAAAAGATTGGAAGGAAGAAGCAACACAAAACTTATTTCTGGAGCTGGAGCGATGGCTCAGGAGTTAAGAGCACTGGCTGCTCTTCCATAGGACCCAGGTTCCATTCCCAGTACCCACATGGCAGCTCACAACCACCTGTAGCTTGTTCCAGAGGACCCACTGTAATACCTTCTTCAACTTCCTTGCACACACACACGGTACACAGACATGCCTGCAGGGGAAAATTTGCACACATAAAATTAAACTTTTCTAAAAATCTGCTGCAGACTTCCAAGTAGTCTCAGGAATCTCTAGAGCACTGGTTCTCAACCTTCCTAATGCTGCAACCCTTTAATACAGTTCCTCATGGTGTGGTGATCCCAACCACAAAATTACTTCCTTGGTACTTCATAATTGTAATTTTGCTACTATGATGTAAATAAATGTAATATAAACATATGATATGCAGTATATTTGATATTCAACCTTCCAAGGGTTTGGGGCCCACAGGTTGAGAACCACTGCTCTAGTGTCACATAACTGGGAGATAACATGTGAAACAGATAGACCCTGAGAGGCTCCTGTACTACTTGGCTGAGAAACCAAAACGCAGAGGAAAACCACAAATGATCTACTCTTACCATCATACTGGAATTGGATTGGCTGGGGAAAGGTGTATGTGGAGACACTTTTATTTGGCTCCCACTAGAAACTAACCATATATCCCCTGGGATTGAATTTTAAAACCATGGCTTCATGCATGCTAGGCAAGCACTCTGTAAACTGAGTTATATTCATGTCATCACCAAACTTTTGAATAAAGTGTCGCTTTGAAAAAGACACAGCAGGACCAAGTGTACTACTTACAACCTGGAAGAAGCTATACACCAAACTATGCAAAACTCATAAAGTCACATTCAAGAATATTATCAGTTTATGTGTTCTAAGTATTAAGTAGGTCTTTTATGGACAAGATACATTCATACTGGTACTTAAATTTGGGAAACTCAATTTTTGCCCTAGGAAATATCATGAAAATTCAGAGATTTCCCATTATTTCAGCTGGCTCATCTAAACAAGAAACTAATTTTTTTTTGAGGCAGGGTTTCTCTGTGGCTTTGGAACTAGCTCTTGTAGACCAGGCTGGCCTCGAACTCACAGAGATCTGCCTGCCTCTGCCTCCTGAGTGCTGGGATTAAAGGCGTGAAACTAACTTGTTTAATCTTTGTTTTTTTTTCAAGACACATTTCTCTGTATAATAGCCCTGGCTGTCCTGGAACTTTCTCTGTAGACCAGGCTGGCCTCCAATTCCAAGATCTGGCCTGCCTCTGCTGGGATTAAGGGTGTATGCCATCACTGTCTGGCTAATTTGTTCGATTTTAAAGCTCTGCTCTCTTTACATTTGGCTGTTTGGGCATTAAATTTATGTTCTTACAATTAGCATACAGAAATGTATAGCTATCCTATATATTTTATGAACTAATGTCACTTCTGTTTTTATAATTAAAAAATTACTCATGCCGGACGGTGTCTTGAAAAAAAAATTACATGTACTCATAGTGCGTCTGTGTGTGCTCAGAGTAAACTTACCACCATGCAAATCCAGTGGTTATTATACTCAGGTCATCAGGCATATTGGCAAATATCTTTACCAAATACAAGAAACACATTTTCTCATTCTGTAGCCCACGTTGCCCTGACAGCAGTCTTCCTGCCTTAGCCTATAAGTGCCATGATTAGATTATAGGTGTGTGCCATCATACCACCATTTTTGTCTGTGTTATATTTGTTTTTGTCTTGGTGTCATACAATTTAATGTATTGCCTTACTTTAACAAGATATATATTACAATTCAGATATACCTAGGCAGGTATGACAGTGTGTGGCTTTAATCCCAGCACATGGGAGGCAGAGGCAGGAGGGTCTCTGAGTTACATGCCAACCTCATCTACATATCAAGTTATAGGCCAGCCAGGGCTACAAGTGAGACCCTACCTCAAATAAAATAAAACAAATTCAGACACACATAACTAAAGTGGCATTTAAAATACAATGAAAGAACTGTGGTAAAGTATAAAACTAAGGTAAGATAAAATCAACTCGGGGAAATTCAGTTAAAATCCAAATAAAGCTGTATTTTTATACTGTACAAAAGAAAAATTTACATTCTTAATGTAGCTAGATACATCAAGGGAGAAATGACACATCCCTCAAGAGACACAATATTTAACATCTTAGATGTTGTATTTCTGCATTGCAGACAGATACTGAATTTTATACATCTTTATTTACAATAACTTAAAATATTTTTCATCTCTGGCTGATATTTACAAGTTCAACAGTGACTACATTTCACATTTCAAAAATCAACAGCATTAATCCACTCAATAAGACAGTATAATGGCTCACATGCACCAATACATATGATCTTAAATGTGCATTTATTTTTTTCTTCAGCTCTGGAAAAATATTTTTCTTTCATTAGTCCTAAGTTGAAAGGGTATTTGTCAATAAAGATCATACTTTTTACATGCCTGCCCATAATTTTCACCAGCAGAATCCCTCAATACCTGGGAAGTTTATACCAAGTTATAAATTGATGTTTGTTAAAAACAATAAGATGATCTAATACATCCTTTTATGAAACAAATAATGAAAGTGGGATATTCTATTTGCCTGTTACAGAAGTCACATTACATAAAACCAAGGTAGTAAAATCCTTGCACAGCTAAAACAGTTTCTTTGAACCAATTTTAAACTGAATTTAATAAAGCCTGCCTAATTCTTAGAACAACCAAAAAGATCCAATTTTAAACACAGGATAGACTTCAAACAAGTATTTTTAACATCACATGGGGCATATCGTTTGGATTCTGTTTCAATAATATAACTTTAAAAAACCCAAACCATTACCAGTTATTATTTGAAAGCTAATCTTCTTCTGAAAAGCAATACATTCTTGTTTGTTTTTCAAGATAGGGTCTCAGTACGCAGTTCTGGCTATTCTGGAACTCATTATGTAGACCAGGCTGGCCTTCCACTCAGAGAGATCTGCCTGCATCTACCTCCCAGATGCTGAGATTAAAGGCGTGTGCCACCATTCCCAGTCCAATGTTTATTAACTATAATGTGATATTAAAAAAATAAAAGTACTTGTTTGGAATAGCGGTTTAAAAAATTGTTTCATGTTTAAGAAATCATTAAATGGATTAAACCCTTTAGATCTTTTTGGCCTCCATATTTTAGAAGTGCATATTTTAGCTTCCTTTAGCTCAATCATGTTATTAATGCAAAGAAAAAAGCAGTAAGAGTGAGCACCTACATAAATCAGTGTAAACTAACCACAACAGTTTAGCTAATATTATACTAGAAATAAATGCTACTACTACCACCCATTAAGTAGTATTTTCCAATAATTTTATCTAAACAACCCATAAAATATAACATATCAATTTAAGGAGGTTCCCCCTTTGCATTTACATTAAGCCAAATCCTTAATTTTAATAAAAACATCATAAGGAATAAAATTTAGACTTATTCTTTAATTGGTACTTTTATTGGAGTATTGACCTTATTGATGTAAGAAAAAATAGAATATTGTATATCTATTTATTATATTTGTGTTTTCCAGTTCAAATAATGTCTTATTATTTGTTTCCATTGGGGTTTTAGCAATCATTACATTAAAGGGGCTACATGTCAATAGATGATTTAAAAATGATTTTGGTCAGTAAATTTTCTTTGGTAATTTTTATAATTGATGAAGATGTAAGACTATCTCCTGATATGATTAACACTGAACTGTTACACTCAAATACAGCAAGCCACATACCAATTCTGTAGATGGGGATAGATCATCCAATTAGGTTCATTTCTCTTTGTAAATGAAAACACTATTAGACCTACCTCCAGATACACAATTTATAAAAAAGACTCATTTATACCTTAAGATACACTTAATTATACTTTTTTTGGTAAAACCGTATTAAATGTAGTATAATATCAGACATACGAATATGCCTTATTCTGTAAACATTAAGAACCCATCTTCTGAGAGTTCAGAAGTGAAACACAGAGACTCTTATTTCTGTACTATGCTGCCAGCTACTTCACATCATCCCTAGATCTCTTTGAAACCGTATCCTGAATTGTTTGGTCTTGGGATGAATGTTAATATCACAAAAATACTGGAGAAAAAAAGAGCGAAATTTTATGGTTCTATGGTCAGGGTTAGAGAAAATGCACCTACATGAGAACAAGCAGGTGGGGCTGTGCCTCCTATACGAGCAGTAATTCCCGTGTAGTTCAGTCCCAGGGTGATATATCCATTAGTCACACAGTACAAACAATCCAAAATTTGTCTCACTGAATTAGCATGGAAAATTGTACCAATTTGACGACTCATGACTTTATTAGTATTATTTTACACTGTATTTCATGTTTAAGGGTTAAACTGTCAATAGCTAGTTTTCAAATCAGCGTGCGTCTCACGCAACTTGGTGGCAAAACAATGACAGCCATTTTGCATCAAAGAGGAAAGCCTCTTACTCCAACTGCATCATACAACCACAGTGCAGAAAAGCTGCTCTCAAAGTCCTGTAGAATATCTGGTCATCAACATCACATATTATTCTCTTTAAATTGAAAAACAATATATAATTGAAATACTAAGCTTTTTTTTTGGTTTAAAAAAAAAAAGAAAAAACCTTTATAATGGAATCCAAGATAACAAATGGAGTCCTCCTCCTTCCCAGTGTTTTACAATGGGCTACCCTACCATAAAGACAGAAAGTAGTATTTTTATTTATAAGTGAACATGCAGTAAATTAAATGAGACAGTCGATTGTCAACAACTTGAGTACTCAAAAATGGACACCAAGAACCCCATAAAACGAGGTGGTGAAAACACCACTGCATTAAAGTACTCACACAAATAGTGCAGGCAAAACAATTTGAACAAGTTCTTCTTAGTATCCTGGTGTCTATAAATAATTCTAACAAATTTAAAGCCGCTAAGTGGAATTTAGTCTACAGGTTGGAGACTTGTTCATGGACTCATAAGTTTCATAATCACTACAAACCCTTTTCAATCACAATAAAAATATTGCTTTTATCTGCCCTAAGCACAATAAGGAACAGTCTCCCTTTAGCTTAAAATTGAATGGAACTGAATTTATCTTTACTGTGTAATCCTCCACAATGTACCTTTGGTGACTGAAAACTGGCTGACTCAAAATCACTTTCAAATAGTTAGAAACACTGATCAGAATCATTTCACTGGGTTTATTTTACATTTAAAAAATCCCCACAAATACAAATAACATGGCAGCATATAACTGTTATGTGGCAGAGAATTCATAAGGCGTAAATTAGAAAAGAATAATATGCTACACAAGATACCTACAATTGACACATCCCCATCTCTATTATTTTACATTTTTTTCTGGAATTAATACTTTATGTGTTTACCAACTACTAACCCAGAAACATAAAGAAATGGAAGTACAGATAACAAGAGGCAGTGGGCGGGGCTATGCATCTGACTAGGGGCAAGGTTTGATTGTGGCTCTGCTTCTTAGTTATGGACCTTATTTCACAACCTCTTTGAGCCTCAGTTTCCTGAGGATGAATGTGTGTGTATGGCAGAGAGAGCAGCTAGATTATCTCTAGGGTCTCTCCTAGCACAGAAATTCTGATCTGCAATAGACAGACACAGAACAATGGATTGGAAAAGTGAGGGTGTTAGTAAAGGAACAAGATTTTAAATGACAACCATTACTTCCTTGGCTTTTTAATATATTTTCAAGTTGAATTTTTACTTTATATTTTAGTTTTCTTATTACTAACATAAATCCATAATCACACAGAACTCCTAAACCTTCAGATGCTGTAATCGTTAATTGGACCTGGCACCAATGGTACCAATCATTTTTTAAAATTATATAAAACAAACAGTCTTCCCTAAATGTCTTTTTTTACTAGCAGGATCAAGCTTTATGAAAGCTGAGAAGTGTTCAAGGGAAGTTGCTAAAGGATAAAGAATGAACATTTCTGGGCTTACTTTGTAGCAGGTGCTGTGTAACTGAACAAAAACCATTTTAAACCATTTAACACAATGGTTAAAATGATTCTTAGAAAATTGGACAGTTTAATATTTCATTTGAACTATTGTCTTATAAAGGAAACTTTTTCCAAGACCATGCTATAACATGTAAATGAAGGATTTCTTTATTGAGACTGAATCACGGCCAATGTTACAAGGTCGTGAAATATTTATTAATAAAGATGTATATATAAAATCTATACGTACCAAAAATGAAAGCCTCTTAAGATGAAAAGAACTTATTTTTCATTTGGGTTTCAAGACGGGGTTTCTTTGTGAAGCCCTGGCTGTCTGGAACCTACTTTGTAGATCAGGCTGACCATGAACTCAAAGATCTGCCTGCCTTTGCCTCCCAGAGTGCTGGAATCAAAGGTATATGCCACCACACCTGGCTTTAAAAAATATCTTAAAACCAACTTTACAGTTATAACATTTCTAAATTTAAGGACATTTTCTTGCATTTACTATAGTTTATGCTATAATTCCAAGTTATTTGGTATTCTTTTGTGCTTTAACTAAATGCTTGATTTAAACACCAGCCTATGTGCACTTGAGCCCATTAGCCTCTTACATACACAGGCATGTGCTGCTGCACAGAGACTGACACCATCCTTATGCACTAGAAGCCTGTTCTGTTTAGCACATTAGAAAAACATGTTACCTCACTAGTTTTCATTGTTTTACTTTTTTGTTTACTTTATACCACTTAGTTAAATTAGTAGGAAGAAAGGACTAAAATATATCTGTGACAATTACATATGCATATTATAAATCAATTAAATCATGAATCAGATTTTAGATTTACTCCAAATTTTGGCAATGATGTAATATCTGAGGTTCTAGTTTTCCATTTTGATGGGAGCTAAAAAATTTTATAGAGCATCAAATCCAATCAATGATGAGTCTAACACAAGGCCCTCTAAACAAACAAGACACACAAACAAACAACTCTCCCAAAAGTGGTGGTGGTTTATGTATGGAAAAAAATGAGAGGCATTTTCCTGGTTAATTTATCAAATTCTACTGTAAATAGAGATAAAACAACTTGGTCAATTAAGAGAACACTTGCTTTCAATAAAGGCAGTATATTTTTCTTTCACAATAATACATAAATGTCTACATGTACAAGGGCATGGGTAACTGATGTTTTTGAGTTGAAGTCACAATACTGATTTTCAAAATTCCAATATATTCCCTTAATTTTCAAACAAGGGACCAAGAAGAGATTTCAAGAAAATCTTATCTAATCAAATCACAACAAAAAAAATTAAACCAATAATGCATTTTTGAAGCCTCTTAGCAGTTACCAAATGCTACTTACATACATTCAACATCTAGCTTACTGGCATGATTTCAAAGTTTTATAAAAACGAGAAACTTTGCAGATAATCAGAAGACACACAAATTGCATTAAACATAAAGGCAGTGTGGTCCTTGTGGAGAAATCAAGTCAGTACCCTCTGGTAGAAATGTTCTATAAAAATGTGTCACATTGAAGCATCAGTGTTTTCAACCAATTATCTGTCCCTGACGTATTTCCTTGGAGTATGTGACCTCAGGACTTTAGGTTTCTTTATCCAATATCTGACTGAATTTAGGTACATCTAGGAAGCAGCTGAAAGGGTTTCCCAATAGTCTGACATCACAGAAAGTGGACTGAGAAATCCCTCTCTTTACCTGAAGACGTACAGTTTCTACTTCAGTCATCAACTCACAAAGGAAAAAAAAAAAAAAAGAAAACAATTACAACTTCACCTCACATACAATCTCACATAAGCTAAACAAAGAACATACTTCCCCCACAAAACCCCAGCACCAAAGTGTCAATCATTCCTAGGAAATACAACATGCCCCTTGGAGTTTCTGATTTGTTAGTTCAAACTTTAAGGGCAGAAATGTCCTTAAGTCCTTGTGGGAAGAGGGAAGACATATTGTTAATGACTAGAGAGCCATTGAGAAAGTGCATTATCAATTACACAATCAGCTTGAGCCCCATCCTCAAATGGAGGTGGTAACAAGTTGATTGAAATGCCTCAATAATTAAACATGTATGTCCTTGGGATAAAGGAGGGGGCAGCTAGCCTCATTTTAATGAACAATTGCAGGAGTCTACCACTTTCCCCCAAGCTTCTCAAGAATATAAAATTGCACAGACTCAGAGAAGTCCAAAGTCATAGCAGAATCTCTGAGGCACTCCTGGTTAAGAAAGAAAAAAAATGATCCAGTTATCTTCATAGTTCCATAGATTATGTGAACAAACCCGTTTTGTTTTTAAACAGAAGCCAAAGAATCACTTCATAGGGATCATATACACCATTTCCTCTAACATCTCCGCAGTCTCACAGTGTTGAAATGGGACCGATCAGCCTACGATGGATTGCACATTACCCAAGGAAAAAGGAAGGCATGGAAAAGGCAAACATTTTACACTGCTTCACAAACACATTTACAAAGAATAGGTGGAGAGAGGTTAAAGGGAAAAGAAAACCTTATTGCTGTTTCCATACAAAATACAGTATGAAGATACCTAAGCTAAATCAGATCTGATTACAATGACATCTTTTTTTTCACAATGTGGGATGAAGTATGTTGCACAATGAAATGTTCAGCTTAAAAGGTGAGCAGAATAAAGGGACATCAAAACTACACCTGGGATATCAGCTGCATATTGAAACTTGGGGATCGAGACTGCTTGGTTAAGGGGGCTCCTGGGCTGAGGAGCTCTTTTCCTTCACCAGCATGACCTAGCCGGTCTTCTTGTAGACTGATAGTTGAATATCGATTAGCATTTGTAGCTGCTAGATTAGTAACTCCCTCAGTGCCAACCCCAATGCTGGTACTTGCTTGACTGCCATTTATATAGTCAAATGATTTACTTGAGGAAGCACTGGCTGTCCGAATTAGACTTAAACTATTGGTTTTTGGCACCACCTGGCCAGCAGGCAGGCTCAGGTGTTTCTTCATCGGTGTCAGCTCAACTGAATCTATGCTAAGATCGGCTGGTTGTACAAACTGCTTGCGAACTACTGAATCTCGAGGGCTCTCACTGGATTTGATGGCAGATGCTGTTTCTTTATCTTTGGCGGAACGCCCAGTCGCTACTTTCCGTAAGCTTCCCCTCTGAGAAGAGGAGGATGGTTTGGTCCCATGTGGCTGGCTGCTGAGAGAAGCCCCTGACGAAAACCCTTCATCTGCATCATTCATGTTCAAAGACTCCTCTCCTCCATTTAGACCCTCAGCACCTAAAAAATAAATCAGACACATTCAGCAATAACTTAATAAAAAGCGGCTGTGAGTAACACTGACCTAATCTCATGAAGGTTTGCTCTTTAATTTAGGGAATAAACCTCTGTAACAATTTTAACACGTTCTTCATTTTTTTAACTGGCTTTATTTGTCCTGATTTTGTAAAGTTACCCACAGATATTATCTAGTAAACTGTCAACATGTAGGCACAGAAAACTAAAACACTTTAAAAACACACTGCCATCCATTTGAAGTCACCGTATCTACACATTTTAAACAAAACTCTTTCTTAATTTTTTCTTTAACCTACCACACAACACATGCTGTACAAAAGGAATTCCCTTCTAATTTCAGTTACCCAGAATTGTACCAAGTCAGTCAGGCCTAGAGAACAAACCTTCTAGCTTATAATAAAAATGCATTTTATATTTGGCAGCTAACTGCATTTATATAGCTTTTTAATATATTTCTTTTTACTATCTAACTAAATTTGCCAACTAAAAAACTACATTGCTGTAGTAACTTCACAATCACATTTGTCTTATGGATACACACTGCACACTGATTTCCATATTTCCTTGGTTAATCGATATAAAGAACACACTGATCATGAGGTAGCAAAGGGAACTAGCAGGGATATTTCTACTGCCTATATTATGTATTTCCTAACAGTTTACTTTTTTTTTCTTAATCAAGACAGGGTTTCACTGTTAACAGCCTTGGATGTCCGGGAGCTAGTTCTGTAAACCAGGCTAACCTCAAACTCATGGAGATCCACCTGCCTCTGCCTCCAGAGTGCTGGGATTAAAGGCGTGCACCACCACCGCCCAGCACAGTTTACATTCTTGGCAGGAGATTGAGTGCTGTCACGTTCACAGAGCACTGCAATGACGCATTACATCTCACACAGTCACTGCATTTAGTAAAAGAATCTTCATCTTGAGTTTTTGTGAGATGAGAATCATATATACTATAATGAGGTTGTAGTTTCCAGACAGACCAATTCTCTTACTGAAAAGTATGATCAAACAGTCTCAAAATTAATGTTTTCTTCTTTTAAAAATTGAAAATATTTTTCCCAGACTGAAAGAAAGTATGAATCTATAAAACAGATATTAACATGATAGTTAAGGTGAACGTTAGGGAAGAGTCTAAATACTAATTTCAGATACAGGTTACCTAAGCAAAACATACATATTCAAATAATCTTTTACTTAACATAGTACCTGGAAAAATAAAAATATTTTTTAGCTACGTTTCTTCACATGGATTAGTAATTTTACTTCTAAAAAAGAATCAAATTAAGCAAAAGGCAACTTGTTACATATATGGATAAGTATAAATATATATACAAATATAAATATCTACAGCAATTTCATGTTTAATCACCATGCAAAGCCATGTGGAAATACATTTGTTAAAAAAAAAAAAAGCAACTGACACTTCTTCTCTCAATCCCTTCAAAAGAACTGAGCATCATGTGCCTCAAAAAAAATGAAAATTTTAGATCAGATTCACATTACCTTTTAGTAATTGACTTATAAATAGTATAAAGAATTCCAAATCAAAAGTATTAATATAAAACTGGACTGGTTTATCTAAATAGAACAGGAGACTGAGAGACTTAGTGTTGGCTCTGAATCTTGCTACATGCAGGTCTGATGCCCAAGCAGTATGTCTATAAGAGGGATCATAACATAAAAAGCCACCATGCAAGAGAATCTACTGCTATTTATATAGTGAACTTTTATTTCAGTTTAACAGAACATTGTTATACATAAGTCACAGGCATTAAAGTTTAAATATATAATAAACTAATTTTAAAAATGTATTAGTATTATGTGTATATCAGGGTCTGCTGTATATGTGAGTGTGTGTGGATGTCAGAGGACAATTGTTGAACTGGTTTTCTATGCACATTTACATGGGTTCTACAGAGTCAGATCATCAGGCTTGTAGAGCAAGCACCTTTAACACCTGAATAGTTTTGCCTGCTCTAATAAGCAAATTTTTATTATAAAAACATTATTACTACAAACAGATTTTATTTTAAGTACATTATATATGTGATATAAAAGCTTCGTTGTTCTAGGGAATTACCAAAATTCTCATAAATTTTAATCAACTTCCTTTTCTGTCTTAAAAACCCTCAAAGGAAGCCAGATGGGGTGACTCACACCACTGATCCCAGCACTTGGGAGGTGGTGGCAAGTGGATCTCTGAGGAGGCCAGCCTGGCCTAGAGAATATGTTCCAGGACAACCAGAGCAACATAGTGAAGTCCTGTCTTAAAAAAACAAAATCAAAACCACCAACAACAGAAAACCCCAAGGAACTAAAAATTCAATTGTCTCAAAACAAATTTCCCTTTGTGGTCTTTCTGTAGGTAACAACATCCATGACTCTAAGAATATACAACTGAAAAGTATTCCACTGACCTTTTTGTTCATAGCAAGTTTCCCATAAATTCTTATTTAAAACCACAATTAATCTAGATTGAGAGGTAAAATTATCTTTCTCTTTTTTTGAGACAGGGTCTCTCTGGCTGGTCTGGAATGCACTATGTAGAGCAGGCTGGTCTTGAGCTCACAAAAATTGACTATCTCCTGAGTAGTACGATCAAATACATGTGCCACCACACCCAACTTCAAACAGGCTAAAGAAATGCATTCAGTTTTCTTGGGCTATATACCCCTGCAAACTACTCCAAACTAAAAGTTTAACAATATCAGGAGACTTACTGGAGTTAAAAAAGATACTGAAAAGGAATTACTATTTTAGTTCCTTTTTCAAAGTATACAACTGATGAAGTAATGCTTCGGCCTAGTTTCACACTTGCAAGAATGTCTGTTGATATGGCATTGTTTTAAGCACAAATACTCTCCATAGCCTAACAATAGTTATTCATAAATATCAAATGGTTTATTTAGCTATCAAGAATGAGAAATACACTTTTTTTTAGTTTGGATCCACTATAGATTCCAAATGTACTCATTTTATCAAAAAAAAATTTTTTGCATATAGACAAGATACAACTAGTTTCTAGGGGTAAGTTAAAGAGATACAGAAAGACAAAAAGGGAAGGCCACATCTTCCACAGCCATGTCAAGAAGGATCTCTAAAACAGGACAAATTTGGGGTCATTAGATCATGCACATGCAATACTGTTAAATGAAGTACAGACATTTGGGCAAATGGGTGAGGAACTGAGGGTACATTTAGATTCTTACTGAGCATGCTCAAATTTTTCATATACCAAAGAAAAGACACGTCCTTAGGAAGTAGAAGGTAAATATTTTACGTGTGTTTGGTCTTTAAAATAAGTAGACATAGTTAATCTCTTTTAAAGCTACTTCTAGGTTTATTGGCATAAGGCTTTCTAGTGGTACTCCAGGGGCAATAAAATAAATAATGAAAGCATTTGTCTACTGTCCTCTCTTCCACAAAGCTAACTCATGTGACATTTCATACACAGCAGCAGGCTAATGTTTTCCTGTCAGAGAGAAGTGTTCTTTCACAAGTAGTAATGGGGCACAGGGTTCTTATTTGCAAATACCTACACTGTAGGAACCAGAGTCTCCTCTGGACATGACCTGTAAATAGCACAGTTCACTTCCATCTGGGAGTTAGCCCACTATTTATAGAAACTGTGAAGTGTAGAATCTGCAGGATAGCACATTTATAGAGGAGGCAACTTAATCCAGCTGTTGAGAAGCCAGTAGTACCAGCATTCTGTCAGAGAAGGGAAATACTTGTTAAGTGGACGCCCTGGGAAAACAGATAAATGCAGGCTCCACTTCAATTTCTTAAATGTACTCATATTTTAAAATTCGCTTCACAGACTTTTACAGAATAAATCATCATGTGTACACATTAATATTGACTAATAAGGCTCATGACCATTGGATGCGGTTTTGTTTTTTGCTTTTTCCTGAATGTTAGAATAAACATGCTCAGTAACGAAAAATTCCAAGCATTTGCAGATCTTTTCTTCCAGGCCCCTGCCTTGTTAGTAGCCATGCCAAGCTGCTGTTTGATGACACAGGAATGCAGACTCCAGGCCAGCACAAATGGCAACTGAAGATTGTACCTAACCTGGTGCTAGGCATATGGGGAGGAGGGTTGCTTTGCAAAGAGGAGCTAGTACACCCAGGGGTAGTGGAGACACACACTAGAATGGAAAGGTGCTCTGCTTGGGGACAGAGAGCCAGGATCCTTCTCCAGCAACTGCCTCACTGCCTTCTGCCTCCTCATCTCTGTCCTACCCTCTGTTGTGGCTGCTGCTGAGTTGGGCTCCGGCGAGCCATGCTCAGAGGTCCTGCGCACCTCCCCCTCTTGCACACGTTTGATCCCTAGGTCAGTGGAGCCGTGTTGGATCGGGGAGCCAGGAATACTCGAGTCAGCCTCGTTTGAGAAGTCAAAGCCATCTGGGATTCAACATATAACATTTTAGTACTTTTGTGCTGCTCTGTTCCTCTGTGAGCATTCTGACCCAGGCAGATAAGAGAATGTATATATGGATATGATATTAACACAAACATTATCTCTATAGTTACATGTGTGTGCACAGCTTACACACACATAAGGCAGCAGATGAACAATGTGAGGTTCGCAAATGAATAGGACAGAAAAATAGGGATCATTAAAAATGACAATGTCTCATAAGCAAGACAGCTTGACTATTAAGTAACAAATGTCTATAAAATATTGCTGGGTTCAGTTCTTAGAAAAAAAGGAAGAGCAAATATAAAAATCCAAAGAACAAACAAAAACCCAATTCTTTTAAGGATAGCTTTTATTTTACTGTTAGTTTGACTAGTCATATAGTTTTCTCCCACAGTGCTCATACATGTACCTTTTTCCAGTTCACAGGCTTATAGCAACATTTTTCCCTATTTTTATTACTAGTCAAAAAAGACAAAATTTAACTAGGTCTTATTTTATGTTTTAACATTAATAGAACAGTCTAACATCTTCCTACCTTATAAACAGATGTATTTTTACATCAAAGTAAGCATTACCATATCTCTAGTACCATTTTTAAAATGAAAATATTTTACTTCAATACACAGAGCATTAATTAGTATCAGGCACTAGCACATTCTGTACAAACAGTGATAAGTTTACTTGAATCCATGAGTAAACTATGGGAATTTTGTGCTTACCTTCTCTTCTCCATCTATGACGACGGATTGAAGCTGTTGTAATTGCAGTTCGAGAAATCCTCGGCACTGTTGGAGTAACTTCTACTTTAAGTACTTTCTGGCCTTCTTGTGAAGAATCAGGTGCATCAAATGGTAATGAGTTCTTCATGGCATTGGCAACCTACAATGGTAATACATGTCTATACAAACTTACAACCAACATACAATTCTTACCTCTTCTACATTACACACTTCCACTATTTTTGAACATGTGCAGCTTGTAATATATAAAGTTGTATAATATAAAAGCATGGCTGGGCGGTGGTGGCATACACCTTTAGTCCCAGCAGTCGGGAGGCAGAGGCAGGCAGATCTCTGTGAGTTCAAGACCAACCTGGTCTACAAGAGCTAGTTCCAGGACAGCCTCCAAAGCTACAGAGAAACCCTGTCTTGAAAAACCAAGAAGAAAAAAAAAGAAAGAGAAAGAAAGAAAGAAAACAAGCACTCACACTATAAACTGCTTCTGCAAGGAGATGGTTAGTCATATTATCACCAAAGCATAAAGAATGCTCCCACTGAATGCTTACATTTGCCCTTTAAACTTCGTTATTGTGTATGCATGTAGGTGGGGGAGGCTGCCATTATGCTCATGGAGGTCAGAGGTCAATTTTATAGTCAGTTCTCTCATTCCACCTTTATGCAGGTGCTGGGGATAGAATTCAAATGTAAAAGTTTGCATGGGAAACGCTTTTACCTACTGGATTATATTGCTGGCCCAACATATGCATTTGATTTTTTTAACACTTATTATGTGTGTGTAAATATGGCATGGCATGACTCTGGACATCATAGACAACTTGTGGGAGTCAGTTCTCTCCTTCCACGTGGGTTCTGGGATTGAACTCAGGTTGTCAGGCTTGGCAGCAAATGACTTTATCTTGGGTCATCTCACAAGTCCCTACACACTGGGAAGCCTGGAATCTTTACAACAAAATACAACTATAGTTGGGATTCTTTGGCCTACAGAGAATATTCTTTTTGTATACTGCATGTTAATTTTACTTTTTCATTTTTTATAACTTTTTATTTTTATTTTTTAAAATTTATTTATTACATATATAGTGTTCTGCCTACAAGCCAGAAGAGGGTACCAGATTTAATTGCAGATGGTTGTGAGCCACCATGTGGTTGCTGGGAATTGAACTCAGGACCTCTGGAAGAGCAGCCAGTGCTCTTAACCTCTGAGCCATCTCTCCAGCCCCCTTTTTCATTTTTTTAAATAACATAATTCTTTGGGAATTTCACATCATGCACCCCAATCACACTCATCTCACAGCCCCTCAATATCCTCCCCTCACCCTGCAGCTTCCCCCCCCCCCGCCCGCCAAAATCAATTAAACAAAATAAACAAACAAAACCACTTCTTTCTATGTCTTTCTAACACTTCTTCATTCATCCTAGTGACACTGGGTGCTTGTATAACCCTTTTGTCCAACTGACCACACCCACAAAATGTTCATTGCAATGAGTCATTGGTCTGGTTCAAGGTCTCTGGTACACCATCATCACTGGACCCTCACTGAAACTCGTTTCAGATATCCTGCTGTTGCCCTGAGTCATGGAGATCCTTCAGTTAATGTTCCACAGGACCAGTCCTTTCACACACTCCAGCAGGTCCACAGATGGGGTAGATGTTAGGGTGGGTCAACCCAAGGCCCAGGATGTGGGACTGGGTGGTAGATGAGCTGGTTGGTCTGGGCCACTGGGGTGGCCTGGCTATGGGAAGGGGCAGAGCCAGAGCCAGTTCTCCCACGCCCATGGTGAGAGGTGAGGTCACCTCTCCAAGTGTAGGGGCAGCTTTCCTGCTGCAGTGTCCAGTAAGGGATAGGGCCAGTTGCCTCTGGGCCAATGATGGGCGGAGCCGCTCAGCATGACCCATGGATTTCAGCACCCATGCTTCCTATCTATGAAGCCCTGTGCATTCACAGGCCATGGACTTTTTAAAAAAATTTTGAGGCAGGGTTTCTCTTTGTATCCCTAGTTGTCCTGGAACTTAATCTGTAGACCAGGCTGGCCTTGAACTCAAAGAGATCCATCTGCCTCTGCCTCCTGAGTACTAAAATTAAAGGCATGCTCCACCACTGCCACCCAGCTCTATAACTTTTTTATATAAAGGTAATAATTTAGAATTTACATATTTATGTGAAGGAAAATAATCTCCTTCAGTGACTACTTCATTTCTAAACTGTCCTAGCTTTGATTATAATAATAAAATGATGTCACATAAGCCTAAACAGCCTTTCTTTTTCTACGCATCTGAATAAAACTTATGTGGTTGTTCCCTCTTTAACAGAGCTTTACTGTCACTTACTATGTAGCTGAGGATTGCCTCCACTTTGCGGCAATCCCCTTGGTCCCATGTGCTGGTATTGCCAGTGTAAGCTACTATGATCAACTTGGTTTTCTCTTTTTTTAAGGATTTCAAAACACCTCATTTTTCAATTTATCTCAATATCTCCCCTGCCCTCTGTCCCATGGTAACATTTTAAGCATATATATGCTTTAAGAAGAGTCAACACGGGCTGGAAAGATGGCTCAGAAGTTAAAAGTACAGACTGCTCTACCAGAGGACCTAGTTTAATTCCCAGCAATCACATAGCAGCTAACAACTGTAACTCCACGATCTGACCCCTTCACACAGACATACATGTGGGCGAAACATGGGGTGGTGGCACATGCCTTTAATCCCAGCACTCAGGAGGCAGAGGCAGGCTGATCTCTGTGAGTTCAAGGCCAGTCTGGTCTATAGAGTAAATGCCAGGACAGGATTCAAAGTTACACAGAGAAACCCTGTCTCAAAATACCCAGGGGGAGGGAAGGGAGTCAACCCACCTCCAGAGCTATGACCCAAATAAACTTCTACTCTTCACAGGGAAAAAAGTACAGAAAAATAACTTACCAAGAGTGGCTGAGAAAAGAGCTCTAGCTGAGCTCTATAAATGATGTCATCAAGTACTTCCTGGCCAAGGTCCCATTGTCCATTATACCTATGGGATGGATTATTTAGTACTTTTAAAGATATCTCTAGTTTTCATCATTTTAAAACAGTTCTAAGCTACTATGGTACTACTTTAGTTATAAATAAAATTTACACTTCAAATTTCATTTCATTGCTGAATTATTCTCACTTTGGTTATAATAACAAAATGAAGGTTTCAACAAATTGGTTTTTACCATGCGTTGATATTTAGAGTAACCTAAAGTGTTCGTGATAATCATGATAATGATCTACATAGAAATGATACAGTTTCCAAATAGAAAACTTAAAAATTTCTAAGATGGATCTAATTTTATGACTAGTCACAATATTAACTGACTATTTTAAAAGTACTGAATAGACACTACATTAGAAAAACAAGGTAACAAGTCTATCACGGAACAAAGGAGTCTATGAGAAAGAAGAAAAAGAAATATAAAATGTTCCCACATGCATCTTCTTTCTACTTACATGGCATAGTAAACTCCTGTGAGAAGTTGCACCATAAATTCAGGATCTAATACTATTCGACCACAGATTTCCTTCCACTGTTTCTCATGTTGCCGTGGAAACCCACTCACACAAGCCCTAGAAAAATTACAGTAAGGTGTGACTTCCTGATTAGCTAATCATTCATTTAATGTGTCATCCCTCAGCTCTGATTCCTGTTAAATAACACAGTAGGTGTCTCACCTTTATTTTTAAAGCAGGCTTTTATTCACAAAGCATGTATTCTAGTGGACTACATAAACAGTAACAAGTTTCCCCAAATATCTAACAACTTCTTTCAGAGACATCCTTTTACCCCTTCTCTCAAAGATATAAATATATAGCTATTTTTTGTCTTTCATTACTAGATAGTAGATAAATCTTTTTTTTTTTTTTTCGGTTTTTGGAGACAGGGTTTTGGAAGCTGTCCTGGAACTTCAGCTGTAGACCAGGCTGGCCTCAAACTCTCAAACTCACAGAGATCCACCCGCCTCTGCCTCCGGAGTGCTGGGATTAAAGGTGTGTGCACCACCAATGCCCAGTGATAGTAGATAAATCTTTTTTTTTTTTTTTTTTTTTTTTTTTTTTTGGTTTTACAAGACAGGGTTTCTCTGTATTGTTTTGGAGGCTGTCGGTCCAGCCCGGCCTCAAACTCACAGAGATCTGCCTGCCTCTGCCTCCTGAGTGCTGGGATTAAAGGCGTGCACCACCACTGCCCGGCAGTAGATAAATCTTAAACCAGGCATTGCAAAATATTGTTGTTCATGAGACCACAATTATTTGACATTTTATTTAAGCAAAATAAACTTGCACAATTATTATATACTCGTTTTCTTTGCTGAGTAGCCCAGCACTGGGATTGGTGACTCTCATGGTCAGTGGGGCTGTTCCATCCACAATGGAACCACCAGGAGCAATGTCACTCAGCAAGATTTGTTGTCTGTACATCAGCAGCACCTCTGCTCCTTGGTACTGTAAAACAAGGACTCCTAGTAGCTACTGGGCAGCATAAACTTTCTTTTCTTTCTTTTCTTTTGAGACAGGGTCTCACTATGAAATCTTGGTTGGTCTAGAACTCTCTATGTAACACAGACTAGCCTTGAACTCACAGAGATCCATCTGCTTCTGTCGTTCGAGTGCTAGGATTAAAGGCTGGAACTATTAAATAGTTCCTAAAAACAAGCTTGCCCTGGAATCTTTTCTGCATACTATGTATGATCAATGTGTTCTTGTTAATTATATATCAGAGGGCTGTGACTAAAGGCGTGTGACACCACCACCTGGCTAAAAACTGTATCTTAATACATATAAATGTTACAACATTAATAACAAGTTTTAGGTTAATTATAATAGTAAGTTCAGAAGAAAGATTTTAGTGCCTTACAGTCTCAATCAACTAAAAAATTATATACATATATATTATATAATGAAGTAATAAAAATGCTACAAGTTGAAAATAGCATTATTTCAATAAAATTATTGGTACGTGCCTCTAATCCCAGCACTCAAGAGACAGAAAGGAAGCCAGCCTGGGCCACACAACAAATGTGAGTTCAGTTTACAGTTTCACCTGTAAAGAAGTCTATCACTGAAACAAAAACCAGACTACTAAGGTGAAGCTTGCTCATTTACTCCCTAAGGGACAAGAATATGTATCAATTACTGTGGCATTCCATTTTATGTGTTTAAAAAAAACAAATATTTTATCATATCAATAGTCACGCACTAGAAATAATTGCAATTATTAAGAAAGATGAAAAAACTTGAATATCAATTAAAAACAGGAACAAGGTTCATAACAGTTTTTAAAAGTTCTCCAGGGGACAAAGAATCTGCATTAAAGGTAAGAACCTTGTTTACCATTAACATTGGTTTTTTTTTATAATTTATTTAAATTTATTTTATATGCATTGATGTGAAGGCATCAGATCCCCTGGAACTGGAGTTATAGACAGTTGTGAGCTGCCATATGGGTGCTGAGAATTGAACCCAGGTCCTCTGGAAGAACAGCCAGTATTCTTAACTGTTGAGTCACCTCCAGCCCCACCATTAACATTGTTAAGTGGAATAGAATAATATACAAAATTTTAATCTGTAAACTCAAAGTTATGGATAATTTGGATTAGACTTCTGCCAATTACTCAAACTAATAAGTTTTGTTATAGTCAAGACTCTACTCTTCTCAGTAACAGAACAGCACTGTGAACCTGAGCATTTCTCAAAGACAGACTCTTGGTCCCTGTGAACTTTCCTTCCCAGTATTTATGCTGTGTCTCCTTCACCCATTTAGGGTAAAGCATGACTTGCTTTTAGCTAATACAATGTAGTAAGGTGAAAGGTTACATGTACACTATGTGTACACTATTTGTACATCATGTGTATAACTATTCCTAAAGTGTCAGATCATGCTGGAAACTCTGTTTACTCTAGCTTTGAATTTATAAGCTGTCCATGTTAAGTGAGGATGGATTCCAGCAGGCAGACATCTAGATAAAGAAACCTATAATCCTACAATTATAGGAACAGAATTCTGACAAAAAGCCATGTACGGATACAGTTCCTTATGTCTTTTTAGAGTATTATAAGACTTCTAAGATGCCAGATGTAGTAGGCAGCACATGCCTTTAATTCCAGCACTAAGGAGGTAGAGACAGGCAGATATTTGTGAGCTGGAGACGAGTCTGGTCTACACAGGGAGTTCCTTCCAGGCCAGAAGCACACAGAGAGATCCTTGTCTTCAAAAAGAAAAGACCCTAAGCACAAGTAAGTCATGCCTACATTCCTGCCTCATAAAAACGATGAAATAACAAATGTATGATGTTATGAACTACTAAAATTGTAGGAACTTACTTTTCTTTTTAGAAATTGTGCTAGGCAGTGGTGGCGCATGCCTTTAATCCCAGCACTCGGGAGGCAGAGGCAGGTGGATCTCTGTGAGCTTGAGGACAGCCTGGTCTACAAAGTAAGTTCCAGGACAGCCAGAGCCAGAGAAATCATGTCTTGTAAAACCAAAACAAATAAAAGATTAGGTGTGTCTATATAGTTGGCCAATATGTAGATAATGGGAAGTGAACCCATCCTGTGCAAATGAAGTCAATGTTCTTAATTGCTGAGCCATCTCTCCAGACCCTTAAAAGAATTTTCGTTCCTATAGGAATGAGACATCCATGAATGTTATGCACGACTATACCAGAAGCTAAACAGCCTGGCATATATAATACTTTCCAAATAATGATATGAATATGAACGATAATAATAATAATTACTATTCTTACCTGGAACCCATTCGACAAAGAGATTGGTAAGATGAGGCAGGCATATACACAATAGCTGAATTATAGCATAGCATGAGAAAACTCAAGACTTCGAACCTAGAAAAATAACAAAAAATGATCACAATTATTTATTTCTATCAGAAACAATAGTAAATTATTTACTTACTAAATGGTTATAGCAATGCCTTAGTGCAAATCTTCATGGTTTCTTCTTAATCAGGTTACTATAGAATCTGAGTAATTTGTTTCCCTTCTCCTAATTATGAACCATAGCCCTTGCTGTCATCAATATTTTATCCTTAAAAAAATAAACTAAGGAAGCTGGGCAATGGTGGTACATGCCTTTAATACCAGCACTCGGGAGGCAGAGACAGGTGGATCTCTGTGAGTTCCAGGCCAGCCTAGTCTACAGAGCAAGTGTCAGGATAGACTCCAAAGCTACACAGAGAAATCTTGTCTCAAAAAACAATAAACAAAGAACAAACAAACAAAAAGTTAAGTGTGCACATGGTGGAACATGCCTTAATTACAGCATAAGGAAGAAGAGGCAAGTGGATCTCTGTGAGCTCAAGGCCAGTCTTGTCTACAGAGCAAGTTCCAGGATAGTCAGGGCCATGTAGAAAGAGCCTGTCTTAGAAACCAAAAAATAAAAAAAATTTAGGGCTAGGTATAGTGGAGCACACCTTCAATGCCAGCACTCAGGGGCAGAGGCAGGCTCATCTCTGTGAGTTTGAAGCCAGCCTGGTCTATGTAGTGAGTTCCAGGCCAGTCACAGCTACATAGTGATAGACTCTGTCTCAAAACAACATCAACAAAACCCCAAACCCAAAATAACCAATCAACTAAACCAAACCACCAAACCAATTAAACAAGGGGCTGGAGAGACGGCTCAATAAGAGCCTTTGCTAGTCTTGTGGGTTTGGGTCCCAGCACCCACATGGCAGCTCACAACCACTTGCAACTTCAGTTCCAGGGCATCTTATGCCCTGCAGAAACTACAGAATGCTGAACGGCATTCCTAACCTTTATCTACAAGATACATAAGAGTCTTCTCTCCACCCAGCTATATCAATGAAATAAATCTTCCATATTGATTGCTAAATGGATGCCACAGATGAGAACTATGGTTTAAAAGTTGTTACATATTGAAGAGGGAAAATGGAAGGAAGGAGGGATGGGAGACAATAATTTTTATTAATGAACTGTGTGGAAGTAATACATATTTAGTCTGGGGATAAAACTATGTAAGATACTTCATAGTATTATCCCATCACTATACCTACTAAAATCAGAAGATGTAAGTCAGGCACCAGTGAGGATAAGGAGAAACTTTTATTATTTATTAATTTATGCTATGGGTATTTTGTTTGTATGTATGTCTGTGTAGCACATGCATAACTGGGGTGGGTGCCTAAGGATGCCAGAAGGAAGCATTAATGCCCTGAAACTCTAGGTATAGGTGCTTGTGAGCTGTCATTTGAGTGCTGGAATCGAACCCTGGTCCTCTGGAAGAGCAGTGAGTACACTGGAGCAATCTTGCCAACCCTGTGAGATTGGCTGTATCAACCTTGTTTAATAGTTTGCTGAATTGCCCCACAAGCAGAAAATTTCTCCCAAACAGCAGGAACCATTTAAAGTACAGAGGGGAAAAGGGAAGAATTTGATTATAGATGAGACACAGTGATATCAAAGGATGCTGCCCAGCCTGCTGTACCACCCCTAGACGATGAGGTGGTCAATGGATGCTGTTTGAGGAGGACCAGTTTTCTCCATGGACAAACTCCCAAATAAGTTCTCCAATCCCAAGTGGCCCACCCTGGATACATGTATATGCAAGCAAATAGACACGGGAGATTATACATACATGCGCATATATACATATGTATATACATATAGCAATAGTAAAGAAGATTTGGGAGATGGGACACAGAAAGAGTTGGAGAGGCAAGGATGAGTGGTATAGATGTAGTATTTATATACGAAATTCAAAAAAGTTTTTTGAGTAGTTCTTACCTAAAATGCTAAGGACCAGAAATGTTTTAGATTTTGTAATGTGTGCCTTTTTTGGAGATGAGGCCCAAATCTATACCACAAATTCATTTATGTTTCAAATGTATCATACACCCATAGACTGAAGGTAATTTTACATAATATTTTAATGCACTTGCATTTTACTTGTGTCCCACTCACAGAGACTGTGTGCGGATTGTCTACCTGAGCTATCATGCTGGTGCCCACCAGATGTCAGACTTTGGAACATTTCAGGTTTGTGATGTTCAGACAGGGCCAGGTGGTGGTGGCGCACACTTGGGAGGCAGAGGCAGGCCAGCCCAGTCTATGAAGTGAGTTCTAGGACAGCCAAAGTTGCACAGAGAAACCCTGTCTCAAAAACCACACCCTTCCCCTGTCAAAAAAAAAAAAAAGTGATTTTCAGACAAAGATGCTCAGCTGTATTACAATGCATTTCACCAGTATGACATATTCAATTTTTGGACTCTACTCATATCAATCTTGAAGTTAATTTACTTAGCTATTAGGCATAAATTAACCATTGTTGCTGTGTAGGGTTTTTCAGAAATTATTTTAGATGTATTTTATGTATGGGAATGTTTGCCAGCATGTATGCGAGTGCACCACATGCATGCCTGGTGCCCTTGGAAGCAAGAGGAGGGTGTTAGGGCCCTTGGGACCAGAGTTGCAGATGACTGTGAGCCACCATGTGGGTGCTGGGAATTGAACCCAGGACCTCTGGAAAAGCAGCCTGTGGTTATCCCCTGAGCCATCCGTCCAGCCCACACTATATAGCTTTAATCATTACCGGTTTTGTGCAGTGAATGTTTCTCTCTGAGGATGAAGATCACTGTAAACAACCCTGATGAGATCATGCTGACATAATGCCCCTTCTGTTAAAGCCATGGATCCAATTGTTGAGGGCTACAAAAAAAATAAGATATAGCATGAGATAATGTCTCCAAAATAAAGTAAAAATCTGTATCATGTAATTATATTTAGTTGTTTAAATAAAATGTAGTTTGAAATAAGTTTTCTCTGTTCAATGTCATTTTATGGTTTCTTTTGGAAATGTGTAGAAGAACATAAAATTTGAAATATATAACTTTACTTTTTGAAATATTATGGAGTTACTCTGTATTTAGGAAAAAGAAACACTGCTGAAAACACTTAGGTTTGAAAGAAATATATTTATATTTGTTTGTATTCCAGAACACATAACTACTTATATAAAATAAACAATATTGAAGACTATGATAAAAACCTCTTTAATATTTATGCAATTGATTTCATGTCTTTCTTGTCAGAATAGCCATTTATTAATATCACTACTATGCATTTTATTTCCTAACACAATACAAATAACTTAATTAAAATCTATTACTCAGAAATATTTCATTTCAAAATGATTCCTGGTTGAATAGGAGATATACTATTTCTAACACAAAATAAAGTCTTAGGGGAATTAATTTAAAAACTACCTTCATCGAACCACAAAACAGAGAGGATAATGTGTGTTGAAAATGGAATATAACTTGAAGTACTAGCTAGCAATAAGACAACAAAAAGAGATCAAAGGAATATAAATTGGAAAAGAAGAAGTCAAACTCTCAATATTTGCTAATATGATAGCATACATAAGTGACCCCAAAAATTCTACTAGAGAACTCCTACAACTGATGAACACCTTCAGTAATGTAGCAGGATACAAGATTAAATAAAAAAAAAAATCAAGCCGGGTGTTGGTGGCGCACGCCTTTAATCCCAGCACTTGGGAGGCAGAGGCAGGCGGATCTCTGTGAGTTCGAGGCCAGCCTGGTCTACAAGAGCTAGTTCCAGGACAGCCTCCAAAGCCACAGAGAAACCCTGTCTCGAAAAACCAAAAAAAAAAAAAATAATAATAATAATAAAAAATCAGTCACCCCCTCCTATACACGGATGACAAATGGGCTGAGAAGGAAATTAGAGAAACATCACCCTTTATAATAGCCACAAATAACAAAATATCTTGGGCTAACTCTATCAAATAAGTGAAAGACATGTATGTCAAGAACTTTGAGTTTTTAAAGAAAGAAATTAAAGGAGATATCAGAAAATGGATAGATTTCCCATGCTCTTGGATACACAGGATCAACATGGTAAAAATGGCAATCCTACCAAAAGTAATCTACAGATTCAATGCAATCCCCATCAAAATCCCAGCACAATTCTTCATAGACCTTGAAAGCAATACGCAACTTCATATGGAAAAATGAAAAAACCCAGGATAGCCAAAACAATCCTGTACAACAAAGGATCACCCTGGGAGCATCGCCATCCCTGTCTTCAAGCTCTAGTATAGTATAGAGCTATAGTAATGAAAACAGCTTGGTATTGGCATAAAAACAGACAGGTGGACCAAAGGAATCAAATTGAAGATATCAATTTGTTATCAATTGATATCTTCAATTTGATATCAACCCACACACCTATGAACACCTAATTTTTGACAAAGAAGCTAGAAATATAAAATGGAAAAAGGAAAACATATTCAAAATTTGGTGCTGGTATAACTGGCTGTCAACATGTAGAAGATGCAAATAGATCTGTATCTATCGCCATTCACAAAACTCAAGTCCAAATGGATCAAAGACCTCAATATAAATCCATCCACACTGAACCTCATAGAAGAGAAAGTGTGAAGTACCCTTGAACATATAGGCTCAGGAGTCCATTTCCTGAACATAACACCAGCAGCACAGACTCTGAGAGCAACAGTTAATAAATGGGACCTCCTGAAACTGAGAGCTTCTGTAAAGCAAAGAAGACAAAATGGCAGCCTATAGAATGGGAAAAGATCTTCACCAACCCCACATCTGACAGAGGGCTGATTTCCAAAATATACAAAGAACTCAAGAAACTAGAAATCAAACTACCAAATCACCCAATTAAAAAACAGGATACAGATCTAAACAGAGAATTCTCAACAGAACAATCTCAAATGGCAGAGAGACATCTAAGGAAATGCACAACATCCTTAGTTATCAGGGAAAATGCAAACCAAAACTACTGTGAGCTCCCATCTTACACTGGATCAGAATGGCTAAGATCAAAAACAGCTTATGCTAGACAGGATATGGAGAAATGGGAACAGTCCTCCACTGCTGGTGGGAATACAACTTGTACAGCTGCTGTGGAAATCAGTATAGCGATTTCTCAGAAAACTGGGGATCAACCTACCTCAAGACCCTGCAATACCACTGTTGGGCATATACCCAAAGGAGGCACATTCACACCACAAGGACATCTGCTCAACTATGTTCATAGTATTATTTGTAATAGCCAGATCTTGAAACAACCTAGATGCCCCTCAACTGAAAAATGGATAAAGAAAAGGTGGTACACATTTACACATTGGAGTACTACTCAGCAGTAAGAAACAATGACATCCTAACATTTACAGGCAAATGGACAAAACTAGAAAAAAACCTATCCTGAGTGAGGTAGCCCAAACCAGAAAGATACATATAGTATGTACTCATTCATAAGTGGATACCAGACATAAAGCAAAACATACCCAGTCTACAATCCATAACCCTAGAGAAGCTAGAACCCTCTTCCAGAAACAGATGGAAGCAGATGCAGAAATCCACAACTAACCATTGGGCCAAGCTCCTGGAGTACAATCAAAGTGAGGGAGGGGTGATAATATGAACAAAGGAGTCAAGACCATGATGGGGAAACCCACAGAACCAGAGTTAGTGAGGAACCACTGACTCAGGTCTGACAAATGGAGACTCACATAAGATCAAACTAGACTCCCTTAATATAGGTGACAATGGTGTGGCTAGGAAAATACATGAGGCCACTGGCAGTGGGTCCAAGATCTAACAGTAATGGACTTAGTGGAGTCCATTCTATATGGAGAGATTTCTTGCCCAGCCTAGACACAGGGTGTTGGGGATAGAGAGGTGCCTTGATCCTGCCTCAACTAGACGATAGGACAGACTTTTAGTAGACTTCCTAGGGTAGGCCTTATCCTCTCTGAGAAACAGATGGGGGGGGTGGGAGGAGCAGGAGGAGAGGAGAGAGGAGAAACTGGGATTGGAATGTAAAAAATAAACTAATTAAAAAATACAAAAATCCCATAACAACAACAAAAAAGAAAATGGAATATAATTTTTAGGATAAACTTTTTAAATGCTCACAATCTGATACATCAAAGTTCATTAACACATATCCTTACTGGATGTTACTAAGGAGAGCTCAGCTCAACAGCAACATTGACCTATATAATCATGAGTACATTCAGTCTTCAATGGAATAAGCATAAGCAAAACAAATGTTACCAAAAGCTAGAATGTGCAATGAGACTCCTCTATATTGAAAAACACTGGAACATCAATATCCTTCTAAGTAATTACTTTCTTTTTTTTTTTTTGTTTTTTTGTTTGTTTTTCGAGACAGGGTTTCTCTGTGGCTTTGGAGGCTGTCCTGGAACTAGCTCTTGTAGACCAGGCTGGCCTCGAACTCACAGAGATCCGCCTGCCTCTGCCTCCCAAGTGCTGGGAGTAAAGGCGTGCGCCACCAACGCCCGGCCAGTAATTACTTTCTTAAAGAATACTAAAAATGAATTAAACAAAGATAATCAGCAAACAATATAAAAAATTCTTCGAAAATTCATTTTAAAAACTGATTTAAAAGGTTGAAAATGGTTCTAGGACAACCTCCAAAGCAATACTGAGGAACCCTGTCTCGAAAAACCAAGGGAAAAAAAAAAAAGGTTGAAAATGAGCTGGGTGGTGGCAGCCGCACTCCATTAATCCCAGTACTTGGGAAGCAGATGCAGGTGGATCTCTATGAGTTCAAGGCCAGCCTGGTCTACAGAGCTAGTACCAGGACTGTTATATAGAGAAATCTTGTCTCAGAAAATAAAAAAAAAACAAAACAATAAAGTTGAAAACGATACTGATGACAGAAAATGCATGAGTAAACAACAACTAGAGGAAAATTTTCATTAAATACCAATTCCCTTAACACAAATCTGACACCACAAACATCTACTCTACTCCACCAGGACTGGAGAGATGGCTCAGTGATTAAGAGCACTGACTGTTCTTCCAGAGGAGCCGGGTTCAATTCCCATGCACTCACATGGCAGCTCACAACTGTCTGTGGCTTCAGTTCCAGGGAATCAAACACCCACACACAGACATGCATGCAGGTGAAACACCGAAAAACATGAAGTATAAATTTAAACGACTTACTCCATTTAGTTTATTTAATGTGAATGTGTGCACATATGGAAGTCAGAGGGCAATTCATGAGAGTCAGTTCTCTCTTTCCACTATATGGGTTCCAGAGATTAAACTCAGGTTGTCAGGTTCAGTGGCTGGAAACTTTATGAGTCAAATCATCTACTGGCCCAACACCTATTTCCTTCTTTGCTTCCTTCTTTGCTTCCTTCTTTCCTTCCTTCCTTCCTTCCTTCCTTCCTTCCTTCCTTCCTTCCTTCCTTCCTTCCCCTCTCCCATCCTCATTCCCTCCCTCCCTGCTTCCATTAAATGTGTATGAGTGTTTTGCCTGTGTGTGTAGGTCTGTGTATAAGATGCATGCCTGGTGCGCATGGATGCCAGAAGAGGGTGGGTGTCAGAGAACCTACAACCAGATTTTTTGTTTGTTTGTTTGTTTCTTTTGTTTTTCGAGTTCTCTGTATTGTTTTGGAGGCTGTCCTGGAACTCGACCAGGTTGGCCTCAAACTCACAGAGATCTGCCTGCCTCTGCTTCCGGTGTGCTGGGATTAAAGGCATGCACCACCAATGCCCAGCTCCACAACTAGATTTACAAGTGGTTGTGACCTACCATGTGGGTGCTGGGAATTGAACATGGGGGAGGTACAGTCAGTGTTCTTAACCACTGAGACATCTCAGCTCAACACCAGAAAAAAAGACTATGTATTAGGGCCCTCGCATGGTGATGTAATCATCTCACTTGGAAGACAGAAGCAAGGTTAAGAGTGCAAGATCACCTTAGCCACCCCGTGAGTTTGGGTCTGCCTGGGTTATAAAATGTCATGTTTCCAAAAGCACTCACAATATTTATCTCTGGCAAAAAATAATTTTTTATCTTTTTCTCAACATAATTTGAAACATTCCATGTTTCCAATGTTACTTACTTCATGGTATATTGAAGGCTTGGATAAGGAAGGGATTGTGAAAGACAGCACTTTATTATTTCCATCTTTATCAGCAATTTCCTATAGTAAAAAAATACAAAAACAATGTAACATCAAGTTTGTAGCAAAATAAATAAAAATTACTTCCTTAACTAACAGAATATACTATTGGTAATTTTAGGAGAGTTTTCCAAACAATAGTGCACTAAAATAATATATCATACCATACCCTTCCAAAGTTATTATCAAATTGGTATGTGTTTGTGGAAGAGTTGTTACCCATAGAGATATTGATCACAAATTACACTACATCAAAATCAATGTGACAGCAAAAGCAAAAAAGCAGGTGTACATGGAAAAAGAAGATTAAAAGTGATTAGATTTTAGAGGGCAATACATTGATCAGATCTTTTAGGGGAAATATGGGTGAACAAAACATAACTAAAACCAAAAGACCCACACTTATTAAAACAAAAGCACATTATTATAACACAAATGAAGTTTTTCCATCTTTACTGAGCCATAACTGACAGAATTCACATATATTTCCAGTATATGTGAAGTTTTGATACATTTACATTGTGAAACAATTAACATAAACAAACTTATTCAAATATCCAATACTGCAGCTACCATTTTTATGGTGAGAACATTTTAAGAATGAATCTTGATTAAAAGAAATATATAATCCCTCAGGAATAAACTACCAAACTGTAATAAGTCACATATTGACAATATTAGTGTAAATGATTAAGAAATAGGCTTATATTTAGATAATTTCTACTAAACTGTAAGAAAATCTTTTGTGTTCTTGTTTGAGACTAGGTTTCACTCAGTAGCCCAGAGTGCCGTGGGATGCAATATGTAGTCCTGGCTGGCTTCAAATTTGAACTTCAGTTTACTGAGTCGTGGGATCAGAAGTGTGAGTCACTATACTTGGCTCCTCTCTCTCCCTCTCCTTATGTCTCTGTGTCTCTGTCTCCCTGTGTGTGTCTCTCTCTCTCTCTCTCTCTCTCTCTCTCTCTCTCTCTCTCTCTCTCTCTCTCTCTCTCTCTCTCTCTCTCTCTCTCTCTCTCTCTCTCTCTCTCTCTCTCTCTCTCTCTCTCTCCCTCCCTCCCTCCCTCCCTCCCTCCCTCCCTCCCTCTCTCTCTCTGCCTAATTTGTTATGTCATTCAGGCTGGCCCTTAGATTCCTGAAGCTGGGATTAAAGGTATGAGTCACCAAATCCAGTTCTTTCTGATTTTGAAGTTTTTTCAGACAGAGTTTCTCTGTGTAACATTCCTGGCTGTCCTGGAGCTGATCTGTAGACCAGGCTGGCCTTGAATTTACAGAGATCTGCCTGCCTCTACTTCCCAAGTGCTGAGATTATAGGCATGTGCCGCCACACCTGGCTACTAGTTTTCTTACTTGTTTTTTTTTTTTCAAAACAAACAAACAAAAAACTGGGAGGTGGTGGCAAATGCCTTTAATCCCAGCACTCAGGAGGCAGAGGCAGGCAGATCTGAGTTTGGAGCCAACTTGGTCTACAGAGTGAGTTTCCCAGAGAAACCCTGTCTCAAAACAAAAACAAAAGAACATTGATGTCCTTCCTTTCTCTAGTATATGGCATCTCTGATCTTTAGGTATCAGTAATTACCTGTCTCCAGAAACCAACAGAAGTGAACTGCTGTTGCAGCTCACCTCACTGCCTTCTGTTTGTTCTAAGTAACATGCAACTGGCATGAAATCCACACACAGAAAAATGCTCTCACTAGACCTTATCGTATAGAGTCAGCAATTAGGTAGCTATCTAACATTAAAAAAGATAGCTACGGCACTGCAAACCTGTAATCCTGGTACTTGGGTGGTACAGAAGGAAGGTTAAAAGTTATCACATTAGATTCAGATGCAAAAACTTTGAAGCCAGAGTAGAATACTTGAGATCCTGTCTCAAAAAACAAAAACAAAACAAATCCTAAACAAAACAAGAACAACAAAAATAAATTCCAAACACCCGGGCATGGTGGCATACCCTTAACCCTAGCACATAACTGAGGCAGATGGACTCCTATGAGTTTGAGACCATCGTGGTTTACATAGTAAATTCAAGGCCAGCCAGAACCACATAGTGAGATTCTAACAATCAGGTTAGCTTTTCATTTAAAAAACACTTTTAAGTTTTATGAGGCCCCATTTAAAAACAGATCTACCAAAGATCTAGCCACATCACTCTTGAGCATATATAGAAAATTCTATATCTTACTATAGAGACACTTGCTCAACCATGTTCATTGCTGCTTTATTAATAATATCCATAAATTGAATAATGAAAATGGGGTATATTCACCCAACGGAATATTATTCAACTGTTAAGAAAAATAAAATTATGAAATTTGCACCACACTACATCCATCCTCTTAGTATGTAACTCTTAAAACTCTCATTTGCTTTCCCTGTGAATGTCTATTAAAGAAATCTGAATTCTTCACAATAAAAAGATTTTCTTGCTGGATGTGGTGGCACATACCTTTAATCCCAGCACTCAGGAGGCAGAGACAAGAGGAAGATCTTTGTGAGTTCAAGGCCAGTCTCATCTATATACTGTGTTCCAGGCTAGACATAGCCATATAATGAGACCCTGTCTCCTAAAATGATAAAAGGTTCTCTAGCTGGCACAGTGGTACTTGCTTGCAATCCTAGCCTTTATAAGGCTAAAGCAAGAATCAAAAATGAGGCCTTATGGCCCAAGATCAAAAGAAGAGTTCAAGGCCAGCCTGCACTATGGCTGAGGCTCACCTAAGCTACACAGGGAGAAACAAAAGCCCAACAATAATGGAACTAAGATGAAAGCATCTTTCTCAGCTTGTACGTATATTCTGTGCTTTTCACCTGCATGGACTTTACTGGATTTTCCTTTTGTTATGCTCATTTGATTACTCTGCTGGCTACTTTTATGTCAATTTGATATAAGCTGGAGTCATTTGGGAAGAAGGAAACTTAATTGACAAAGTGTCCCATCAGATTGGCCTGTGAGCACACATGAAAGGCATTTTCTAATCAATGACTGAGGTGGACCAGCCCAGCCTGTTCTAGGCAGTCCTGACATGTGTAAGAAAGCAGGCTAATCAAGCCCCGAGGAGCAAATCAGTAAGCAGCACTCCTCTATGGCTACTTCATCAGTTCCTACTTTTAGTTTCCTGACTTGAGTCCCTGCCCTGTTTTCCCTAGATGATAGAATACAAAAATATTTTAAGGTGAAATAAACCCTTTCCTCCCCAAGTTGCTTTTGGTCATGGCGTTTTATCATAACAATAGACATCCTAACTAAGACAATTACTTTCTCCTGAAATCTCACCTATTTCCAATCAAAAGTGATCTAAAGTATACCTTTTCAGATACCATTTCCTCAGGGAGTAGTAGTAACTTTGGCTAATAGTTTAATTTCTCATATCCTTTCCTAGACCCACTCTGGATTATTAGTCATATATGACTATGTTTTCTGAAGTAGAGAAATGGCCCTAAAAGCAAGTAGATCATTTCAGTATCCAGCTAGCTTCTTTTTTTTTTTTTTTGGGGGGGGTTTTACCAGACAGGGTTTCTCTGTATTGTTTTGGAGGCTGTCGGTCCAGCCAGGCCTCGAACTCACAGAGATCTGCCTGCCTCTGACTCCTGAGTAGCTGGGATTAAAGGCGTGCGCCACCACCGCCTGGCCCCCAGCTAGTTTCTTATGACAGGGACATCCACAAACACTGGTTCAGAAATCCTTTAAGTAAATCATCTGATCTAACAATGTTACCAATTATATCTTCAAAGACTTTATACAAAACTTGTCACAAATGTTTACAATCAACTCAAAATACTATTCAGTAGACATTTTAATTTGCTTTTCTCTAACCAATCTTCAAATATTTCAGATGATGTAAAAAATATTTTAAGTTATCACTTTCAACTCACCAAATTATAAATTCCTAGGAGAAGTGCTTCAATGCAGCCATTACTCTGTCTGTCTCTACTAACTGTAAGTCGCAAATAAACCCACATCAACTCAGGCAGGAACTGCAGTGTAAACCTCTTAAGTCGGACTTCAGAGCTACGATAGAGCTCAAACAGTTGGTGGCAGACAGGCTCCAGGAGCTAAAAGAAAAACAGAGCAATATTAATTCTCATTGCCTGAGCTGTAACTGTATTTCTTAAATGAACCTTTATAATACTTTTTAAAAAATTCTTCTTAAAAATTCCTCCAAATATGAGCTAATTCAACAAAATCTTAATAGACTACATATTAAACTGACCAAACCTCTAAGTACTTTTGCACCATAAGTAGTCTGTTTGCCAGTGTACTATATTTATATTTGTTGAGTTTCCCTGTCTGTTCTTACCAAGACCTGCTAGACTATATTTTATTTTTTTGCACATTTATGTATGTGTGGGCACTTTAATGCCATGGTACATGTATGGAAGTTAGAGAGCAACTTTGTGGGTCTAGTGGGACCCAACTCAAGTTGTAGCAAGTGCCTTTATCCAGAGTCATCTCGGTGGTCCACCTTCCATAAGAAAGTACAAAATAAGATCACTAAAACCTGCCATTGCTGTCTTTTAAAACCTTTAGCTCTGTCAGCGGTGGTGGCGCACGCCACTAATCCCAGCCCTCGGAAGGAAGAGGCAAGGCAGATCTCTATGAGTTTGAGACTAGTCTGGTCTACATAGCGTGATCTAGGACAGGCACAGTTGTTACACAGAGAAAACCAGTCTCAAAAAACCAAATAACAAAGCCCCTCCCCAAAAAACCTTTAATTCTAAACATTTGTATCATGTTAATATTTCTGAAGTTCTTAATGGAAATCAGAAATGTTGGCACACACTTGTAATCTCAGCACTTGGTAGACAGAAGCAGGAGGATCAAAGCTCAAACAAACTATAAACAAACAAACCAAACCACTAAACAGTACTATCTGGCCAGGTTGGGGGGCATGCCTTTAGTCCCAGCACTTGGGAGGCAGAGGCAGGCAGATCTCTGTGAGTTCAAGGTCTGCCTGGTCTACAGAGCAAGTTCCAGGACAACCTCCAAAGCAATACAGAGAAACCCTGTCTTGAAGAAACTGCCCCCCCAAAAAAACCCCAAAAACCTTAGGAATAACTGACACCTTTCCTAAATTAAGCAAATACTGTTTTGACATGATAATTACTGAGACATACTATTTGATGAAAACACTTGAGAGAGTTTTGAGTGAAACAACAGAAACTTGAGCCTAGCCTGATTAGGAGAAATAATGTGAGGTGAAGATATGGAGACAAGAAGACAGACAATAAGCACTAAACTAATTTTAAGTACATCTATGATTAGTGACAGAAATGAGGTAGATGACAGAAGGTGTTTTGTTTGTTTGTTTTAAGGAGATGTGGTGGGCAGGCATGGCTTAGTGGATAAAGCACTTGACACTGAGTCCCAGGACACAAGTTCAGACCACACTCCTCACACATCTTTTCTTTGTTTTTTGAGACAGGGTTTCTCTGTGTAACAGCTTTGGCTGTCCTAGAACTCACTCTGTAGGTCAGGCTGGTCTCAAATTCACAGAGACCCACCTGCCTCTGCTTCCCCGGTACTGAGATTAAAGGCGTGCAATCCTCAGACACTTGCACACCCATCTCAGAAAAAATACAAGGCAGAGCATTAAGTCAAAATATAAAATGAACAGAGGGGACTTAACAGAAGAGGGCTCACAATGGAAGAACAACTAAATGGGGTCTATCTGTCAAAATGAGAAAGAAAAAAGCAGCATTGGTGGTACAGAGGTTAAGAGGTAGTCATGACATGCAAAATTAAACTCTAGAAGTTCTTATCAAGGATTTTTTTTCTTTTTTCTTTTTGTTTTTTTGAGACAGTGTTTCTCTGTGGTTTTGGAGGCTGTCCTGGAACTAGCTCTTGTAGACCAGATTGGTCTAGAACCCAAGAGATCCGCCTCCCTCTGCCTCCCGAGGGCATGCATCACCACTGCCCAGCTCTTATCAAGGATTTTTATGACTCTAAAGCAGATTGTCCTACGTTCAATTCATATTAAATAAAGCATGTGGCCATTTTCTAAAATAACATCTTAGTGGCACATCCAATGATACTTCAGAATATAATAAAATCAGGACTTAAAATGTGTTTATGATTACTGTGCACAACAGTTCTGAGGTTCTACAGAAGTTATTATCCTGGGTTTTCAAACATCTGAGTTAAAAGCTTCTGATTTGACAATAATAAGGATGGAACCCAGACCTGCCCTGGCAACTTCATGACAATGAATGCTAAGTATTGAGCCTGTATTTCTCAAGCTACCATTTCCATTTTGAACATGACTTTGTCTCATGTGTTATTATAAACTATAATAACACATAATAGTCGGAACAACTTAAAAATGTTTTATCTTAAAAAACTCTTTTCTTAAGTTCTTTAAAATGAGAATATTTTCATGTCTTTTGAGTACTAAAGATTTAGTAGTACTTGAGTCTTTGTATTTAATTATTTTCTAATCAATGTTTACTTGCTTATTTATTTACACTTAACCCCTGAGCCACATCCCAAGCATATAATATTTACTAAAGTACTCTTTATATACACAATAAAATGTTGCATTCTAGAGAAGTAACAATCATAAAATATATGACCACTGCCCATGAAGAGCTTACAATCTAGACAGAAAAGCATAAAACAAATAATTTTTAATAAGCAAAGCTTAAATGTTAGGACAGTGCAAGATAAGGGGCAGGGTATATACACATCTATTATTTACAAAGTCTCAAATACTCCTGCCTAAAGTTATGTGTGTATGAGTATGTATATCTATCTACACACTCACACATACACAGCACATGTCCAAAGTTTTAATAATTCAGCAATACATAGCAGGAGAAAAAAGCAGCAAATGACTCTTGCAGCCACTGCTAGAAATAACAGCAGATGCAAGTCTGAGAGCCAATCCAAACACAGGAGACAGGAAGGAGGAGGTCAATAAGCAAGCTTTTAGTGAGAAGAAGACAAAATAAAGATGCACTTTGAGTTAGACTGCCGGTTAGGAGACGGTTACCTGACGGTTACTTCTTCAACTCGCTGCAGTGCACAGCAGAGGCACTCTTGGAGGCTGTATCTGGGAAGATAAGAAGCTACTTTCCTGTGTGTTCCTTTCATTTTCATGTTAAAGCATACATGAATCCAGTGGATAAAACTATGCTGCACAACTGTGTTAATGCTAAATTACTGTGTGTATCTGGGCTAAGTTAACAGATAGATTCAGTTGCTGCGTTTTCATCTTCTATTACAGAGTGAATAACTGTTAACTGTTATTCTGTTCACTGATCTTCGCTATTTAGATCTTTAAAAGCACTTTGTCTGATAATTTTCAGGTAAACTTAATAAACAATAATTTTGTGTTATCTGTTTACAACTGATTAGAGTGCTTATAAATATCTCTACAGTATTGAGAAATAAGAATAAATGACATTAAAATAAAGACGGCTGAATCAGTATACCGTTAAAACTTGTTTTCCAGAGAAGAACATTCCAGGACACAAAGAAAAAACATACGTTAAATAAACAATCCATTGAGAAGGTGGTGACTGCAGTTGAGAATCAAAGCACACCATCTCCATCAAGAAAAAAGCCCAGAACATCTTCAAACGAGAGAAGATGGGAGTGGGGAAAGCCAAAGCAATTACCAGAATGAAAAAGGAGAGAAGCTTTCCAGATTCACAAAGGAGATAGAAAACTACACACTTACATTTATGTGATTTTAGTACAGACTTCATCTTAGTATTTAGAACTTATTTTTAAAAATTTTCCTACCTCATTGTTTGAATCTTGAATAACTTTATAGAGTGCTGGTACAAGTGCTTTTTTCCGGTGTAAAGTTGCTGCATAATTGGTGATCTGAGTGTCAGGTAATGCCTAAGATAAAACCAAAGGACAGCAAAATGAATTTAAAATTTAGCAAACAAATTTATTTTATATGAGTGCTACGTGATTAAAATAAGAGTTAAAGGAGAAAATTTTAAATAATTAATATTAATTAATTAACATACAAAGAACTGTTTAGCCACAAAAACGATTACAAGCTACATATCATAGCTAGATTTCACAGAAACGGGCCGCTTTAAAGTAATCTAGACTAAAAGAGAGCAGGATGTATTTCAGTTCCTGCACTTATACTTTTACAAAACACATTTCATAAATATACATTATATAGTTTTCAATCAAAATTATTCGACTTTTAATCATAGGAAATCAAAGCAGGAAACAAATATTAGTACTAAAACTTGAAGAATCCAGGCAGCTACTGGATATATTTAATCCTAACAATTACTTTACTTCTGCAAAATTCCTTTGATCTTACTCATACAGATAGGGAAGCATTATTCCACATTTTGCAAGTTCTCCACTTAAAAGCGTATCTATAGGGCTCTTTACAGAGCACATTATCATCATTAAGCTTTGGACACATTTACCTTGAACTCTGACAGCCATTCTTCCACAACAGCTCGCTCTGACCCCAGCATCTTCCTTCTAGTCTTCTCTTATCTAAGATATAATTTTCAAGAAATGAACCAGAAGACAGCAATACCTACAGAGATTACCAAAGGTACATAATGTGTCCAATCTTACTAACCAACAAACTTGTCTAGTCTGTACTTTGAATAGAGGCTTCTGCTCAGTTTGGAGTGAAATTAAAGCTTCAAAGATAAATTGCTTTTTAATGATGTATCAGAAACTGATTGTCTTCATGCTTTCACATTTTCCCCACTTCAAAGTGGCAAAGAAGGCATCTTTAAATTGGATATACCTATAATCTGAGGAAGCATAGGCAGGAGAACTGTGGAAGTCAAGTTGGGCTACGTAGTGAGTTCTAAGACAAGCCTTGGCTACACAGCAAGACCCTGTATCAACAAAACTAAAAGCTGAAAAATGAAGTGGCCTAGTGAAATCAAATAACATTACTGAAAACAAATACACAGAGCAAGTTATGTATAACAGAACAAATCCTGTAACAAACTGTAAACACCAAATCTAGAAGAAGCAAGGGCATATAATTAGTAAACTGATAACAATATATGCATTATGCAAATAAAGCCAAGTCCCAAATTTTCTAACATGGAAAAATGTCTAACTGAGTAATAGTCTGTAAATTATACTTTCAGTTAAAGATTACCTTTTTTTTTAAAGCCTGGAAACAAATATATGCTCAACTATTAAGTGTTTGCCACTGAGTATAGCCTAACATATTTAATTTTGGATAAAAATAAGATATACTGTATTTTAAAATGAAAACAAAAAACAAAGCTTTCTTTGTCACTCAAAAGGAAGGAATAAGAAAAAAACAAGACAAACAAAAACTAGAACCTGAGGAAGCAGTACTGTCTGTGAAATAATTGCAAAGAAGCTCCCTTATTTAAAAGAGAGCTTGTCAGATTCTGGATTTAAAAAAGATTAATGAGAATCACTTGAACAAAAAATTTGGTTCCATTATGACATTTCCATATATATTTTTACATATATAAAATGAACCTTAATCATATTTCCCCCATACTATTCTCTTGTGTTAATCTCCTTCATACTAGATTTCTAAATTCCACAAGGAATTTTTTTAACTTATTATTTTTATTTTATGTGCATTGGTATGAATGTGTCACAGATCCCCTAGAACCAGAGTTACAGACAGTCTTAAACTGCTATGTAGGTGCTGGGATTTGAACCCTGGTCCTCTGAGCAGTTAGAGCTCTTAACCACTGAGCCATCTCTCCAGCCCCCAACAAAGACTTTAAAATATGTGTATGAAGGAGCATTATACTGACATAATAAATAGAAAAAATGGAGTAAGATATGCCATTATTTTCTAACAGCAAAATCTCTTAAAATATACTGATGCATTTGCTCAAATAAAATTCAAAATTGAAAAAGATGAGGGAGCTGGGCGTTGGTGGTGCACGCCTTTAATCCCAGCACTAGGGAGACAGAGGCAGGCGGTTCTCTGTGAGTTTGAGGCCAGCCTGGTCTACAGAGTGAGTTCCAGGACATCCTCAAAAACAATACAGAGAAACCCTGTCTCGAAAAACTACAGGAAAAAAAAAAAAAAGGATGAGGAAAGCCATGTGGTAATAGCTGATGCCTTTAATCCCACCACTCAGGAGGCAGAGGCAGGTGGATCTCTCTGAGTTCAATGCCAGTCTGGTCTACAGAGTAAACTCCAGAATAGCCAGATAGATCTCAGGGAGGGGGAACCCAGAGAAAGAAAAAGATGAAGGAAATCACAAATTAAGAGTTATTAAATATATATGACTCTTTTTTTTTTTTAAAGACAGGGTCTCACTGTGTATCTCTGATGGCCTGAAACTCACTACTTAGATCAGACTAGCCTCAAAATCAGAGACCAAGCATCTACCAGGATTTTAATGGGTGCTGGGATTATAATGGCATGTGCCACCACTCCCAGCCAAAACTATGACTCTTTTTTTTTCTTTCTGCGAGACAGGGTTTCTCTGTTTAACAATCCTGGTTGTCCTAGAACTCACTCTGCACACCAGACTGGCCTTGGACTCAGAGATCTACCTGCCCTTGCCTCCCTCCTGGAGTACTGGGATTAAAGGAGTGTGCCACCATTGCCCTGCTCAAAGTTTATTTTTACATTTAATAATGGTACAAAAGGTTTTTTTGTAAAGTCCTTAGAGACATAACACATACTGAAATATTTAGGGGTGAAATGCTTGGGGTTTGCTTTAAAGTAATGGGGGATCCTTTAGTGGTTCATAATCACTGACTGGGTGTGATGATTTGAACAGATATGGCTGCCAGACTCCTATGTTTGAATGTTTGGCCCATAGAGAGTGACTATTAGGGTGTGGACTTGTTGGAGTAGGTGTGGGCTTGTTAGAGAAAGTATGTCACTGTGGGGGTGGGCTTTGAGGTCTTTTATATGCTCAAGCTATGCCTAGTACACAGTATTCACTTCTTCTGCCTTTGGATTAAGATGTAGAACTCAGTTCCTTCTCCAGCACCATGTCTGCCTGCATGCGCTCTGCCATGTTTCCTGTCAAGATGATAATGAACTAAGCCTCTGGGACTGTAAGCCAGCACCAATTAAATGTTTTCTTCTGTAAGAGTTGCTGGTTGCTGTGGTCACAGTATCTCCTCTCAGCAATAAAACCCTAACTAAGATACTGAACATTGAAGACACTGTGTGAAACAGGAAGGACCCTCACTCAACTGAAGAACAGCCTCTGACAAAATGCACTGTGGCTGTTGTCTGTGGGGCATTTTCTTGACTGCTGGGGGTAATCACCATTCCTAGGCAGGTGGGCCCTACATGTCTAAGAAAAGTAAGCAGAATTCCTCTGTTGGTTTCTGCTTCAAGCTCCTACCTCGAATTCCTACCTTGTTTCCCTCAATGATGGACGCTTTTAGTCATGGTGTTTATGAAAGCAATCAAAACCAAACCAGAACAGCCTCACTCAAACCATGTTTCCATAATGACATAGAAAGGGGGCAAAAGGAAAGCAGAAGATTAAATTAGATACAAATATTTTAAAGATATATGCATGTGATGTGTCTGAGTGTGGGTATGATCATGTGAGTGTATGTACCCTCAGGGGCCAAAAAAAAGGGGGGGGCATCAGATTAGATTCCCTGGAATTGGATTTACAGGTGTTTAGGAGTCACCAGATGTGGGAGATAGGAACCAAACTCAGTCTTCTGCAAGAGCAGCATGCAGTTTTAACCAGAGTCATCTCTTGCGCCCTTTGCACTAAATATAAGTAAAATATGACTGATTTTGGCCGGGCGGTGGTGGCGCACGCCTTTAATCCCAGCACTCAGGAGGCAGAGGCAGGCGGATCTCTGTGAGTTCGAGACCAGTCTGGTCTACAGAGCGAGTTCCAGGACAGCCTCCAAAGCAATACAGAGAAACCCTGTCTCGAAAAACCAAAAAAAAAAAAAAAAAATATATATATATATATATATATATATATATATATATATATATATATGAAGGAAGCCTGTATGCCGCCATTAACCATGTGACTTACTAGAGGCGCATACAGATGAGGTAATAAAAGAGCGGTTTACCACACCGCTAACCACACCCACTTTAGGCATGACTACTTGGCTCATCTGGGTTACTTGTTTGGTATCTTGTGAGTAATTTCTACAATAAATACTTAGTTTTACTTTCAGTAAGTGTGCCTCTTATTGTTACATCATATCTATCTATCTATATATATATATATATGACTGATTTTAAATTGCTTGCTTAGTAAATAATACACAAACTTCATTATATTACTCATCTATTTTGTTACAGCTTGGCATGTCTTGTGATGAATAAAAACTAAAATACTGATAAAGTGAAACTACAAATATACAAATTCTGATAAGAGATAGAAAACAAGGCTCTTACATGTATTTACTTTCTTTGGTGGGTGGGGCTATGAAGAGTGTACACTCATACACTGTTCTGAGATCTAAGCAAAACTATGATCCCTGCTTCAGAAAAAAAAGAGCTAGGGCTGGGGATGTGGCTCAGTGGGTAAGGTGCTTGCCTAGCATGCAAAAGGCACTGACTCTGACTGATCCCAGCACAGAGTGAGAACAAAAGTGCCAATACATCATAGCGGCTTAAAGAGAATTTTGGCCCATAAAACATGCATTTTTGGAAGAGTTACTTCTTTGTCACCCCAAACTCTTTGTTTATAAAATGAGGACAAAGGAAGATTATGTTAAGTTTTCTGGTTTTGTTTGTTTTTGTAAGAGACAGGTCTCACTGTGAAGCCGGAGTTGGCTTGAAACTCAGCATGTTGACCAGGCTGACCTTGAATCACAGAGATCCTCCTGTCTTTGCTTGTCCAGTGGTAGAGTATGCTGCCACCACACCCAACTGACAAGATTTTTTTTCTTAGCAGAATAAATAACACACAAGGTCTTAAGAATCGTGATTGCCCCATATACTTCATGTTAGCTATAACAATTATTTAAGTTTTTGACAACTCAAGAAGCATATTTATTCCAGAATAATTATTAATGATTTATTATTGGAAATGTTGTTGAATAAAATACTAAGGATACAACAGGGATTTAAAAAAAAAAAAGTGCTCTTAAGGGTTTCATGAGAATAAATGGCCAGGCAGTGGTACACTGGGGGTAGGCAGAGGCAGGTGGATCTCTGTGAGTTTGAGACCAGCCTGGTCTGCAGAGTGAGTGTCAGGACAGGCTCCAAAGCTACACAGAGAAACCCTGTCTCGATCAGCCCCTCCAAACGTATACATATAGAAAACTATAGAATCACCAGTGCAACATATGAGACAGTAATAACTGTTACTGCATTTTTAAGAATTTAATTTTGTAAGGAATATCTCTCCCTCTTTGAGCTTTTTCTTTTTCTTTTTTTTTTTTCTTTTTTTGGTTTTGAGACAGGGTTTCTCTGTGGCTTTGGAGCTGTCCTAGAACTAGCTCTTGTAGACCAGGCTGGTCTCGAACTCACAGAGATCCGCCTGCCTCTGCCTCCCAAGTGCTGGAATTAAAGGCGTGTGCCACCACCGCCCAGCAAGCTTTTCTTTTTTTAAAATGTCTTTATGGGGGTGTCAGATCCCCTGGAGTTGTGAACTGCCATGTGGGTGCTGGGAATTGAACCTGGGCCCTTTGGAAGAACAGCCAGTGCTCTTAGCCAATAAGCCATCTCTCCAGTCCTACTGCAAAGTCTTAAACTGGGTTTAAAAAAAATTGGGCCAGGCAAGGTGGCACATACCTTTAATCCCAGCATTTAGGAGGCAGAGGTAGGCAAATCTCTGAGGTCAAGGCCAGCCTGGTCTACAGGGATAGTTCTAGGACAGTCAGGCTACACAGAGAGACCCTGTCTCAAATCCTCCCCAATACTCCTCAAAATTGGAAAAAAATTATGAAGACATTTCAAAGTATACATCTACAACTTAGATTAGGCAGCTACTATGGAAAAGACTAAATGCCCTAAGGCAAGACTGTACTATATGATAGTCACTCTAAGCTGAAAATGACTATTTAAATTAATTCAAATAAAATGTTTTTCCTGCTTTCTGGGAAAGACAGAAATTAGACCTATTCTGTGTTATAGTAGACTAGAGAGATGGTTCAGAAGTTATGAGAGCATACTGCTCTTGTAAAAGACTTGAGTTTGGTCCCCAGCACCCATGTCAAATGGCTAATAAGCACCCAGAACTCTAGAGGAAGCTGACGCCTATGGCCTCCTCAGGAACCTGCATTACACAATTAAAAAGAATGAATTTTTTTTAATGTAGGTTCAGTTATTTTATGAAGAAAGTTGAGACTAATTATCTTCCAGAATGTTCTTAGAGTGTCTCATGCTCACGGGTGTTGCATGATCAGTCCTGAATGTGAGAGTTAAGTAGGAGAGATAAAACATCATATCCAAGACAAATGGCAGGGCCTTGAGGGAGAGGGAGCTTCCTTTCCAAGCCTGGAGAGGGTCAGAGAGATGGCTCAGTGGGTAAAAGCATTTGCTGCCAAGCCTCAAGTCCTGAGTCTGACCCCTAAAGCCCACCTGTGGAAGGAAGAGAACTGACACCCCAAGGCAGTACAGTACTATGACTATCACACACCCCACCCCTGCCAGCAAATAAATTAATATATATTTTTAAAGACCGGAGAGGAACTTTATTAAGAAAGACTGCTTAGAGTAAAAAAGTAAGAGAGACGATAACATGTGGGTGTGGGACTGGGTGGGGTGTGTATGTGCAGGGGAGATGAAGGAGAAAGACCGTTTCAGACAAACCCCCTGAACAATGGCCATTTCTTGACGTTTCTAAGTTGTTCAGGGATTATTAGAAGTTTTAGTATAATTTAGCCCTGGGGTAAATTTACCGTGTAGCTTCAAGGGGGAGGGCTGGGCTTATCCTCTCCTGTAAGGGGCTGTGGCCTGATTTTGGGGGAGGGTAAGCAAGAGGGTCTGTAATCTAACAGAATGTACCTTGGACAGCTTTACCGTCTTTACTGATGACATCACTTCACAAGACAATCTGTCGTGTACTGCAAACACTAGCATTTTCTGTAATGCTTGAGAACCTAAAGTTGGTTATCCTGCTCTCCTAATGTGGATCTATACAGATACAGAACTCTAACTTACGACACCATCCCAACCAAGTTCATTATTCCTCACAGGGTGGGGAGATGGTAAAGGAACACATACACGACCAGTGTCAGTCCTCCATCAGGCTGAATTCTGAACTCTGTGAGTCTAGTCCCCACAACACTGGCACTCAAGTGCAACATGTGATTGCTAGATTCTATAATGGCAAATCTACTCAGTTTTAGCTAGCACGGGTATAAGGCTGGTGGCCTTGAGTCCCCCTTGCCTGTAGCCATTCTGGAGACTTCATCAGGGTGCTGGATCTAGTGGTCAGACTCCATGCAGCACAAGCACTATCTTTTCAAGTTTTTTGTTCCTTGTTCCTGTTTTGAATCTTGCCAATCTGAGTCCTAATTCTCCTAAGTGCTGGGCTTACAGGCAAACAAAACAACACCTGGCTTTTATATATTTTGTACATTATTAATAAGCACTGGAAAGAACAGGCTATTTGCTCTAGCCAAATGTCAAATACTCAGAAGCTACATGTGGTTATTTTCCTTTATCAGATAAAACAGAAAAGGAACACAGTCATGGTCACAAAAGTTGCTTTAGACAACAGTGATTCTGATGTACCCTGATAGTACAATTGTGCTGAATAAATTAACTAAACAAAGTAAAATTCAGATAACACATTTGTTAAATGCAATTACTAAAATAATTCAAGACTTAAATTCAAAGGTACTAAGATATGTTTATTTCAGGTAAAACTGTATAATAAATAAAGCTACTCACCAAAGATTACCAAAAATTCTTAACATGCTTAATCATATGGGAAATTTATTTTTCACCTCTTAAAAAATTAAGGTCATAATTTTACCTGTCTTAAGATCAGTTTTCTAAAGGAGGAGGTGGCACAGGAATGCGGCAGAGTTCAAGTGTGGAATTCATTTGTTGACAGTTAAATATTTTCCAACTCTATAAAAAATGAAAATTCAAATAGTAAGAGAATATTCTCAAGAACATACACACAAAATATTTTAAACAACACACTCATAAAACAGTTCTTCATGTTTGTGTGGGTGCAAACACTGGTAGTGCACATGTACATATGTGTGAGGCTCTATGCAACCATACAAGATCATGTGGAAGACACTGAGTGTCTGCCTCTATTGCTTCCTACCTTATCCCCTTCATACAATAATGAATATGGAGCTCTACCACTTTTTGGTTAGGCTGGCAGTCAGCAAGCCCCAGAAACGTGTCTGCCTTCTATCAACAGATGGACATAAATCATGTCCCCCTCAGCACTGAGATTCCAAACAAAGGCAGAAAGACCTGGCGTTTTACAATGAATTTAGTTCCCTGACACTTGTGTAGTAAACACTTTTACTTACTCACTGTAGCTCACCTAACCCTAACACATTCTGTAGTAGTGAGCATACTTGTGCACTTTTATCATATCCAAGGAAAAAAACATTATTTTGGAGACACAAAGTCTCAAATTTTAGCATCTAGTATCCCATTAATTATCTTTAAGATGTTACATAGGTTATTTAAATTGCTGGAGATTAACTATAAAATCAAGTATTTTCCTTATAAAAATACTGACTCTAATTTACACCATTCACAAAAGCATATATTTCAAGGATTAGCAAGATGATGCTTCACTGAGTTAGGGCTTTTGTTGCCAAGTCTGAGGACCTGCGTTTGATTCTGGGAACCCTCATGGTAGGAGAGAACTTTCTCTCGAAAGGTGTCCTAAGTGTTGGGGGGCAGGTGTACAGCAAAACATCTGTGTAAACAACCAAATTTAACTTCCATCCTCCCCTTCCTTTCTTTTTTTTTCCTTTGAGACAATGTCTCACTATGTAGAGAAGCTAGTCTTGAACTTTCAATCTTCCTTGCCTGAACTTCCCAAGTACTGAGATTACAGATATGCACAATCATGCCCAACTTGGGCAAACATTTTTTTAAATAAACAAAAGGCAGTGACTATGGCAACTGAACTATATTAACTCTGCCAAAAAAAACAAGCTCAGTTTGTCGAATCTATTTTCCTGGGATGGCACAATTAATATTCTAAAAATATTTAATTACTTAATTTATATAATTAATGGACTATCTTCCAAAATTTCTGTATCATACTTCACATGTTTAGAGAAAATTCAAGAATTCATATGGAACCAAGAACATTACTAGGGGCATTATTATAATAAACCCCACCCTTAAATTCTACTACAGAGCTATAGTGATAAAGAAAGTCTGGTACTGACATAGAATAGACTAGAAGACCTGAAAATAAGATGACAAAGCTAAACCAAGTTAATTTTTTGACAAACAAGGTAAAAACATACTTTGGAAAACAGAACCTGTTCAACCAATGGTTCTGGTAAAACTGGACTTCTACCTACAGAAGATGAAATTAGATTTGTATCTTTCTTGTACAAAAAAAAATCAATTCAAAATGTATCAAAGACCTTAACTCAGGCCAGAAACACTGAAAAGTTTTGAAGAAAATACAGGGATACCCTTCAAGATACTGGATTAGCTAAAAAAGGACTTTTAAATAGAACACCACAGCTCAGGGACTAACTCCTGATGGGACTCCATGAAAATAAGGTTCTGTAGCAAAGGACACAGTCAGCAGGGCATACAGACAGCCCACAGCATGGGAGAAAATCTATACCAGCCACAGTTCAGACAAGGGCTGATATCCAGAACTTACAAAAAATTATAGAAATCAAATATGATGGAAATAAAACTGTCAATCAACAAGTGGGCAAATAAACTGAATAGATTAGTTTTCGTTTTGTTTTGGGAAACACAAATGATCAATAACTATTTTTTAAAAGTATTCAATATCCCTCACCATCAGAGAAATGTAAATTAAAACTATTTTGAGATACCACCTTACCCCAGTTAGAATGTCTGTCATAGACAACACTTACTCCCTGTCAGTAGGGGTGCAAATTAACACAGCCATTGTGGAAATCAGTTTGCATATTTCTCAGAAAATTAAAAATAGAACTACCATATGATCCAGCTATTTTACTCCTAGGCATATACCCAGAAAATGACATAACCTCCCATAGAGATATTTGGATCTCCAAGTTTATTCATTATAGCAAAGAATTGGAATCAACCTATTTACCTATTTACCCATCAACAAATGAATAGATAATGGAAATCTAGGAAAAATATATGAGTACTATTTGGCTCTAAAGAAAAATTGTAGTTTAAAAATTTGCAGAAAAATGGAAGACTTAAAATATGTAATATTAAGGAAGGTCACACAATCTCAGAAAGAAAAAAAATTACATGTTCTTTCTCATATGAAGAATCCAGTCAATAATATAGTTATATGTATAAACAAATGTACATGTACGTACAGTATAGCATAAAGACAACAAGAAAGGCTAAATATTAGAGAATGAGGAAGGACTGATACGGGTAATTCAGTTATGAAAGACGAGTTATAAAAGAGGATAAGTTGGGCTGGAGAGATGGCTCAGCCGTTAAAGGCTAGGCTCACAACCAAAAATAAAAGAGGATAAGTACATAAAATATATTCAATACTTAAAATTTAAAATCTAATGTGAAGTTCCACAGCTTCTATTTAAATAAATGTCTATTCTAACTGTATAAAAGTTCACTGAGTTAGGGCTAAGTGGTGGCAGCATACACCTTTGATCCTAGCACTTAAAAGGCAGAGGCGGATGGTGGATCTCTGTGAATTCAAGGTCAGCCTGACCTACAAAGTGAGTTTCAGGACAGCTAGGACTGTTACACAGAAAAATCTGGCTTGAAAGAAAAAAAAAGTTCACTGAGTTGTTTTGAGTCTCCTTAATTTTAGTGTGTAATGTTTATTTTTATATTGCAAGTGTTTTTATTATAAATTTTATTTCAAAAGATAGTCTACTAAAGAATAATAAGATGGAGAACCATTGAAGAAAATACCTAACACTGACCTCTGGCCTCACACATATGCTCACATATGTGCATATGCACTTGTGTATGCACACGCGCGTGAACGCGCGCGCGCACACACACACACAATGAAAAGAAAAATCAAAAGACTAGGGAACGGCCTTCCCTTTGTCAACAAGACAATGATAGGCAAAGGTGTAGCTTCTTCCTTGAAACTTTCCTTTGAGACAGGGTCTAACTACACACCCCGAGCAGGCCTGGAAGCTCACTATGTAGATGATCCTGGCCTCAAACTCATAGAGATCTATCTCCCTCTGCCTCTCCAGTGCTGGGATCAAAGGTGTGTGCCAAAAAAAAAACTTAGGTCTCGAGATAACGGACACTGTCAGTGAAGAACAATCAACTTACTTCCTCAAGTACTGAGGCTTCAATATAAGGAGGGCAAACCTGGTGTCATCCCTGAGACAGCCTCTAGAGAGCTGCAGGGATCCTTCTCTAATGGCCCCATGAAAACTAACTAACTAGTACTTTGTGAATGTTAGGAAACTGCCAGGATCCAGAAAAATAAGTGCCTTGTGATTAGAGATGGCTGTGTTCAGAACTCATAAACTGCCTACCAATCATATTAAAGATCAGTTAAAGACTACAGATCCTTCCTTCCTAAGTACAGAGATAGTTGAAAGGAGCACAGGAAACTCAGAGATGAAGGCATGCACCATCATACGTGGCTAAATATCTTTTATTTTTCAAGACAGGGTTCTCTGTGTAACAGTTCTGGCCTCCAACTCGAGAGATCCACCTGCCTCTGCCTCCCAAGTGCTGGGACTAAAGGCATGCACCACCACCACCAGCTCTGGCTAAATGTATTTAAAAAAAAAAAAAGATGTGCTAAATCAAACTGGTATATGAAAAACTATAATAAGTGAGAAAAAAATTGAATTGGAACAATACACTTTCCAGAAAAAAAATAATGTACTTGAAAACAGAGAAACATAAAATTAGTCAGGATGGAAGTAGAATTCAAATAGCCTGCACTTTATCAAGCAGGAACCCAACACAAACTCTTGATTGTATGTATTTGGTAATCCCAGTTTATCTAGTTGAGCCAATGAGACCAGCAAGGGGAAAGATTTATGCAGTGTACACCCAAGACAAGGAATCAGCACTAGTTAACTACCCACGGAGGGTAAGGTGGACTACGTTTTGATCCACTGATTTTATCCTCAAACTTTTCCAGCTGTGTGAGAATAACTAGGGAATATGGCCATAAGAACTACCCACATGCATCTAACTTTTCTTCTATTATCTATAATTAATACTAATAATACTAAGATAGCTAGAATATAACACAAAGGAAAAGCTAATGTTCAGAAAATATTTTTTTTAGCTAGGAATGTGGCTCCCTTGGTAGAAAGCTTGCCTAGCATGCACAAGCTACCACACAAAGCAGGCATGGCGGTACACAACTATAATTCCAACAATGGGAGGTGGAAGCAAGAAGATTAGCAGTTCAAGGTCATCTTTGGTTACACAGAGCCAACTCTAGCTAGAAATCCAATAGAAAGTAAGGAAAAGATGTATTTTTTAAATCACTGATTATTTTATGTGTCATATAGTATTTCTAATTTCTTCTGCTTCAAATTATAAGTAGGAAAGCAGATAATTTGCTATCTGAAATATTTCGAAGGTGACAAGTAATAGCATAAACCACCACCTTGCCTGGCCTGAAACTCACCATGCAAACCATAGCTGGCCTCAAACTCATATAGGTCAACTGCCAGTGCCTCTTGAGTACTGGGATTAAAGGTATACATCATTACAACCAGCTCACGGGATCATAGTAAGAGTTCTGAAAGAAACTTTGAACAGTGTTGAGACTATTAACGCCCAGAGATACTTCTGAGTTTGGACTAAATGTGTCTTGTATCAGGAGATAGCCATAACCCTGTAGGGGCCCTTAGGTGGAATGTGGTGTTTGAATGAGAAATGTCCCACACAAGTTCATATATTTGAACCCATGGTCCCTAGTGGAATTGTTTGGGGGAGCT